ACCAAGGCAAATAGATGGGCGTGGAATGCTACAAGTACATCAGATGTTGAAGAAGAAAAAAGGGCTTTGGAAGAATATCTGAAGAACAATGATGAAGATGCACTGAAATTAGTATATCAGGAAGGCTTACTAACCACTGGAGAGACCAAACTGGCCTACAAGAAAGACCAAATGAAGAACAGAATAGAGGCATGGGAAGACAAAGCACTACATGGGCAATACATGAAAAAAATAGCTGGGAAAGCAGATAATAATAAAACCTGGCAATGGCTAAGAGCAGGAAAATTGAAGAAAGAGATCGAGGGACTAATTCTGGCTGCACAAGACCAAGCCTTAAGGACAAATGCATACAAAGTCAAATTGAGAGGGGACAGAACAAGACAGTAAAAGTGCCGCCTATGCAAAGAAGCTGAAGAAACGTGGAGCACTTGGTAAGCATGTTGCGCAAAGATGCACAGACGGAGTACAAGCAGTGGCATGACAAAGTAGCAACAATGGTGCATTGAAAGATCTGCAAAAAATATCATTTGCCTGTAAGCAACAACTGGTGGGATCATTAAAATAGAGAAAGTCATAGAAAATGATAAAATTAAACTGCTCTGGGACTTCAGAATTCAAACAGACAAGCACCTGCAACATAACACCCCAGACTTAACAATTGTCGATAAGAAGGACAAAAAAGTCTGGATAGTGGACGTGGCAGTGCCTGGAGACAGCAGAATAGACGAGAAAGAACTGGAGAAGATAACAAAATACAAAGACCTACCAATAGAAATAGAAAGACTGTGGCAAAAGCAAGCAAGGGTAGTACCAATAGTCATAGGCTCCTTGGGTGCAATCCCAAAACAACTGGAGCACCACTTGAACACAATTGGCATTGACAAATTGCTATTAGTCAATTGCAAAAGGCGGCCTTATTAGGAATGCTTCACATCCTGCGTAACGATCGAATACCGTATAATCCATCAAACATTATGCTCTTGTGCCTTAGCCAGGGTCCTGGGTAAGGACTCGATAGGTAGACCAAAAATGCCAAATCCAGTCTGAACATCTGGAGGCTGACTGAGCGATGCATTGATAATAACTAATTATAATAATAATAATAAAATATAATATATAATAAAAAAAAAACGGGACGTGGATCATAAAATAGGAGAAAGTCATAGAAAATGATAAAATTAAACTGCTCTGGGACTTCAGAATTCAAACAGACAAGCACCTGCAACATAACACACCAGACTTAACAATTGTTGATAAGAAAGACAAAAAAGTCTGGATAGTGGACGTGGCAGTGCCTGGAGATAGCAGAATAGAAGAGCAAGAACTGGAGAAGATAACACAATACAAAGACCTACAAATAGAAATAGAAAGACTGTAGCAAAAGCAAGCAAGGGTAGTACCAATAGTCAGAGGCTCCTTGGGTGCAATCCCAAAACAACTGGAACACCACTTGAACACCATTGGCATTGACAAATTCGCTATTAATCAATTGCAAAAGGCGGCCTTACTAGGAACTGCTTCCATCCTGCAACGATATCTGTAATACCATCAAACATCCACATCTGCCTATCCCAGGTCCTGGGTAAGGACTCGATAGGTAGACAAAATGCCAAATCCAGTCTGAACATCTGGCTGACTGTGCGATGATCGATAATAATATTAATAATAGTAAAGTTGGAAGGGACCTTGGAGGTCATCTAGTCCAACCCCCTGCTCAGGCAGGAAACCCTACATCATTTCGGACAAATGGCTGTCCAGTCTCTTCTTAAAAACTTCCAGTGTTGGAGCAGGCTGTTCCACTGATTAATTGTTCTCACTGTCAGGAAGTTTCTCCTTAGTTCTAGGTTGCTTCTCTCCTGGATTAGTTTCCACCCGTTGTTTCTTGTCCTGCCTTCAGGTGCTTTGGAAAATAGCTTAATTCCCTCTTCTTTATGGCAGCCCCTGAGATATTGGAATACTGCTATCATGTCCCCCCTCGTCCTTCTCTTCAATAAACTAGACATACCCAATTCCAGCAACCGTTCCTTATATGTTTTAGCCTATAGAAGAGGCACTGGAATGGGATGGATGGTGCATTGAAGGTGATGGAGAAGAAATCTGTGGCAGCACCTAGTTGACATTGGGTGATCTCAAAAGCCTAGCAGAGTTGGATCTGGGTTAGGACTTGAACTGTAGGTTAGACAAAAGTCGAAAAAAACTGGAATGAAGACAGTAGCAAGTCATTTCTCCATGCTGCCAAGAAAACTAAAAGATTATAGTTATTAAGAACTGAGTCTGATTCAAAGGAATGAAGGCAATAATGTTCCAATTTGGGAAAGTATTATTCTCTAATCCAACCAACACCAGAGCCATTAAAATAAAGGGCGCATTAAAATAAATGGTGCAGTAGAAACTTTCCACACTAGCTCTTAATTTATTAACTTCTATAAAGATGGCTACTTTGTTGTGGTAAAGAGCAAATTTTACCACCTAGCATGCCTAAAGCCAAGCAAACGAAACAATTGCTTCCTCTGATTACCTTGTTTTATTCCTGGCATAAAATCCTAAAATAACTATGCTAAATTAACAGAGGTATATTTTGCTTCCATGAAAATTAACTCCTATTGAGACAGATTGCAAGAATAGATATGCCTGTTTAAATAACCAGGCCTCTTTTTCCTGATGATTTCAGATTGTTTACAAAAAAGGACACGCTGAGCAGAAATCGAAATACACTTCTGTGCCTGACCCACTTGATGTGGAGCTTGCCAAGAAAGTTACTCGACAGCTCAGTGATGTGAGTATTTTGTGACAGAATTCATTATAATACGTTCACCTGAGCTGAGAGCAGGACAGTCATCAGGGATCTCTAAAATATCTTACAAGGAGGGGGAAAATACCAGTGCCCTTTACAGGTGAATCTTGCACCTTGCTATCCCAACCATTTCACAATAATGCTTCTCTTTCCCATTCTATCTTTCCACCTGAGTTAGCATAAAGAAAATCAGCCAACCAATCCATTGCTTATTATTGATTAACTGATAATTTCATATTTTGCTCACTTCCTTTCCATCTCTAGGTAACTTTTAATTTTCTGAATACAATAGAATCCAATTTAGAGTTATTTTAAAGCCTGCTCTTAAATCATAACACGGACCCAGTGGCCTTTTCGTGGAGATGGGCGTCATATACATTTAACAAACCAACAACAAAGAAATAAATTGACCCGACCTAAATTCAACCGGAAGCTGTTCTATGATTTGAGACCCACCACTGAAATATAAGTGTGGCAGGAATCTCTCATAAAGGCCCCAGTGAAGAACCTAAGGATGTGTGTGTAAACTTTACAAAAAGAGGCAATCCTGCCTACAACCTTGCAGTCTTGTGGTGATTTATAAATTTATGTTAGAATTGGCTGGATGGCCAAAGCTGAGATTTTACTGTGTTGTGTGGAGTAAGGAAGTTGACCTTAATGGAAAATGCAGGAAATGTTACAGAAGCAAGAAGAGATGATTTTTTTTTTAAGTCCAGAAAAGCAAAATAACGTTTGGATGAAGTTCAAGGAGATAACTCCCTAATTCACTGGTGGTGGTGGTGGTGGTGGTGGTGGTGGTGGTGGTGGTGGTGAAGGAGGAGGAGGAAGATCACAATCAGACTTGCAAGACCCTGTTATTATAGCCAATCTCAGTTAGAGTATTGAGATGCCAATTCCTTCCTGTGGAGTTGATTTGCTGGTCTGATCTATCTATTGGGGCTGACCTACAGTATATTGGATCATTTATTAGAACATCTATGTAGCCCAGATAATACCAAGTATGAGGCTGCCCCGGATTCCACAGGCTGTTCAAGAGGTCTTTCTACTGTGGAAAGCCAAGAATGGTGTTTTTAGCCTACTGTCGCTGGCAACTACTTCACAGCTCCACCTTTCTAGTGGTTGAGAACAGAGGTAAAGGGGTTAGCATCGGAGCAATGGACAGCAGAGAGTTGAATACTTTTGTCACCTGTTGCAATGTATCGTGTAAGTTCAGAAGTTCATTTTTGCTTATGAAGAAAGAACTTCCCAAAATTTAGCTATGGATCTTGCTAAAAGGTGCTTTCAATGAGTCGCTTGAGGTTCGGCATTCTTAATTCTTGTTTCCCATCCATTCTAAGATGGCAGCTGCTCCAATGCTTTAAGCATTGTTTCTTCCATATTTTTCTTCATGTGGAAATTTACATATATAGAATCAGTTTAGCAAGTTATCATTTGTGTATACCTTATCTTAGATTTGTTTAATAGGACAACATCCTTGGTTTTCTGGGGGGGGGGAGGGTGGCCTTTATACTTTGGGCTAGGTATGGTGAAGGCATTTCTTGTACTTTTAATTGTTGAAATTTTTCCTGGCACATTTTGTGTAACTAATTTTTGTTTGTGTTTTAACTAGAGTAATTCATTTATAGAAAGAGCCTTTAAAGACACTTTGTTTTGGTGAGGCTGAAATAAATCCCCCTTTCTAATTTTAGATAAACCTTTTCTCATTCCATGTAAAATAATGCCTGATAAAGATTTTTTTTTAAAAAAAAAAAAATTGACGGGTGAGAAATAGGCATTTAACACAATGAGATCCATGAAGTATGACTCATAAACCTGATATTTAGATATATTTAGATTTTATTCATTATTAATGTATTCATAATGTATTACCCAATCATAAATTTAAACCTACTAAATTCAGTGCTATATTTTTAATGGAATGCTATGTGACCTTTTTTCCCCGCATTAGTTATATTTGACATCAGAAAGCAGGTAGGAGATAGGCACCAGATTGATTTTTCTGGGAAGATTTTCCATAATGGATACACTGAGAGCTTCTGCTCTGGAGACAAATTCCTTTTGTGTCTAATCACACTTGGTGAAATAAAGTTATTCTATTCTATTCTATTCTATTCTATTCTATTCTATTCTATTCTATTCTATTCTATTCTATTCTATTCTTCTGAGAATGTTTTTGAAAGTTATAGAGCAATTAATTTTTATTCAAACATTGTTAAACTAGAAGAGTCTAAAAACTAAACTGCAATAGTTTACTTTCAGCTGGAAAGCAAATCTATTTTAATATATTTCTTTTTCTTAAGTAGTTTATCTAAAGTCCAATATTTATATCTTGTTTGTTATAGCACAACTATCACGAAGACTATAAAAAGAAGAAGGGCAAATGGAGCCAAACACCATGCTATGATGTTGCAGTTGCCAAAATGAACTCTGACAACTTGAGCACAGTAAGAAGGAATATCAAAATGCCATTTTGTGTTTGCTTTTTTCTCCCTTTCTCTATTCCCCTATTTTATAGTGACTGCTTGCCTTTCTAATAAAATTCCAATTTTGAGCTGTACATTCTTGCACTTTCTGCTGTTTGCAGAGAAAATATCAGGAAGACTGGGAATCTAAGAAAGACCAAATCTACTTCATGCAGACAGAAACACCAGAGTATGCAGTTAATAAGCATGCTGGAGTTGCTGCCAGTAAGGTATGGGAATATGTCTAGCTATAGCTATGTGTTTAAATTGAACCCATTGGAGAGACCAGGCGATGCTGCGACTCATAATGTGCTTGGAATCTTCTGATCATTTCATTTTACATGCAAAGAAAATCCCATCCAAAATAGGGCTTGTTCAAAGCTTTTAGTCATCTCATATGAGTTGAGTTGGAAGGAAGGCATTTCTGTCTAAATTGAAAATGTATCATGGATAGCAATGCCGGAGGGGTCAAGAAGTGAAGATGGCACTGAACAAAGCCCCTGTGTGTGCTTGTGACATTAACACATGTACATTAACACATGGTTCTTTGTTCATATAGTCACAGCTGGAATTGTACTCTTTTTGACCCGCTCATTTATACAGCTGGTATTCCACATATATTGTGCAGCCTCATCTCGTTATGGTGGTCAAAGAAAGTTTAATGTGTAGCACCATTAAGTCAGACTTGGATGCATCTGTTAGGTTTTGACATTGTTCAAGAAAATTTTAACTTAACAAAGGAGTTCTGCAAAAACTGAATTCCTTTGTTCCTTATGTTGGTGATCCAATGGAAACTTTTGTTGGTGGAAGAGAGAACTTTCATTTATTTCTGTTTTCCACTTTAGTGACAACCCTACTTTTCTAGGCCATATGGGAAATGATGAAAATTATCTTCCTTTTTTCTGCTGGGGTGTGTGTGTGTGTGTGTGTGTGTGTGTGCGCGCGCGTGTCTGTGCATGTCCCCCAATAGTGTAACACTGCTAACAAATAGACTTGGATCTATGAGAATGGAATGTCCTTCACTTCATTTTTGAGTGCATTACTATCTTTCTCAGATTTAGTAATACAAGTTTAGCAGAAGAGATAATAGAAGTCGAAAAGGTATTTTGCTAACAAAAAAGGTACTTGCTATAACCCTCGAAAGCACAATACATTCCAGTTATATTTCATCAGCTTATCAGCAATGGCCTTTTTTTTGACTATGGAACAATTGCCAAGTATGAGGTACAAATAGCATTTTCCAGTTGAACCTGTTTTCCTAATTGACGAGATGGCATCTCTTAAGAGCCTCAAATGTGTTTGATTTAGAATAGTATATGAATGTTTCCAATGTTTTTTTTTTAAAAAAATCTTTGAGCGAAAAGCCCAAATAAAAAGGTTACAAAATCATATTGTAAAATTGGAAAACGCATTAAAATCTTTTCCCTTAATTCTTCTAGGTGAAATACAAGGAAGATTATGAAAAAGCCAAAGGTTCAGCAGATTATAATGTACTTCCAGCAACTGAGAATCCAATGCTCAGGCATCTAAAAGCTGTTGCAAATAATGTAAATGATGTAAGTATGCAATTTGTTTTCCAGGGATGGATTTGATAAAACAGAGTTTCAACAATTCATCATTATTTGTTATTTAAAATTAGGCTTCTTTATTACTGTAATAGGTTTGTTGGGTAACTTCTTGTCTTGTTATGAGAATGCAAAATTTAATCAGCAAATTGGTTAGATCAGTGTAGACTATAAAACATCCTTTGAGTAGAATGTTCCTTTTTTCACATTTGATCCAGAAAGGCTTTGCTTTCACAGTGTTCATAACTTGGATAAGATAAATAATGAACAATAAAGATTTGCATTCTAGACCAGCTTGCTTCATTTTTGAAGACAGCACAGGTTTGATGGCATCATAATCAGCAGAAGAGTTTTTTTTCTGGGTTCCCCTTACACTAATACTTCTGTAATACTTTATATTCTTTTTTCTTTTTTTTCTGGCAGAGATTATATAAGGAAGCCTACGAGAAAGCCAAAGCGAAAAGTATAAACTACTGTGAGACTCCAAAGTACAAAATCGACAATGTCCTGAAAGACTTTAGTGATGTAAGTGTGATAGAAATAGTTCTTTAACGTGTTCCAGAGAAAGTTGTGCAGTTTCTTATAAAAAACTGCTGGCATTCTTTTCCAGGTCAAATACAAAGAGCCTTACATAGCCAACGTCTTGGGCCGGTACATAGGCACCCATGAGGACCCCTATCAGATACATTGCATGAAGGTTGGCGCTATGACGAGCGACGTGAGTATGAGTTCTAGCTCCCCAATCCGGCTTCGCTGATTTGTTACGGTTACTGATCCCTTATTGTTTCTCTAGAAAAACTACAAAGCCGACTACGAAGAGGAAAAGGCTAACTGCTACTTCCCCCAGACTTTGACTCCAGAATATGAAGTCCAGAAGAAGCTGGACAAGTGCAAAGACGTAAGAGCTGCCGTGAAATCTTGTATTTGTGTACGGCTCAGAACCTCAGATGTGGGGGAGGGGGGAGGAAAGCGTGCCTTTTGAAACTTGTTTAAAGCAATTTGAATGGCCAAATGATAAAATGAGTTTTGAAGATAGACAAATACTGCACCCGCATAAGAAAACACAGACATAAATCCAACTATTTGTAGCTCAGGGTTGAAATGAGGGGTCCCTGGCGCTCTCTGAGCTTGCTTGTTTTCTGGAAGACATTTCATTATCCAAACTAGGTAACATCATCAGGGCTAGCACTGATGATGTTACCTAGTTTGGGTAATGAAAGGTCTGTCAGAAAACAAGCAAGCTCAGAGAGCACCAGGGACCCCTTACTGTAAATCTGACTACTGGTTGAATCATGTTTTTTTTAATATTTCACAGAAGTGGAAAAAAGCTATCTTCTATTGAAATATTTATTCTGCTTTCTATTTAAGAGACTTGGTCTATGTTGACTTAGGATCACATCACTGAGTCCCATTATTCCAACAGGCATACTGAAGAATTGGGATTTTGAATAAAGGAGAGAAATGAGAAAAAAAAACATTGAATCGAACTCTTTATAGCCTATGCTATCTACTTGGTCTTAGCTAAAAACTGCAACCTGCAGAGGTTGCTTTGTATTAATTAAAAAAAAAAGTTCATTTGCATATAATGTGTAGTTTGTCCTCAAGTGGTATCATTCTAACATCTTACATCATCATATTAATTTATAGGAAGCTCATGACATCTAGTGGTTAACATGTATTTGGATCACATGCATAATTTCTCAAGCAAAACCTTATATAAATTCAATTTACTTGCTGTAGAATTGGACATGGTGATGGAAATAATCATCTTTAATACTGTGCGCACTCACTCACAAACGCACTTAAGTGACAATCTGTAAGGGCTGGATCAAGAATAGTTCACATACTGAATAGTAAATAAGTCACAGTTATTCAACATCTCCTTAATTGAGCGTCTCATATATTTTGATCTTTCCATGACTATAATAGGCTGAAAGCTTTCAGAATTGCAGAAAATACAGGTAGTCCTTGACTTAGGACTACAACTGAGCCCAACATTTCTGTTGTTAAGTGAGACATTTGTTAAGTGGGTTTTCCCCTATTTTACGACCTTTATTGCAACATTTGTTAAGTGAATCTGGCTTCCCCATTGATTTTGCTTGTCAGAAGGTTGCAAAAAGTGACACAGGAACTGTCATAAATATGAACAACCAGTTGCCAAGGATTTGAATTTTGATCACATGATCATAGGGATGCTACAAAGGTCGTAAGTGTGGCAAGTGGTCCTAAGTCACTTTCTTTCAGTGCCACTGTAACTTTGAACAGTCACTGAATGAACTGTTGTAAGTTGAGGGTGACTTGCAATACATTTCGATTTAGCTCATGCTACTATATGTGTAGCATATTGCTATTTGCACAATAGCCTTAGCCTTACCATGGTAGAGCTTATTGTACCCTGCAAAATAAGCCATGGTTGATGATGATCTCTAGCCTGGTAACAAAACGTTCAGAAACTAAATTGAAACAAGCTTGGAGAGCAAGCCACTGCCAAAAGCCATGGCTGAGTTTGCAAAAAAGGTAAGATGCCTTAACTATAGCTAGAAGTGGGGCATTTGTACATGACATATCTTGTTATGCCAGAATTATAAACATCTGGCTAGCAAACCTCTGGCTAGCTTCTGGTTTGGCAGTCGTTATCTGCCTGGACAATGAAACGGATTCAGAAGTGGTCCCAAGACAAAGAGCACTGATTCCCTCCCACTGTTATTTCTTCCCTTGATTAATCTTAATGCGTGTTGAGAGAACGTATTCTAGATGCAACAGATATATTGTATTAAAATCTGCTATCATTCCAGATACAAAACATACCATGAAGACCACAGTACTGCAGCCTAAATGTTCATTATGCTTTGCTTTCACTTCACCCAGGTTGTCTATAAGAAACCTCCAGATCAGATTAAGTTCACTCAGGCGGCGGATTCCCCTGTTTTGGTACAAGCACAGATTAATACCAAACAGTTAAGCGATGTAAGTGACCTGCAAGTTAAAGAATGAGTTCCTGTCTGACTTTATACTTCATGAAGCTTTGTGTGATAAAATGTTTCCAGTCATAATGCTGCATATTTAACAATGAAAGGGCAAATGAACAACTCATGGTTGACCAAGAAACGTATATATTCTGTTTATTGAAGCATTATATCAGGGGTCCTCAACCTTAGCATCTTTAAGACTTGTGGACTTCAAGTCTCAGAATTCCTCAGCCAGCTTTGCTGGCTGAGGAATTCTGGGAGTTGAAGTCCACAAGTCTTAAAGTTGCCAAGGTTGAGGACCCCTGCATTATATAGTAGATTATTGCCTATTGAATAAGCAACAGTTAGTTTCCAACAGAGGTTTTGGGACTGCGTCATTTTAGGAATCTGATATTGTGGAGAAGTATATAGGAAGAAATTGATGGAGTTAGGTCCAGGAAGAATCTCACTCTCCACTTATCCAGGCATATTTTTCAATATGGTGGTTTATTTATTTATGAGACTTATATATGGCTTTAAGTGCAAGCACTCTCTAAGCGGTGTACACCAGTAAGCAATGTATATATATATATTTACATTGCCCCCAACAATCTGGGTCCTCATTTTACCTACCCCGGAAGAATGGAAGGCTGAGTCAACCTTGAGCCGGTGAGATTTGAACCGCTGACCTGCTGAACACAGTCAGCTAAAGTGGCCTGCAGTACTGCACTCTAACTGCTGTGCCACCTCGGCTCTACATGTTTAGTTTCATGTCTTAAGTCCTATAGTAAAAAAAAAGAAAGCTTAAAGCACAAAAGCCTACTTTTACTGACATTGTATTACTATGTTTACCAATTATAGTAAACTGAAAGGTGGAGCCAGACTTCTAGCAGTAAGAAGGAATTTCTTTTTCTTCCTTCTCCTCTGTACACCGACAACATCTGATTTTGAGAAGGAGTGATGAGACTACTAGGGGAATAAAATTGGCTTCCTCCCATTGTATCTGCATATACGATTTCTATTAACAGAACAGTAAGCTAAATCTCACACAGATAAGATATCAAAGTAAGGGGTATGTGTGTCATGCGCTCGATTCCAGCAAACAGTCTTAATGATTGGATGGTTATTGTTATGCCTTTGAATCAGATTTTTTTGAATCCTGGTGATTGCTTGGACTAATTCCTACAGTTTTCTTGGCAATATTTTCGGAAGTAATTTGTGCCTATCTCCTTCTTAAGGTTGAGAGAAAGAGAGTGACTGGCTCATAGTCATAGCTGGCTTTGAGTCTAAGGCAGGATTAGAACTCACAATCTCCTGCTTTCTACTCTGATGCCTTAACCATTGCACCAAACTGTCTCATATCTTAATGATAGCATGTCCAAATACCATCCTAAATTGCTCTATACCCTGAAAGTTTTATCAATCTTTTAACATTCTTATTGAGGAAGTTGCATCATAGGAAAGCAAGCAAACTGTTTTGTCTGGATGAAAGACATATGTTATTCCAGATGATTTATACTGATCCATTCTAAAGATGCACATTCATGTTGTTGAAACAAATGGCTAACTATGGTTTGCTTTTGAAATATTTGAATTGAAACGTTTGAATCCGTTGTCTTGTTCAGATCTATTGTTAGCAATGAATGGTAGTGTTGTAATTCAAGTTTTTCCATGTTATCCCATTTTATGGCATTGCTTATTCTGCATTTCAGATGAATTACAAAGCCAAACATGAGGCAGAAAAATCCAGATGTTCCATACCTCCAGATACTCCATTGCTTCTCCAATCCAGAGTCAATGCTTATAATATCAGTGATGTATGTATTATGGACAACTGTTCTTGTGTTTAATTTTATAATTAATAATAGTATTGCTACTATGTTAATGACTATAACATCAGTGATGTAAAAGCCAATAGATGATAGATAGATAGATAATAGAGATAGAAGTAGTGATAGAGATAGATAGATAGATAGTTGATAGAAATAGAAATAGAAGTAGAGACAGAGATAGAAGTAGAGATAGAGACAGACAAACAGACAGACAGATTGATTGATTGATTGATTGATTGATTGATGGTTTAGACTAGCTACATTCTAAAAGAGGCAAATGTAAACAAATAAAGCCCAAAAGCATGGGAGAAAGGGAAAGACACAAATCTAGTGTTTATTTAGAAATAACTTTTTAAAAATTGAAAGCAATAGGAAGTAACAATGGGTACTTCCAGATGTGGTTACTATGGTGTAGCTACACTCCCATATTTACAGAATTCAATAGATGAGCAGAGGTTTTCATCTTCTATTTATCATTGTTGTAGTTTCCCCTTCCTAATCCCACTGCTTGTTTCTTTTTTTATTTACCATGAAAAGTCCCCTAAGGAAGGAAAGTGGCATACCTGGACAATATCTTTGACTTATTTGCACTAGAGACCTTGTATCTAGATAGCATCTTAGGGAGAATTATTATAAGATAATGAGGAAAAGAAGAAATCCCTAAAAGGGAAAAATTAAATAACTTAATGGGAGAGAGAGAGAAGCAGGCAAAAGAAATGGAGGCATGCTGGTTAAGAAAAGGCTGGATGGGAAAGTGACTGAAAGGTGGAATGACAGAAACAAAAGATTCAGTAGAGATAAAGAAAGGAAATAGTATAGCATGAAGCAAAGAAAAGAGAGAGATAAAGAGAAATGTGTATCAATAGATAACAAACAAGAGGAACAGTGTGTGGATAACTCAACACTGTTAATGGAATCAAATTTTGGATACAACTACCTGGTGCTTTTTTTGTAAAAAAAAAAAAAAAAAAGATGCCGGAACTCACACACATTATACAACCCGCCTTGCCTACCCTACAAGGTTCCATCCCAAAAAGGTGCCAGAACTCCATTCTGGGCGTTCTATGACAAAAAAAGCCCTGCAACTACCACTGAATTAATATATGATCTCTAAAAAACCAAGAAGGATCTAGTCATTTCATGAAATCAACACAGAGATGAATCCAGTATTTCTTATTCTTAAAGGTTTTTTTTATATATATATATATATATATATATATATATATATATATATATATATATATATATATATATATATCAGTAAAAAAGGAAAGCGATCACCAGGAAGTAAAACACCAAGGTTTTAATAAATAAAATCAAGCTTTCGATGGCTAACATCTGCCATCATCGTCAGGATACAAGCCAGTCAGTGAGGAAACCTGCTTATAAGCATAGCCACACCTAAACTCTACGCATGGACCTTGTAACAGGTCCAAGCCAACTAATCCTTACTTTACTTACAGCCTTCAGTGATTCTTTCTTTTAGCTCTTACTTACATCCACCTAGCTTTCAATGGCTAGCACCTGCCATCATTGTCAGAATACAAGCTAGCTAGTGAGGAAACCTGCTTATAAGCATAGCCACGCCTAAACTCTACGCATGGACCTTGTAACAGGTCCAGGCCGACTAATCCTTGCTTCACTTACAGCCTTCAGTGATTCTTTCTTATAGCTCTTACTTACATCCACACAACCACCCACTTCCTCCCTCCCTTTAGTTCCTGAGTCATATAGGCAATGTGTGTTTCTCAAAATTAAAGGGTCCTCTGCACTATTGAATTGATTCTTCTTTCTGTGTTCCTTGGGACGTTTCTCTCCTCCACTCCTCCGGCACGCATCGCACTCATTTGCATTCTTCAATCCTGTCACTCCTTCAATCCCCCCACAATCCTTGCCACCAATCTCATCCACAATTTTATTTCCCCCCACTGTTCCCAGCATATCGCATCCTCCATGCTCCTCCTTCATGCCACCTGGTGCGACTCTCAATCCGGTTGCCTCTCTTTCAGTCTTCTGTAACGCCGCTCTCCGGGAGCGCGTGACCACCCCCATAATGGGGCGGCTGTAAGTATTGATCTTCTGTACATCCATTGAAGGCATGTCTCTGTCTCGGTGGCTCTGATCAGTGTGGCCGCCTAGCAAAGGTGTTATTCTGCCATCGCTCATGGTAGGTGTTGCCTTTTTTGAATTCCTATCCATTTCCAAGGCGCCAGCGACCAGATGCGTTGTAGCGGGGGCACCATTGGGGACAATGGAGCCGATATAGTCACTGGGGTAGTGAATTTGTTTTGTGTTGATTGGGACACTTGTTGTTCTTATTCTTGAGTATTGGGTACAGTGCAAGGAGGTGTCTGGGGCATCTGAGGATGGGCTACTAATATCAACAAATTTCTTAATTGACGGCGGATGTACACACGAATCGTTAACTAAAGGGGGTCTAGATTGTAGATGTCTCTCTTCTTTGTTGCCAGTTTCATCTAATGGACACCCAGAGTTTTTGTTACTCAGATGTTTTTTCCCAGGTCGTCTACGCATTTCCCATGCCTTCATGGTCTGATATGCCGAGCGTAGGTCCACATGTCGATTGATTGACATGCTGTCTGAGAACCAGGCTTCTTTGAGTAACCTACCACTCTTGGAGGTGTCACTGGCAACCACCCTTACGTCGTCAAAATTAAATTTATGACCAAACTCCTCCATGTGAGTCAGTATTTGGGAGTACTGCTCACCTCTTCTTATTGCCAGCTTGTGTTCCTGCATTCTTGTTCCGACCCTTTTGGAAGTTTCTCCCACATAATTGCCTGGACAGTCATTACAGTTAATCCTGTAAATGACTCCAGATCTCTCAACTATGGGGAGTGGGTCCTGTGGTCTCATAATGCAGGAACGCAACGTCCGGTCAGGTCTATGTGCAACCCTTACACCATAGGGTGCCAATAGTCTAGTGGTGGCTTCCGAGACGTTGCTAATGTAAGGGAGGGTAATACGAGTTGTCTATGATGGTGCCATCCCACTTGATGGATTTGGGGATGGTTTGGACAGAGTACTGTGGCGTCTGATGAATTTCATGGGGTACCCATTGTACCTACAGAGACGGAGGAGATGTTTTCTTTCCTCCATCCTAGCTTCGGCTGTACTGCAGTGGGAGTCCACCCTCTTGAAGAGGGTTCTAATGCAGCTGACTTTGTGGGCCACCGGGTGATTGCTGTTGTAGTGCAAAATTCTATCGGTGTGCGTGGGTTTGCGATAGACCCGGGTGGTTAAGGTCCCATCTGGCTGGCGTTGGACTAAGACATCAAGAAATGCCAGCCTACCCTGATACTCCTCCTCCTCCGTAAATTGCAGATCCACGCACACCGAATTGACTGTGGTCGCTGGCGCCTTGGAAATGGATAGGAATTCAAAAAAGGCAACACCTACCATGAGCGATGGCAGAATAACACCTTTGCTAGGCGGCCACACTGATCAGAGCCACCGAGACAGAGACATGCCTTCAATGGATGTACAGAAGATCAATACTTACAGCCGCCCCATTATGGGGGTGGTCACGTGCTCCCGGAGAGCGGCGTTACAGAAGACTGAAAGAGAGGCAACCGGATTGAGAGTCGCACCAGGTGGCATGAAGGAGGAGCATGGAGGATGCGATATGCTGGGAACAGTGGGGGGAAATAAAATTGTGGATGAGATTGGTGGCAAGGATTGTGGGGGGATTGAAGGAGTGACAGGATTGAAGAATGCAAATGAGTGCGATGCGTGTCGGAGGAGTGGAGGAGAGAAACGTCCCAAGGAACACAGAAAGAAGAATCAATTCAATAGTGCAGAGGACCCTTCAATTTTGAGAAACACACATTGCCTATATGACTCAGGAACTAAAGGGAGGGAGGAAGTGGGTGGTTGTGTGGATGTAAGTAAGAGCTATAAGAAAGAATCACTGAAGGCTGTAAGTGAAGCAAGGATTAGTCGGCCTGGACCTGTTACAAGGTCCATGCGTAGAGTTTAGGCGTGGCTATGCTTATAAGCAGGTTTCCTCACTAGCTAGCTTGTATTCTGACAATGATGGCAGGTGCTAGCCATTGAAAGCTAGGTGGATGTAAGTAAGAGCTAAAAGAAAGAATCACTGAAGGCTGTAAGTAAAGTAAGGATTAGTTGGCTTGGACCTGTTACAAGGTCCATGCGTAGAGTTTAGGTGTGGCTATGCTTATAAGCAGGTTTCCTCACTGACTGGCTTGTATCCTGACGATGATGGCAGATGTTAGCCATCGAAAGCTTGATTTTATTTATTAAAACCTTGGTGTTTTACTTCCTGGTGATCGCTTTCCTTTTTTACTGAAATGTATGTACCCAGGAATCGCTATTCTTCAATTTTTAATGTAATTATATATATATATATATATATATATATATATATATATATATATATATATATATATATATATATATATAACTTATATAGTTATACATGTTATAAACCAGTTTTTCAAAGCTGCACAGATTTCAACGCATCGAGTTGTTAATGATTTGAATATGCCAGGTTGTTGTGATTTTATATATTTCCTACAGTAACTGGCTGCATTGATTCTTCATGTCACACTTTCCTTATGTTTTCTTATCATGCTCATTTGGTTAGAACTGGTACAAGTATGACTGGGATCAATCCAAAGCAAAGAAGTTTGATATCAAAGTGGATGCCATCCCAATTCTGGCTGCCAAAGCGAAACAAAAAATTGCGAGTGATGTAAGTGTTACACAGAATAAAAAAAAGGCAATTCTTGGCTTTCCATTTTTATACAAATTTATAGCATATGAAACTATGTTATTCTCTTTTCCCATGTAGGTTGAGTACAAGAAGGGCTATGAAATGAGCAAAGGGAGGCTTGTTGGAGCCTTGAGCGTTAAGGATGATCCTAGGATCATGCACTCACTGAAAGTAGGCAAGCTGCAAAATGATGTAAGTAACCCCTATGAATAAAATTGTGAAAACAGGAAGTGTGGGAGGCATATAACATTTATCTTGGGTTCCAGGAGCTTACAAGCAAGGAGACAATGGAGTATGAAATAACAAGTCCTAAACACTTTTTTTTTTAATATTACAATCTTGGCTCTGTATTTAATTTCAAATGAATATATTATTTCTCAGGATTACCCACAGTTCAACAGCAAAACTTTCTAAATGGGAGTCAACATCATGCATATAAGAAATATTTTCTAAATCCCTGTTGCATGATTACTTCTACTTTTCCACTCTTGCAGAGATTATATAAGGAAGCATATGAAAAAGCGAAAGGAGTAAGCATTAACTATTGTGAGACTCCACAGTACCAGGTCGACAACACTCTTAAGAACTTCAGTGGGGTAAGTGTGGTGGAGATTTCTCCTTTGCTTCTGCTCCATACATAGTCTTGCTTGCCTTGCTATAACATGTGACTATGTCGCTCCACAGCTGAAATACAAAGAGCCTTACATAACCAATGTCTTGGGCCGGTACATAGGCACCTTTGAGGACCCCTATGAAGCCCATTGCAGGAAAGTTGGAGCCATGAAGAGCGATGTGAGTATGAATGGTACCTATTTTCCTCTTTCCCCCCCTTTCTTGTTCAGTTCATGGTGCTTACTGAACTCTGGTGTTTTCTCTAGAAAAACTATAAAGCAGATTATGAAGACGAAAAGGCTAAATGCTATTTCCCTCAAACCATAACTCAAGAATATGAAGCCATAAAGAAGCTGGACGTGTGCAAAGATGTAAGTCATGGTCCTAGTGAGGTCATATTTTTTACGTGCTTCAGAACTGAAAAAGAAAAGCGTCTCAGTGGTATATTATTTCATAAAATTCTTAAACCAAGAAATAAAATAAAAGATATTACATGATCCAAAAATATCTGAAAGATTGTTGGTGGTACAAGAACTGAATTCAAACATCATAGGCAAATACTGTCAAAATAAATGCTGCCTTCTCCAACTGTACTTTTACTGAATGGAGGCATGAACGATGATAACACAAAGGATCGTCATAAAATGTATCATGAATGATAAAAGCATAAACTTGATGTCTACCAAAAACTAATTGCCACTGAATTTTAAAAAATATTTTCTCCCTAGTCTGCCTACAAAAAGCATCCTGACCAGATCAAGTTTACTTCAGTGCCGGATTCTCTGGTTTTGCGACAAGCACAGATTAATACCAAGCAGCTGAGTGACGTAAGGCTTTGCATGGTCTTTATTTTCTGCTAAGTTGTCTGACAAACAGCACAGCATTAGTTGGGACTTGCAGGTACTTAACATTGCAAAAATGTTAAGTGATTGCTAGGAGTTGTCAGGAACTGCTGGTTGATGCTTAACTAGATTCAGATTTTACGAAATGAAAGTGATCATTTTTGATTGCTGGCCCACTGAAAGTCAAAGACGTTCTTCATTTGATGGTGCCATGAAACTCTTTTCCTCTGTTGTGCGGATACTATCGTAGTGGAAGTATGCTGCTGACACTAGATATATGTGTGGCACGATGTTGATAAATTATAATACCTGTCTTATGAACAGTGTGTTTGCATGAATTTTTTTGTAGCAGTCCCCACACAGTTGCTCTTTAAATCCTCGTTAACTCGTTCTGCCTTTCAGTTAGCGGGGTTAGAAAAAAGTCTGTAGCCATAGTTGGTCTCTAGGAGGAGGAATTCATCCCATAGTGAAGAGCAGTGTGTGTTAGTTATTTATATACCACTATGTGTTCATTCTATATTTCAGATGAATTACAAAGCCAAACATGAGGCTGAAAAGTTCAGATGTTCCATACCTGCAGATGCTCCTTTGTTTCTTCAGTCCAGAGTCAATGCTTACAACATCAGTGATGTACGTATAAGACTTGCATATGATAGTTTTGACTTAATTACATAAAATATTAAATATTGCTATTACTACTAGGATAATAGGGCATGAATCAAACACATAGTAGTGTGATGTCAAGCAGATAAGCAGGGTGTAAGACTAGATGGATGCCTTCTGAAGACCCCGGGGTATCTTTCATAATCCATAGTCAGTACGAGCAAGGGCATTAAAATGAAAAAGAGAATTAACTTAATTTTAGAACAAAAGTGAAAGGTGTTCAAAACATATTGATTCTTGGGGAGAAAGAATGAAGCATGTCAAAATTATGACACAAGAAGAAGGGTGAGAAAGAAAACAAAACAACAAATATTTAGAAAAGACTAGAAGGTCAGGAAAAAGGTAGCAGGAATGGTAGGGAAAGAGGCTAATCAAGTTCTGCATAACTTAACACAACCTGGAAAAGTAGAGCTAAAAGCTGTTGTTGAAAATATTATGGGAGGGTGTGCGATTGAGCAGACATACCTCCAATTATGTGATACATCACAGTTTGGTATCCAGGCAAGGATCAGATGACGATAAAGAATTTGACTAGGTGAATGCATTCTGCCTTTAAGTACTGAAGAGGATAGATTAGTTATATCACATATTTGCATATTGTACATTGTTCATCTCATAAGAGGCTTTTTAACAAGTTTCAAATTTTAAAAAGTGATAATATTTTTAATAGTACTTTATGGTAGCATAGAGAAACATTAAAATGTATATTTCAGTTGGTTAGAAATGTTTGCTCTTAACTTGAAGAATACTTTCATGTTGTCAATCAACCTGAGGTATGGTTATAGATAAAGGCATCTTCTACTACCAGTGTATGTCTTTTGAGGCTTATTCTCCTGATTCCTAGTTCAGGTTGACCCACTTTATTTTCTTCTTCTCTCTTGGTTAGAATTGGTACAAGTATGACTGGGATCAATCGAAAGCAAAGAAGTTTGATATCAAAATGGATGCTATCCCGATTCTGGCTGCTAAAGCAAAACAAAAAATTGCGAGCGATGTAAGTACAGCACAGAGTAATAACACTTAGCTTTCAATCTGCATGCAAAGTTTGTAGCCTGTAAAAATATTTTATTCCAATATTCCCCTGTAGGTTGAGTACAAGAAAGACTACGAAAAGGGCAAGGGGAAGCTTATTGGAGCCTTGAGCGTCCAGGATGATCCCAAGATCTTACATTCTCTGAAAGTGGGCAAACTGCAAAATGACGTACGTAAGCCCAAAATACGATAGAGTGAAAATGGAGTGTGTGGCAAGTGAGAATCTTTGTGATGATGTAGCACAACCCTTTTCTTTTGGCTCCCTGTATTCTAGAGCTATAAAAGCAAGAAAAATTAGTAGCGAAATAAAAATTCGCAACTCATTTTTTGAAATTATAATCTGCATATAGTACTATTTTAACAGTAGCCAGTAAAGAAGACACATACCATATGCACCTGTAGTATTTTGTTAATGTTTTTATGACTATTAAATTTGAGAACTTCCAAGTTTAATAATATATATTTATATAATGCCTAATTATCCTAATTTATTCAGAGTCAAGTTAAGTAGTCAGCTGCCTAATGAAAAAATGTTTCAATTAAAATAATCATGAACATCAATATGCTAAATCATGAATGAACTGGGCGGTGTAAGTGACCTGCCAGTGTGTGCGGTCCCACTCACACAAGCCTCATTGCAGATGCTTGCGACCCCACTTGTGCGAGCATCACCGCAGACATCATGGGTGCTAGCACGCTGTCATAAAATTGAGTTCAAGCCACTCAAAGTGAAGTTTTCCAAAGTTACTTGTATTGTAACTTTCCAATACAAGTTATTCTTGTATTATTCGGACAAAAGGCAAGACAAGTGTGCAATTAAACTTAATTAGTTCCTTTATATTTGTACATATACTTGTCTAATTTCAAAGTTATCTTACTATGATAAGTTATGCCCAACAAGGCTATTCAGGTTACTATGTTCAACAAGGCTACTCAGATAACTGTGCCCAACAAGGCTACTCAAGTTGCTGTAAGTATTGCTGCTCAACTAAGCTACGCATTTACACAATACTCACATAAACTCTCAACACAGGTGATCAAGCTGTGTTAGAGTGGGCTGGAAAGCAGACTTAGAGCATCTCCTGCTCCAACAAGAGTAATCTCAAACTTTGGGCTGTGGGTTCATTCCAGTCTTCTCTTTATACCCAACTAGTTTACTCAGAATCCATGTGTATGGTACATCTTGCCCCAGTCATGTCAGGAACTTTACATTTTTGCTTTCTGTTCCAAGACTCCATGAAAAGTGCAATCTACTGCACTCTTTATGTCCACTAATGTTCTACCTGGTATCACCAACAATAAAGCATGCGTACACACACTCAGAATCTTTCCTTATTAGTAATACACATGTTCCAGCAGCGTGAGTTACCCAGTGAATTCATGAAAAGCCTAGCTATGGTTATATTACAGGCCCCCTATGTTCATAACTTATATCATATTTGTGATATATTCATAACATATAACATAAAATATGTAACAACACATGCACACACGCACACATGCGCCTGCCCCTCCCACAAAACCATCCCCTCTTTCCTCCCTCCCTCCTGCTGCCAACCTGGAAAGGTTGGGGAATTCTGAACTAAAAGAAATATCCATATCAGAAAGCTGTTTACATGGAACATTATTAATAGCCATTATTAACTGATATGAGGTATACTGGCCATTTCATTTATAAACTGATTTGGATTTCCCATAAACACCTGCCTTGCTACTCTTGGAGAGAAAACTTTTGCTAATCTATATCCTGCAATTAAGCCAGGAAGATAGTTCTTATGTGCCCATTCTAATTATGAATTCATAAAGTACATTTAAATGAAATCTTTTGGTATGCATTGTGATGCATATTTTCAGGACAGAAAGGAAACAGAACTGTGTAAGTGGGGATGAGGCATACCCAGAAGGAAGGTTATTTTCCACATGGCTTTTTATAACCCGTTCTCCTTTCTTTTTCATTCTTGCAGAGACTATATAAGGAACTGTACGAAAAAGCGAAAGGAGTAAGCATTAACTATTGTGAGACTCCACAGTACCAGGTCGACAACACTCTTAAGAACTTCAGTGGGGTACGTTTGGTGGACATTTCTCTTTGCTTCTGCTCCATAGTCTTGCTTGCTTTGCTACAACATGTAATTGTGTTGCTCCACAGGTGAAATACAAAGAGCCTTACATAGCCAATGTCTTGGGCCGGTACATAGGCACTTTTGAGGATCCCTATGAAGCCCATTGCATGAAAGTTGGAGCCATGAAAAGCGACGTGAGTATGAATGGTACCTATTTTCCACTTTCCCCCCCTTTCTTGTTCAGTTCATGGTGCTTACTGAACTCTGGTGTTTTCTCTAGAAAAACTATAAAGCAGACTATGAAGACGAAAAGGCTAAATGCTATTTCCCTCAAACCATAACTCAAGAATATGAAGCCATGAAGAAGCTGGACTTGTGCAAAGATGTAAGTCATGGTCCTAGTGAGATCACTTTTTTTTATGTGCTTGAGAACTGAAAAATAAAAGAATCTCAGTGGTGTATTATATCTTGATATTCTTAAAGTAATAAGTGAAATATAAGGTACATGAAAATATTTGAAGCATCATTGGTGGTATAAGAACTGCATTTAAACATCATATACTAAATACTTTCAATATAAATGCAGCCTTCTCCATCTATATTTTTGCGGAATGGATGCATGCATGATAGTAGCAGAGCAGAATGTTTTAAATCATATCATGAAGTAGTTTTGTTTTATTCTTTTCCTAGTCTGCCTACAAAAAGCATCCTGACCAGATCAAGTTTACTTCAGTGCCGGATTCTCTGGTTTTGCGACAAGCACAGATTAATACCAAGCAGCTGAGTGATGTAAGCAACCAAGAAATGGACAGGACCCGGCTTTGCATGATCTTACGTCTTCTGCTAAATTGTCTGACAGACAGCCTAGCGTAGTGATAGCGAACCTTTTAGAGACCGAGTGCCCAAACCTCAACCCAAAACCCACTTATGTATTGCCGGGTGCTGGGTGGGCACGGCCTGCTGGGTGGGCATGGCTACAGTCATCATGGCAGATGGGTGGGCATGGCCAGGGTCGGCATGGCCAGCCCGATGTTGCTCATGAGGAGGGACACCTGTGGGGGCAGGGTTGGGGGAGATCCAGGGGTCTCTGGCAGGTGGGGCGGTGGGCAGGAGGTTGGTTCTGTGGGATGAGGCGAGGCAGGGGTGCCATGTCGCAGGGCAAGGTGAGGCAGGGGCTGGAATGGCTGCTGCCTGACACCATTGGCCCCCGCACACAGAGGCCAGCAAGCGCATGGGAGCTGGGGTGCATCCAGCCATGAGGGACCTCAGCAAGTTAGCGGGCGGCTGGTTGAAGAGGACAGTTGCCATCTCCGAGTGCCGCCTCTGGCACGCGTGCCATAGGATCACCACCACTGGCCTAGAGTTTGCTGGGGCTTGCAGATTCTTTCCATTGCAATAACATGGGTATCTATTTGGAAAGTGAGAATTTTGTGGCAATGCTTTTGAAAACAAATTGAAGCAGTTGCTTAGAATGTGACAGGTTTCATACCTGAGCATGGCAGTGCATCTCAGTTTTCCAGAAGCTTATTCATGTATGTACTTATTTAGCAGTACATTCTCAGACAAGAATCAGATAGATTAGGTTCTCTGTTGCAGACAAAAATTAAGCCCCGAGAGGCAGGCATTGCCCTTTTCAGTTCCAAATGGTCAATGCCTTTACATAGGGTTGTGCTTGTGGAATTTTAAATATGGGCAATTTTTTCTGTCACCCTTCTCAGTTAACAGGTGTTTGTTTGGTACTCAGAATAGCTTAGAAAGATTTACAAACTGTTCATTTTTAACTTCTAGAAAATGCTTATTGTTACTTCAGCAGGTTTCATCCCTATGCCACCTCTTCTGTTTTGTCCCTCCTCCTCTCCTTAGTCTCTGGAGAAACTGACCATGTCATTGATGATGATTTAGATGACTCTAAAATGTTTGTAATTGTACCCTTAATTGTTTTTTTTTAATCTTGAGACCTTTCACATGTCCCGCAAACTGTGGCAGGAAGATGCCTTCCTACCATTCCAGAAACACAGAAATGGATGTGATCATTTCAAATTCAGCCTTGTCCCATTAGAAAAACAATCTGTTGCCCACTATTTTTGTTTTGCTTTAATGTGGCATTTTCCACCATAGGTAATACAAAACTTGTAGTTCAGCTGGTCTGCTGTACCTCATTTCTAGGTAATGTTAAAGAGGAAGGTGAACTGCCCTGCTGCTATTGGCTTCCCCTGGCTCCCTAGTCATCCAACATTTGACAACAGGAGAAGCAAAACTTTCCCATTGTGCCTCAAAGTCATTTTCCCCACAGCTCTGGCAGCCTGTGCTCAGGCTGCCAAAACTTCAAAAGAAGACAAGAGAGCTGCCTGGGAAGAAGCCACAATAAAGTGTCTAATTGTCCTGTCCGACTAAGATATTCTGAAGGACAAGAAAACTGTGGGGAAAGAGAAGTAGAAGGGAAGTTGCTCTTTAACTGCCAATCCCCAAGACAAAGCTGTTTACTCTGGCTTGATGGAGAAGGCATAGCTGTGCCTAGTTCTCAGGGATAGCTGCATACATTTGTTGACCTGTACCAGAGGTCCATCTACAAGTCTTCTGCTATCAGTAATTGACACCAAAGAGGCATTTTTTTTACCTCTTTGTTTACTTTCCTTGTTGATCAAACCTGCTTACCTCATTACTGAGGTAGAAAAAGAGTCAGAATTGGAACCAGTGCATTTGAAGCTGGTGTGCTTTGATGCTGACTCACAAACAGCAGAAAAACTCTTCACTGCTGAAGTCTGAATGTGTTTTTGATCATTGGAATTCCATAGAAAGAGATAGATAGATAGATAGATAGATAGATAGATAGATAGATAGATAGAATTAAATGTCCAGCAATAAAACTGAAAATCTAAAAAATTGACACCATCACATCCTGAAATGATAATAATTTGCATAAAGAAAACATAGAAGTTTGTCTTTTTTGTAGAAATGTTTGTAATAAAATACCTTGAAGGTATTAAAGGTATTAAAATAGGACTCCCACTAAGTACCTATATTGAAGAAATATAAATTTTTGCAATCTTTAATTTATTCTTTATACTCGGAGAATTGTAAATAATCTGTTTTAGATTAATATCAATTAGAGATAAAAACAATGGAAGTATTTACATTGACAATTAGATTTTCTTGGAATATTCCAAAATATTTATAATAATTCCAACACCAAATAAAAATCCACAAATTTCCATCAATGCTTTAGAAATAACAGGAATTATATGTGATTACATTAATCAAATACCTTATAGTCTTATAGATTTTGGTAAATGACATTTATAGCTATCAATTAAAAATATCAAGGGAAAAAATATGTTCAGCTCTAGCCATTTTTAAGCCCACAATATCCTTCTGTGGCCTAAGAAAATAGACTAAATGTTCCAATACAAGGAGAGGAGGATGGAGTTCCATCCTGTCAGAGCAGAAAATAATTCTATATGTATTAGCATACTGTAATGAGTTTCCCATAAATCCTGTTGAATCTGAGTGGCATATAAACCAAGGAAGGGAGGGAGGAAGGGAAGGAGGGAGGGAGGGAGGGAGGGAGGAAGGAAGGAAGGAAGGAAGGAAGGAAGGAAGGAAGGAAGGAAGGAAGGAAGGAAGGAGGGATGTTCTATCCAAATAAGAACTGAAACTGGACTACATTTCAGGCCTCTTTATTCCCTCCCTCTTTCTGGCACTGGATAGTAAGAGGGGGACATATTTTTACCTCTTCTTGGTGAGGAATTCTTCCCATTTCTCTCCTCGTTGCCTTGTGAGCCATTCTCCAGATCGTATTAGTTATACAAACGTCTGTTATTTACTTGACCAGATCTTCAAAGTTAATGCTCAAGCACACCACAAAATTAAACTGTGGTTATCTGAACTTTTCTGAATAAGCCCTGGGGAGGAGATGCTTACCATTTTATAACTCCCTCCATCAGTAGGCTTATTGAAAATCCTATATCATTTCTGTTACTAATAAAGCATTTGGTCCCTGGCAGATATATGGTTCGAGCAAATAGGAAAGTAGTAAATTTTCATAGATTTCAAACATATTTGTCAGGAAAGGAAGTTGGTATTTAAAAAGTTGAAATTGATGCTATTAATGTAAGGGAAGAACTGGTACTCCGTGGGCACCACCATTCTGTCCCATCTGCTCCTTTAGAAGGTTCATCAATTTGACAAGGTAGTCCTTCTGGGAAGGCATTTGGTTTGGGTACTGGAGCAAGGCATTGATGACTTGATCAATAGCGGGGTTAGAAAAAAGTCTGTAGCCATAGTTGATCTCTAGGAGAAGGAATTCATCCCACAGTGAAGAGCAGCATGTGTTAGTAATTTATATTCCACTATTTGTTCATTCTATATTTCAGATGAATTACAAAGCTAAACATGAGGCTGAAAAATTCAAATGTTCTATACCTCCAGATGCTCCTTTATTTCTCCAGTCCAGGGTCAATGCTTATAATATCAGTGATGTGAGTATAATGGACAGCTGCTCTTGTGACTCAATTTCTTAATAAATAATATTATTGCTACTATGTTAATAGGTCATGAATCTAAAATATTTGCGGTGCGATGACTATTAGACAGACAGTGAACAAGCCTAGTTGAATCTTCTTTGAATACATTGGACAGATTCTTGTAATCCATAGTCAGCATGGACAAGGACAGTAAGCTTGAAAAGAACCAATCTAATTAACTATATTTAAAACAATACAAAGACCAAGATTTATCAATACAGTGGATGAAATAAAATGAGAGAATGATATGATGATTTAAGAAGGAAGAGGGAAAGCAGAATTTCTCAGCACATCTAGGAATGTGTTGTGCATATTTGGCAGGAGAAAGTATAGAAACAGAAATGATGTAGAATAGGCCAGTTGGGTGCTAAGACTCTTAGAAGTACTTAGAACAGGGGTGTCAAACTGCCAGCCCACGGGCTGGATGCATCCTGCCAAAAACGCACCCACCCCAGCTCCGGCAATGGGAAAAAAGTCACAATACATCGTGACACGTCACGTGATGCGGCGAGTTTGACACCCCTGACTTAGAATATGAGTGACTGTAATCAGGAATTACTAGAAAAGAGTCTGGGTTATGAGTAGGGATGGGGAGTGAATGACAGGCAATGTGTACATCTAGGTCAGTGGTTCTCAACCTTTCTAATGCCGTGACCCCATAATACAGTTCCCCATGTTCTGGTGACCCCCAACCACTTATACATCACCAGGTGCCAGAGGTGTGGCCAAAGAAAAGGGGAAAAAATGGCGGACAGCCTTGTTTGGCGACCCCCGTGAAATGGTCGTTCGACCCCAAATGGGGTCCCGACCCACAGGTTGAGAACCACTGATCTAGGTAGATGTATCTATAACCAAATAATCATTATATGAACATATGCGTTTTCTCTATGTTTAAGTCTCTCGCTATATTTATATCAATATTCTTGTTGATCAATAGATACATTGATAGATATATAGATAAAGAAATATTCTAAATCTGTCCATTAGTATGGTATAGATTGCCAAAGCAATCTGTACATATAGATCCATCTTATAATGGACTCATTTTGTGAAAGTTACAAATATTTAAAGGTGATTCTATTTCTTGATGATTGCCGCGTAAAGAATGTCAGAATTTATTATTCAGTTGGTTAGAAATGACGATTGTTGCTCTTATCCTGAATAATGTTTTCATTTAGTCAATCAAGTTGAGGTATGGCATTAGATTAAAAAAAAGATTTATCCTTCTGATTCCTAGTTCAGGATGATCCATTTTATTTTCCTCTTCTTTCTTGGTTAGAATTGGTACAAGTATGATTGGGATCAATCGAAAGCAAAGAAGTTTGATATCAAAATGGATGCTATCCCGATTCTGGCTGCTAAAGCAAAACAAAAAATTGCGAGCGATGTAAGTATGACACAGAGTAATAACACTTAGCTTTCAATCTGCACACAAAGTTTGTAGCCTATGAAAATATTTTATCCCAATATCTCCTTATAGGTTGAGTACAAGAAAGGCTACGAAAAGGGCAAAGGGAGGCTTATTGGAGCGTTGAGCGTCCAGGATGATCCCAAAATGTTACATTCTCTGAAAGTGGGCAAACTGCAAAATGATGTAAGTAAGCTCAAATATGGTAAAATGGGGTGTGTGGCTGGAACCTTTGTGATGATGTAGCACAACCCTTTTTTTGGCTCCCTGTATTCTAGAGCTATGAAGCAAAAAAAAAAAATAGTAATGAAATAAGAATTCCTAAATCATTTTTGAAAATTATAATCTGCATCCAGTAGTATTTTAATAGTAGCCAATAAAGAAGACACATACCATATGTACCTTCAGTAACTTGCTAACATTTTTATGATTCTTATAGTCTTTTATGACTATATCAAATTTGGGACCTTTCAATTTTATAATATATATTTATTTAATATATAATTAACCTAATTTATTCACAGTTATGTATAGTGAATTGTCTGATGATACCAATAAAACTGAATATCAGTAGCTCACACTGGTAACAAAACATCTGCAGGCAAACAACTGAGCTCAGAGAGCAGCAAGGACTCCTCAACTGTCTGATGAAAAAGTATTTAAAATAGAATAAAATTAATTCATGAACATTAAAATGTTCAATCAGCAAAGACCTAAATGGGAGATCCGTATTTGACAATTGTCCAACTGGGCCATTAACAACCATTATTAAACTGCATGAGGCGCAGTGGTTGTTTTCATTAGGATGTCACATGTTCTGACTAATGAAGCACTTCAAAGAACTTTCAGGCATGTTTCCTAAAGTCTTTATTTGCAGAGCTACAAATTTTGCCGGTCACCATGTTGGACTGGTTAGTGCCAGAGTCTGAACTTCCTGTCGCTGGCATCAAGCTTTCCTTGCTCAACCCCTCCCTTCTCATGCAGTCACAGGTCACATTATCCAATTAGTGAGAAGGTCAAACGTTTACTTCCTCTTTCTTTCCCGGGCTTTTTCCCCGCTCAGTCTAAGCTAAGTATTAACCCAATAAATGCCAAACAGTTTTGCATATTGTCAAAGCAAGAATATACAGTATTTGCAGCATTGACATCCGGCCCCCCTTACAAGAAGGACAGAACCTGTAAAGTAAACAAAAGCATATGTTAAGGGTTATCTTTCGGTTTGTTGGGGTGTTTCACATGAAACCTTTTGATCAATCTGTCAGCGTTCACTTCACTAGATTTCACTCAGGTGGCTTCAGACAATGGGTATCCCTTCCATTGTACCAAGTACTGTAATTTCCCCTACTTTCAGGTAGGTCCACTATAAGGTCCATAGCTATTTCTTCCCAGGGTTGAGAAGGGTCTGCCACGGGTTGCAGTAGCCCAGGAGTTTTTCCCGGGATTCTTTTTGTTGTGGCACATACAGTACAACTTTTTACAAAGTTTTCCACATCCTTTTTCAGCCCCGGCCACCAAAATTGTCGGCGGGTGAGGTGTAGGGTTTTCAAATATCCAAAGTGTCCAGCCTGCTTTACATTGTGGCTGTGTTTGAGAGCGTTAAGACGGAGCGCTTCTGGCAAATATAACTTCATCCCTTTGTAAGCCAAGCCATCCCTGTATGTTAGGGACGCTTGATTATCTTTGAACCATTGGTCAGTGAGGAGCTCTCGTTTTATTTTCTTCACTCCAGGGTCATCCGGATTGGGGACCCTGCGAGGTGTAGGTTGAGTGACAGTTTGTGGATTGGGAATAATTGCCTCGTTAACCTGCTCTCGTTCACTTTTGTACTGGGGTAACCGGGATAGCGCATCAGCTAGAAAGTTCTTTCCTCCTGGTATGTACTTTAGAGTGAAGTTGAAGCGGTTAAAGTACTGTGCCCACCATACTTGCTTTGGTGACAATTTGCGAGGGGTTTTCAGTGCCTCTAGGTTCTTGTGATCAGTCCATACCTCAAATGGCACCTTGCTCCCTTCTAGATAGTGTCGCCAGTTCAATAGCGCCCACCTAATTGCGAAGGCCTCTTTTTCCCAGATTGCCCATCTTCGCTCGCTCTCAGTGAATTTCTTAGAGGTGTAGGCACAGGGTTGCAGGATCCCATTTTTGTTTTTTTGAAGTAACACTGCTCCAACCGCCACATCGCTGGCGTCGGCTTGAATCACAAAGGGTTCCCCTGGGCAGGGGTGCTTTAGAACCGGTTCAGCGGCAAATAGTCTCTTTAAATTCTCAAAAGCTGTTTGACAGCTCATTGTCCATGCTAGTGGTTGGCCCGGTCGTGGCTTCCCTCCTCCTTTGCCTGTTTTGAGTAGTTCTGTAAGAGGAAGGGCAATCTCGGCAAAAGAAGGGATGAATTGACGATAAAAGTTGGCAAAACCCAGAAAGCTTTGGAGCTGTTTGCGAGTCCTTGGGGGTTGCCATTCGATTATAGTTTTTACCTTGGCCAGATCCATTTCAATACCCTCATTGGAAATTCGGTAGCCAAGATAGTCTAATTGGGTTCGGTGAAATTCACATTTTGACAATTTGACATACAGCTTGGCATTCAATAGTTTCTTTAACACTTCTCTCACTAGTTTTACGTGATCAGTCATGTTTGTGCTGTATATCAGGATATCATCAAGATACACCAAAACCCCTTTGTACAAGTGATCATGTAGAACCTCATTAATCAACTGCATAAATACAGCTGGGGCCCCCTGTAGTCCAAATGGCATGACTTTGAACTGATAGCTCCCCATAGGGCAGTTGAAGGCAGTTTTCCACTCGTCTCCCTCTTTTATTCTCACCCGGTAGTATGCCTCTCTTAGGTCTAACTTAGTGAAGACACTCCCCTTAGCCAGGTGGGTCAATAAATCCTTTAGGAGGGGGAGGGGGTATTTATTTTCCACACTTACAGCATTGAGTCCCTTGTAGTCTACGCAGAGACGAAGAGACCCATCTTTTTTCTCTTTGAACAACACAGGGGCTCCCACGGAAGATTTGGCCCGTTCAGTAAACCCCCTCGCTAGGTTCTTGTTCACATATCGCTGCATCTCCTCCATTTCGAGGGGGGACATAGCATACATCCTCGGACGTGGGAGTTTGGCTCCGGGCACCAGTTCGATGGAGCAGTCATTGGGTCTGTGAGGGGGTAGGGCATCACATTCTTTTTCACTGAACACCTCCGCCAGGTCCAAGTATTCTTTGGGGATGACTGGTTCACCTGGGGTCCGTGAGACGGCCATGTGCGCTCGCTCATTGGGTGGCCTAAGATGCCCAGTAACATCTGTTGAATCAGTGGGGGGATCAGGTCCTATAGGTAGTCTCACAATTCTCATTCCTTTCTCCCACCAGATAAATGGCTTCCATTTGTCCAACCAGGCTAGTCCCAGGATCACTGCCTCGGTCATCTTTGGAGCCACCAGGAAACGAATAAACTCCCAGTGTGCACCTATTTCTAGGCGTAAGGGCTCCGTTAATTGTGTAATAAGAGTCCCTCCCATCAGGGAGCCATCGGCTTGCTCAAATCTCATCGGTTTGGAAAGCTGTTTTGCCCTTATGCCCATTTTCATGGCAAACGCCAGACTAATAATGCAGCGGGTACATCCCGAATCAATTAGTACGTTTAAGTCTATTTGTGCCCCAGACGTAGGGATTACAAGTTTGGCGGGCAGTGAAAAAGGCAGGATTTGTTGACTCACCATTGGGTCGTTTTCTCCTTCATCGTTGCTATCAAAGAAGGGAAGAGCAGGGGCAGGTCCACCTGGAGTCTTGGCATTCTCCTGTGTGTGGGGTGTAACCTGGGCGACTGGTTCTTGCGTGAGTCGATTAGATTTTTCTCTTGGTAGCCGCTGAGCAGGTTTCTTTTGCATCGCCGGTCCTGGCTTGCTCTGCAGTCGAGGGTAGGGGACTGGACAGGTGGCCGCTCGGTGTCCTCCTTGTCCACACCGGAAACACTCGAAGGAAGGGCGTGCAGGTGGCCTGGGTCTCTCAGCCCTTGCAGTAGTTGAAGGCTTTCGTGGGGGTGAATGCTGTCCAGGTAGTTCTGGTTGCTGTTCGGGTTCCTGTGGGGGAGGCTTTTTATAGCGAGAGAGCTTAACATCCAGCTTCACGGCCGTCTGGTACCACTCCTGCAGCCGATCAGGTACTTCTCGATAGATGCAAGCCTGGAAGAGGTGATCATCTAATCCCTCGATGAAGTGATGGATGAGGGACTGCTCAGGCCACCCCTCTATTCGACCTGCCATCTTGCGGAACTCTCGCACGTACTCCAGGGCAGGCCTCCCTGCTTGTTTTATTTTGTGAATTTGTCCTGATGCTTTGAGGCCGATGGATGGGTCTTCAAATCATTCTCTCAGTCCTAAGAGAAAGAGATGGGGATCCTCCAATTCGAGGGCTTGCTCGCTGTATAGATTGTTCAGCCATTCAGATGCCTCCCCCTCCAGGTTGGCCCCAATGACGTCAACCATGGCCCCTGGTTCCGGATAGAGATAGGCCCAGCGATTTAGATGAGAACGCACTTGGTTGAAGAAAAAAATCAGCTTCTCTGGATCCCCATCAAACGTTGCATTGAAGGGTGGTGCAAGCACAGGCTGCTGTGGCCCCCACTGGGGCTGGTTCCATGGCTGCTGGCCAGCGGGGTTGGATGGTACCCCCTGCTGCTGTAGGCCTCCCAATGGTGGCTGCGCAAGTGGGGGTTGTAGTGGTCTTCTCTGTTGTTGGACTGCAGGGGGTGGTGGTGCCCTCTGCTGCTGCTGATCATCCATCTGCTGGGGAAACCCATCTACCCATTGCTGCAGATGCCTCAGACTGGAACTCACCCTCTCTTCAGGGTTGGGGTCTCTGGCTGGCAAAGGCAGGGTCTGACAGGCTTCCTGCTGGGCTCCCCATCGCTCTTGTGGCCACCCCAGTTGCTGTAGGCCCCAACCTGGCTGCAGATTTATGCCCAGGGGTTGCACGTTTGGGGGCTGTGGCCAACCTCCTTGCTGTGGCTGTTCTCTGCCCAGCTGCTGATTTCTTGGCTTCTGTACCACCCCAAGACATTGCAAGGCCTCTATTGGCTGTGGTAAGTTCAGAGGACATGGATCAGCCACTTGCTGGGGAACCCAATTTCCCCTTTGTTGCAGAGGATTCAAACTGGGATTCTCTCTCTTAGGGATGAAGGTTTCACTTTGTAGGGACTGTTTTCTGTTTCTCATTTCTAAGTTTTGAAATCTTTCCAATGACTCACCCATAACTGTGTTATCTGTCCATGCTGCTTTTGAAGTCTTCGCTCTCAGCTGGGAAATCTGCCAAATTTCACCCTCCCCCGGCTTGCTGGCTGTCGCTTTCCCCCCCGGGGAAACTGCTGCAGCTACGGGGCTGGTTTCAGGCAATTTTTTTTTTCTCCATAATGAGATCTCCCCCGAGGCTGCTGTTGATAAATCGGGACGTAGATCATTTGAAAAGAGTGTGGATTCTGGCATGATGTCACATGTTCCGACTAATGAAGCACTTCAAAGAACTTTCAGGCATGTTTCCTAAAGTCTTTATTTGCAGAGCTACAAATTTTGCCGGTCACCATGTTGGACTAATTGATGCCAGAATCTGAACTTCCGGTCGCTGGCATCAAGCTTTCCTTGCTCAACCCCTCCCTTCTCATGCAGTCACAGGTCACATTATCCAATTAGTGAGAAGGTCAAACATTTACTTCCTCTTTCTTTCCCGGGCTTTTTCCCCGCTCAGTCTAAGCTAAGTATTAACCCAATAAATGCCAAACAGTTTTGCATATTGTCAAAGCAAGAATATACAGTATTTGCAGCATTGACATAGAATTTGTGATAGATTTTTCATAAACAAATTCTAGCCACTGTTGAAATCAACCTATCTGAATCTATGCATCATGGGTTTAATTCAGATTACATGATTTTTTTTCTAGGCGATTAGGGCCTAGTTGCATGAATGTCTCTTTTGGTTGGGGTACTAATATATTTTATTGCTATTTTATAGTTTATATACTGAGTTTTCTTTCTTTCTTATTATATATTTTTTGTTATTCTTACTTTTGTAGTATGCTGCCCAGAGTCAAATTGTTTCAGTTGGGTGGGCTTACAAATGTAAGCAAAAATAAATAAATAAATAAATAAATTCCATCAATAAAATATGTACTATAATGTTTCCATCCTAATTATGGATTCAGAATGTAAATTTGGATGAAACCTTTTGGAATATATTGTGGTGTATATTTCAGGATAATAGGTGTGTAGGTGGGAAGCCAGGCAGACACAGAAGGAACAACATTTGCAACATCGTTTCCTAATCTCCCTTTCTCCATTTTTTTCCACTCTTGCAGAGATTATATAAGGAAGCATATGAAAAAGCAAAAGGAGTAAGCATTAACTATTGTGAGACTCCACAGTACCAGGTCGACAACACTCTTAAGAACTTCAGTGGGGTAAGTGTGGTGGAGATTTCTCCTTTGCTTCTGCTCCAGACATAGTCTTGCTTGCCTTGCTACAACATGTGACTATGTCGCTCCACAGCTGAAATACAAAGAGCCTTACATAGCCAATGTCTTGGGCCGGTACATAGGCACCTTTGAGGACCCCTATGAAGCCCATTGCAGGAAAGTTGGAGCCATGAAGAGCGACGTGAGTATGAATGGTACCTATTTTCCTCTATTTTTTTCCTTTCTTGTTCAGTTCATGGTGTTTATGCTGTTTTCTGGTGGTTCCTCTAGAAAAACTATAAAGCAGACTATGAAGACGAAAAAGCTAAATGCTATTTCCCTCAAACCATAACTCAAGAATATGAAGCCATAAAGAAGCTGGACGTGTGCAAAGATGTAAGTCAATGTTACTGTGAGATTTTATATCTGTATGTACCTTAGTCCAGAGTCTTTAAAAAACTGCTGAAGTGTTCCTTTAAAAAGGTAAACTTAAATATTACCATGCTAATAAATGTTTCCTTGGATTGGTCTTAACTCATAATGATCATGCACATGAGGGCTCTTGTTCCACATTCCTACCCTCTGTGGACACCCATCCACATAGTTTTCTTGCCATTAGAAATGGAATTAATCATTTTTCTTAAACAACCCAGATATAATGCTGAAAGAGCCACAATGTTTTCATGTAAGGTGAAATTGGAATCGGTTACGTCACATGTGACGCCCAATCAGAATTTAAGAAACCACAAAACTGTTTCAACGAAGCACAGACTAGAGGCATTTTCCTAGCAGTGTTCATTGGTTCAAACACTTCCTTCTGAAGAAATCGGTCCGAAGCCTGGTAACAGATGCCTTTGAAGCATCACCTGCGCAATTTTAATTTTTTTATATTTTGGCAGACCGAAATTGGACTTTGTAGTAGGTCTTGCTTCTCCAGTTTTGTTGCTGTTTTTCTATTACTGCGCTGTTCAGATATACATATAGGATTCATGTGACATCTGGTGGTAAGGAGACTGCAGTTTAGTTACTTACTGGAGCAGACCATCTGCCGTATAATCATCCATTTTCTGCTGTTTCAATGGCTTGGACAAGCTTTGTGCTGCAGAGTGAGCATGCTGTCTCTTTCTCCTTTCCCCCCATTTTTAAAAATCCTGGCTTGTAGTATTGTTAAAATGCAGCTAGATCAGATTGGTAGCCTCTCCAGTACATGTGAGTTTGTAAAAGTCAGTCATGGATTAAAAATACAAAGTTACTTTACTTTTGGAGACTCTCTTTACAGTCATTGCTGCTTGTCCGCCATCTTGGCTCTTATCCCCTTTTGACTTAGTTTTTACTAGTGGTTATTTACTATTTTGGCATTTTTTTGTATGTCTGTTTTATATTTCAATGTTTGTTGTTCATTGCAGATGTTTTATCTGTGTTTTATGAATGTAAGCTACCACAAGCCCCTGTTGTTTGCAGCAGGAAACAAATACAACAAATATTGCCATAAAAGCTGGCTCATGCGTGTATGGATGTTCTTCGTTAAAGCAGGGCAAATGTTTGAAAGAGACTGAAGATGCTTTCTAGACATGATTACTAAACTCTGAAGCCCAACATTGCCCGAGAGATATTGGCTGTGAAAAGCTACACCAGTATATTGGAATAAAGCATCTTTCTGGGGAGTGTTAAAGTACCTTTGTCTTTTTCAAAGCTGCCTTGTGTGTTTGAAAAACTAGCCCGGTTGCTTTCACACATGTGCGGGACACCACCACTTCATTTTACAGACAATCCCTGCACAGGCAGACATGCAGACCCTGCAGGAACAGATCTGGAAACATCTGTAAAGCCTTGCAAACCGTTGATGGTTTAGTCTTTTGAAGAGACGAGTTTTGTTTCCAATATGTTGCATAGATTTACTACTAATAGGCTTGATCACCAGCAGTGCAAATAGAGATTGTAACACTGTATCTGTGTGTAACAAGCATGGGACAATATGCTTCTATTCAGGTCTTTTAGTTAAAATAGCAAAATGTACATCTTCACTAATCAGAAGACTTTAAGATTTGTAAACAGCAGTGGGTTGTTTAGTTATACTGTTGATGACTGAATGGACTATATTAGTATGCTAGAATTTTTTTAAAAATATTTTTTTTGTAGATACTGAAAAGTAGAACCGTAATTTGATATATATAAAAAAGTAAATGCAATTACCTTTTTTTTCTCATTTGTCTAGCATGCATACAAGAAACATCCTGACCAGATCAAGTTTACCCCTGTGACAGACTCGCTGGTTATGGTACAAGCACAGATTAATTCCAAGCAGCTGAGTGATGTAAGTAACCTAGCAACTCAAACCAAGTTTCATCTGGCCTTATTTTATCAGATGCTTTCTCTTCTAGTAACGGGTTTCTATTCATGAAGTTGTAGTTTTGTCACCTGAATGTTGAAAACGTTCCAGTTTATGCTTTTCAAAACATACCATACGAGGAACAAAACATTTTGAAGAATATCAAAATGTCTCATTATTCTCTAGACCAGGGATGGGCAATTAATTTTCCCACATGAGAAACTGGACTCTTGTGGAGTGCCAAAACAATAAGGCCATGAAGATGTGTAGGCATGCATGCACACACATAAGTAAATTGAAGAAAAAAATAGCAATCACCTTCAAAATAAAAGCAACCAAAGAACCAGATGTGGCCCAGGGACTATAAAATGCCCAGATCTGCTCTAGACCATACCAATCCAGCCATCCTGAGGATAATCCAAAAGCTTTCTCAATGTAAATTTTATGGAAATGTGAGACTGGAAGATGACTTCTTGTTCCAAAGGATTTACTTCTGGAAATTTTTTGGATCACCCCTGGAACAACCAAATCCATAGTAGTCAAAAAGAATAATGGAATAGTTCAATATTCCTTGGAATGTTTTGTTTCCAAACTTGTATATTTTTGCACATGTTTAATACCAGAGTCAATAAAACAAGTAGCAATATAATTGGAAAAACAAGGGCTGAGCTTGTAATTAATCAGCAGGGATGGAGAAGTTGTTAATGTTGCTTTAACATAGGAGATCTATTTTTGACACCGTTTTGTGGTAATGCTTCTTATTTTTAATTTTCAAAAGATGTATGCTATGAAAGCAGATGGGGATCTGTTACTGTTGTGTTCATGAAAACAAAAGTCCCTTCTATCTTTATGCTAACTGACATTGATCCAATCCTTCCTGAATTAACTGAACAATGTAAACATACTTATTTACTTGATTTATACTGTGCCTTTTTATTGTGATGGTTATTAAAGTAGAGTGGTACCTTGGCACTCAACTGCTTTGAAACTGATCGAATTTGGTACTCAATGCACTTTGACATGAACATGTACTCATTGTTTGTTTGGTACTCAACGCACAAGGGAGAACCTGTCGGTGTGTGACTCACTACATTATTCCATAGGGGAAAAAATTGTTTGGTACTCATTGTTTTTGGTACTCATTGTGCCTCCCGGAACCAATTAAGGATGAGTACCGAGGTACCACTCTGAAAAATGTTTACTTTAGTGGTTTGGATTCCCCTCTTATTTTGCTCAAACATTAAAAGCCCATGCTAGCATGCTTAACTGCTATCCTCCAAATGATCACTTTTTATGTGATTTTCATTTTGCATTTCAGTTGAACTACAAAGCCAAACACGAAGCTGAGAAAAACAGATGCTCTATCCCTCCAGATGCTCCCTTATTCCTCCAGTCCAGAGTCAATGCCTACAACATCAGCGATGTAAGAGTCTTATGAATGATGCTTTCACAGCTAAAAAAAAACCAAGCTACTGAGGAGAATCATAATGCTGTTCATGACAGTGATGATAATAAGACATAAAACAGGACATATTTGATTGTCAGGTAACACTTATCAGGAGGATTAGTTTAAAGGCAGAGAACTTAGATCAGCACTTAGATTATCTTCATGATCAGCTGTCATCACTTCCAGTTAGTTTGGTGAGTAGCATCAGCTTTGGGGAAAGGCCAATGATGAATTAAGAAATGAGATACTGAACAGGATGAATAGATGGCAACAAAGAAGGAAGAAAAGAAAACTATTAAAATAGATATTTAGGAGATTCTATAGATGCTGGTAAGAAAAAACATGCTAGGGAAAGAGGCTATTGAGGTTAACCAGGAAGCTATGAAGACCAAGAAATCACAGCAAATGTTAGTGTGTATATGTGTATTCCTATGTGAGAATTCACGGACAGAGATTCACTTGAAAAACCAGTGAAGGAAAAGACTTCATTTAATAAATGTTTAATTATTTACTATGGATAGAAAAAAAAAAACAATTATTCTACAGACATCACTGCTTTCCAGCTTTGAAGAAAGGTTCTTTAGGGTACATGGACCATAATGAAGAGCTTCATTCTAGACTGATGTCCTGAAATTAGATCTTACATTGTGTGGATTATATCTTTGACAGCCTTTGCAATATAAAGTAAAGTTATTCTCATAAGGGGCTTACTTTATACAAATTCCACATATTTACTGAGTGAATGTTAAAGAGCTTGAAATCCTATGCATCAAAAGATTGGTCAAAAAAGATTATTCTATTGTTAATCTACTCATAATAACATGCACATTGAAATAGTTATGCAGTTATAGGGTTATCTACTCCCTAAGACAAATCTATGGATTGTATGTAATACATTTTGGATTTTATGTCATGACTTGTTTGTATATTTTTCTCTTCTCCTTTGGTTAGAATTGGTATAAGTATGACTGGGATCAATCAAAAGCAAAGAAATTTGACATCAAGATGGATGCCATTCCAATTCTAGCTGCAAAAGCCAAGCAAAAAATTGCAAGTGATGTAAGTGATGTTACACAGAAATTAAGGTAGCTCTTGAATTGATTTACATTTGCAGCCATTCAAAGTACATTATTGTCTTGTGACCATACAGGTTGAATACAAAAAGGGTTATGAACAGAGCAAAGGCAAGTTAATTGGAGCTCTGAGTATTGAAGATGATCCCAAAATGATACATTGCCAAAAAATGGCCAAGCAACAGAGTGATGTAAGTACAGATAGACCAAATAATATGTGGTTTGTTGATATGCTGATTTCTCTGGAAATGTTAATTTAGCTAGATGTAAAATCATTTTCAGAAGATATTTCTTTAGAGTGTCCCTTTAGGTGGAGTTTACATTCAGTAAATTCTTAATAAAGGACCACTGATCTATAATTTTGAAATCTTAATGATCAAGTTCAGAGTGTTACATCCTGTGATGGGGAATAATAATACACCTTTTGAGGAAAGTGGGTTCTCATAATTGTCTAAGAAAATGAGGAAATGCAAATGTTAATAAAAATAATACTTGAGCTATTAACCTGAATACTTACGAAGTAAGTAGAAAAAGTAGGGGAAAATGAAATATTAGGTTATCAGTAGATGCACCAAATTTTTAGAATAACTCAGGCATATATTCAGAAGTGCATATACCTATTGATGTCGGCTTATTTGAAAGTCAGCATAATCCCAACCTAGTCTATTTCTTGCATATGACAGTGATCATTTCAGAAGACCTTCTCATGTTACAAAAAAAGTATTCTTTAAAAAAGCTGTGCCTGTTTTTAGCATACCCACTGGATATTGTAGAGGGCTTCTTTTTTTTCAAACTTTAAATGGTTAATGACTTGTATTAATTGTACCGTAGCTGCTCTATAAAAAAGGTTATGAAGCATCAAAGACCAAATACACAGCACCACTGGATATGATTCCTGTTGTACAAGCAAAGAAAGCCCAGATGATCGTCAGTGACACAGATTACAGGCATCGCATCCATAATTATTCTTATCCTCCGGATAGTATTAATGTGGAGCTGGCCAAGAAGGCTAATGCTATACTAAGTGACGTAAGTAGCAACGTTTCTTCAAACCTAGCATTGTTGAACTGAAGAATACTTCATACAGACAAGAGAGTTGCAGTGTATTTCTGTAAACCTTTTCCAGAGTTTGACAACTGAGGCAGGAAGCAACCCAACTGAGCATTGTCTATTTTGGCCTTCCCTAACTGCTGTCCTCCAGGTTTGTTGGGAATATAAGTCCCAAACATCTGTTCAGCATGTCTAAAACCTAAAGTGGCCATCGACTGTCTTGAAAATATGCTGACCTGTAATTATCCATACAGCATCATTAAGGGAAGGATGATTTAAAGTATTAAAATATAGACTGGTGAGAATTGGTGAAAAAGAGAATAAATGTAAAGACTGAAAAGAAATTCTGCAATTTGAAAAGAATAATAGGTAGCTGCTATCTAGTACAGTACAAAGATTCAAATGCTGTTCAGTGAAATGTCCAAATCAAATCGACTTTTAAAATCAGTTTGATTATTCAGGTTGAATCACTTAGTCAAAGAAAGTATATTTGAATCAGTTCAATGATTACAAATGTTTCATGCAGGCACTTCTGAAGAAGTTCAGAAAGCCAGATCAGTTTGATTGCGTGACTGATTTGAATTGATCAACAGACTTGAGTTCTGAACCCAATAATTGATTTGAATTAAATGGGGGATGTTCCAAACACCCCTGCTTTCAATGTTTCCTTGTTGTTTTCAGTATAATTTTCAATATTTTTTTCCTTGGGATATAAAATAAAACTGAAGAAAGGTTTAAAACTATAAAAATGTTTTGTAGCTTGTCTGTGTAACAGAGATAACATATATTTGCAATATCCTATTGCTTGTAAAGGATAATCTGGAATTCAGATAGCTTCTAAAAGTATTATACGATTCCTGCCCATGTATGAAGTCCTAACTATTACATAAAGCCAAGTGTTGCTTTCAAACTGAGTTCAGCTTCTAGTGATTGTATAGAAAAATTCTTATCCCAGGATGTTTTTTTTTTTAAATGTCTTAGTCTAGCTTTACAGGTCTGGTTTTTCCAGATGGACCTTATAGATCAAGCACCTTTCAGAGATGATCCTGCTTTCATTTAGGTTGTGCTCCTACTTAATGAAGCACATTGCACCAGTTTTGGAATAATTTCATCATTTTATTTTTGGCAATTACATTGTTTTTGGCAATTATCTTAGTTTTAATTCATGAATTATAGTTTCTATTGGCTACCTTAAAAAAATGTTCCATCTACATAAAGGACAGCTCAAATAAATTGTCACATAAACCTGAAGACAAGGATTTCCCATTTTTAAATTCATTATGGTCTTTTCCAGAATGAATATAAAGCTGATTACAACAGTTGGATGAAAGGATGTGGCTGGATACCTTATGGATCCCTGGATGCAGAAACAGCAAAAAGAACTTCAGAGTACGTAAGCGAGGTAAGTAAAACATAAAGAAAGTCAGAGTTATTTCAGTTTAGTTATGGGGGTTCTGAAAAACTTCTCTTTCTTTTAGTTTTCTTTAAAAAAATCATTTTGTTACAACATATGAACGTTGTTATTTGTTTTTATTAATGGAACTATTTTTCTTTCTAACTGAATACTTTCTCTGGAACCTACGGAGGGCTATAGGAATGAAAGCACAACTGTTGGCTATTGGTTTCATTATCATGGCATCAGAGCCACAGTGGTGTCATAAGGGAAAAAAAAACAAAACAAAAGGGTTTTGTGTTCAGGGAGATAATGGGAGGACAGAGAAGTGGAACATGAAGGCATCTATGTGAGCAGACATCGGGAAACCAAGGAAAAAACAGTGGACTAGTAAGAACGGAGTAGCTCCTAAAAGGAAAGAACAGGCACTGGTAGAGTGATCTAGCAAGCCAGTGAGCCCTGCCTTCCTTACGCAGATGGGAAGGACAAGGAGTAGGGGAAAGACCAATCAGTTTGAAGTCTGAACTGAGTACCAGTCCTATTCTGTTATCAACTCTCTCCAGTCTGGACTGGAATTTCTGAAAAAGACAAAGAACCTAGGTTGCTGTGTGAAATTTGCTTTCTCCTCCCTTCTCCCTTGTCGCTTCTCCTTCTCCTCCCTCTTCTATAGCAGTAGAAACAAATTGAAGTTTTAAGTTCATGTGGTTGGTTAAATAATCCATGAATACAAGTATCCATAGTTAGTTCTACTTTGCTCGATCACTCTTAAGCCATAATGTGGTACAATATGATGTATATGGTGGTTAATTGTGGCCCAGTATGTATATAAACTGACTACGCTAGAATAAACTACACTTCTTTTAGGAGAACTTTATTTATTTGCTTGCTTCTAATTAAATAATTACAACATTGCAACCCAATTCTTGGGGTAGAATAAGCGTTTTGCATAGGAAAATGTTAATGTTTTAGATTCATCAAACTCTTTCAGCCTTGATTACTTTTTAAAATCTTCCAAGACATGGACTTTTTTTTTTTTTAAAAAAAAATCTTTAGTATTGATTTTCGGTGAAGTAGTTGATAATGATTAGAAGGAAGCCATGGAAAAATTCAGTAAATGAGATTGATTTGTTTTTTCATAAACAGAAAAAATACCGTCAGCATCCAGATACTATTAAATTTACACAAATTGAGGATCATCCTACTGTGGTTCAGGCTAAAATCAATCAAGCCCAGCGGAGTGATGTAAGTATGGGTACTGTCTGTATATTTGTTAGCATTTTGATTAATGGCATTATAAATTTGCTGCAGAGAACCATTAAAAGACTAAGGAGTCTTGATCAGATGTAACTTATACTTCTGAACTGAAACCAAACCTGTAATTTGGACTAATAGTAATAAATTATAACGTTGGTTTTTGGTTTTGGATGTCACAGTGATTTTCACACTTGATTCCTCTTCAGGTTCTTTATAAAGCCAAAAATGAAGAAAGAATTCACAGTTATAACCTCCCATCAGACGCGCCTCAATTTATCCAGGCAAAGGTTAATTCCTACAATATCAGTGATGTAAGTTTGCTTTTGGCAATTTTTAAAATGGAACTTTAGTTGCAGATGTAGTTGATGGACATTAAACTGATGACTCAATAAATTCATTCTCTTTCAGACTTATTACAAACTTGGATTGGAAGACCTGAAGTCAAGGGGCTATGACTTGAGGAGTGATGCCATTCCCATTAGAGCTGCTAAATCTGCCAGGAAGGCTGCCAGTGATGTGAGTGTGCCTAGCATAAAGAGTGGTTTATTTGGAGGCAATTCACTTTTAGGACTTGACACCACTTCATCAGCCTGGTGTCAAAAGCCCATCCAGGCTACATCACCTTCGTTCCAGTGGACTGATTTCTGAATTAAATCAATCCCAGAAAACATTGGTACTTTTCTGGAATCACTCTAGGTAGCGAGATGGGTGGCCTATACATTTAATAAATAAATAAATCTGTTTATAATGGGTTGTACGGTTTTGTACGGTTTTACTAGCCATCTTTTAAGCACTCTCGACCTGTTAAGTAGTGGATGAATCTCTATTAGGCAGCAAAACCTTGACAACTCTTGAGTTAAGAATGTCTTTAACTTTTCAGTTTCATGGAACTTCAGAGTGCAGAACTCGAACAGCGCTCTGCCTTGTCTTTTTCAATTACCTCACTGCATCATTTGCATCTTGGTTATGGGTAGTCTTTGCAGAGCGGAATGCCCTCCCATCTATAGCTTGTCAGGCCCCAACACTGCTTCATTTCAGGAGCCTTTCCAAGCTTTAACTTTTTATGAGTCCCTTTCCAGGCTGGTAACTCCGCCAATAGTTTATACTTGTTATTTTCCATGAATTGTTTCAGTTATTTCTCTTCTCTCCCCTCCATTTTATTCTGTTTTATAATCATAGTAAGCTGCTTCAGATATTTAAACAGTGGTGTTTAAATAACTTTTGATAAATAATATATCAGTGAAATAGTTTAGTTTCTTATTTTGCTTTACTTTTCTCAGAGTATAACATGTATATTATCTTTTTGTAAAACGGTTTTATTGGTTTTTTCCATTTTTATAAAAGCTTAGGACACAACATGGTGGTCAGGGTGACAAATCCATTGAAGACAAAATCATATAAGTATAGCTAAGATTAATTATCAAAAATTTTCTATCTATTTCCTAAATATAATATTGCTTATTAAAATTAATAGAGTTTTAGGTAAAATTCAATCAAACAAAAGTCATCAATCACATTGCGATTATAATAATCTATATCCTGTTTTTAAGCTTTACTAATTACAGTTCTCATATTCCAATTACGTTTTAATGAACATATAGTTGGGATTTCAGGTATCCCTAATGATAGATCATTCAATGAGACTAATTTTTTTCCTATCACAAATAGCTCTTCCTCTATCTCTATTACAACATGATTATCATATTTAAAATAATAATATAACTCCAACAAATACAAGTCTATTTTAAAGAATATATTCTGTCATTTCATCAATCTACGTCAGTAAAAAATCTTTTTAACCCCTTTAATAAAGTTTAGACCTTCAAATACTTATCAACTATAATATCAGAAAATTCCCATCCTTCATTCATTATTAAATCAGACAAAATCTCTCTCTCTATTACAGCATAATTATCATGTTTAAAATAATAATGTAAGTCCAACAAATACATTTCTATTTTTAAAAATATCTTCTATCATTTCATCAATCTACATCTATCAAATCTTTTTAATCCCTAATAAAGTTTAATCCTAATAAAGTTTACTCCTTCAGCTATGATAACAGTAAATTCACATCCTTCATACGTTATTAAATCAGACAAAATCTCTAAAGCCTATTTAACCCATCAAGTAACATTTTATATCACGTTTAAACCCAACTCCAGCTTTCTTTCTATGCCAAGTTGGTTCCCATATTAAAGCTTTTCGGTTATCGAGCCTCAAAATTTGGTTACAAAAATTTCTGACCAATTCAAACTGAACAAAGTTTTCTTCCCTTTCTGCCAATATCATCTGAATGTTATATTCACTTTTATTCCATGTTATAGTTAAAAGTAAGTTATCCACTTTGTTGTAATTTTCGAAGAATTGTATCTTGATGTCAATCTCTGTTGGTTTTGGTAGTTGAACTGAGTCAATTATGGTGATTTTTTGGTCATCGAAGTTGTCCATCAGTTGTAAGTAATGTGTAAAATTAGTTGGCTCAATGGTTTCCGCATTTTCTCCCAGTGTAAGTTCACAATTGGGTTGTAAGCATAGTTCCTCTATCTCTTTAAATTGTATATCTTGATGTATAGAGGCATGTTCAGGATTACTCTGCTCTTCCTCTATTGATCCTTGTTGTATAACTTGATTCATCATGGGAGGGTCAATTTGAAGTTCCAAAGTAGCATCTTTAAGTTTTCTCCAAGGTTTCAAATAGGTTTTGAAGTCTTCTGTGAATTCTAAAAATTTTTCCAGTATTAAATCATAGTCAAGGTGTGGGTAACTTTCTTCCATTTTGATGGTAGATTAGCCTATTCCTTTATTGGAGACTGTATTTGAAAAAAAATCCACAAATGTCCACCTCCAAAGTTCTAATAGCCAGCTTCACCACCCAGCTGTCAAGTTATCTTTTCTCTTCTATTATCATGTGAAAGTCCAATCCCTCTTCAAATAACAAGGAGAAGTACAGTTGCAATGTCACTTTTTGCCATCAGATGTCCTTAGTGGACTGTAAAGTCCTTTTTCCAAGTTAATGAAGTTAAATAATTTTTTTTCTCTCTTTCTTTAAAAAGAGAGGTATCTCCAGCATTATAAAAATTGAAGGTAACAGTGTCCTCTTTTTATTCTTTTCCCCTAAATATCCCCCCCCAAAGAAGTCCAATAGTAAGAAAAACAAGCAGAAAAACAAAAAAAATCTTAATTTCTTTCTTTTTAGCTCTTTTTCCTATATAGGCAGCCGCCGCTTTCTTTAAAAAGGGAAATAGTCAACAACTCTTTACAGGAAAGTAATCAGGACAGCGAGAGAAGGAAAAGGTCTCACCCGGATTCACCACAGTGGTTCTTCATGCTTAGATGGTCTTTTGACTTGCAATTGGTGCGGCTAGGTGATCGGCCATTTTACTGGCCGATCTTCTTCTCCGTCGGCCCTCAGAGTTAGCTCGGACAGCTGGAGGAGCCGCCACTCCTCCACAACCGAACAAAGCCTCCTCGACAGTAGTTGCGCCCTCCAGAGCAACTTTCGACCCACATAAGGGTCTACCGGTGGAGAGAAGCTAGCCAATGAAGAGAGGGATCTCTTCGTATGATCCGGAACCGGAAGTCCTGTATATTATCTTACTGTACCTCAATCCCAGTTGCAAATTCTGTAACAGTGTTACACTTCTTAAAATCTGAGAATTGTCACTATAATCTCATAATCTTAACCTTGAATCAAGCCCTGCCATAGACAATGGGATGTAAATGCCAAATGAAAGGGCATAGGGTGATACTGGACTTTGATTCCATTTAATTCCCAGTGAATCAAATGGGGTATAAATTTTCACATTGTCTTAAATATTAGTTGATCCAATCTTTATTGTTATTATTACTTCTACTACTATCACTACTATCATCAGTAGTAAAAAATATTCTGCAATTGTTGCAATTGTTCAGTATACTGTGAACAGACTTGATCATGAAATGCCAATGGTATCTACAGAATTCTGCATACACAGAATTTAGCACAATTCTGCAAATCCCTGGGAGTTTTCACCAGTACTCCAAAAGCCTACTTTATATGCTGTGGTTTGTTGCAGTTCTTCTGCCATTACTAAATGCATGTGTTCAATCTGAAAAGTAGACACTTTTCTGCTCATTTGGACCGTACCATCTTTTTTGTTTTTAATACTGATTTTACATAGTATCGGTATGTTATATGATGCTCATCAGGAAATAAACCTACTTTTCAATCTTGTTTTGACAGTTTGAATATAAGAAAGCCTATGAACAAAGCAAAGGCAAACTGATTGGCTTCCAGAGCCTTCAAGATGACCCCAAATTAGTCCATTATATGAACATGGCCAAGATGCAGTCAGAGCGAGACTATAAGAAAGCTTATGAGCAAAGCAAGACTAAATACAACACTCCGTTTGATATGGTGAATGTTGTAGCCGCTAAGAAAGCCCAAGAAATTGTCAGCAATACCAATTACAAGAATCTCCTGCACAATTACACATTATTGCCAGATGATATGAATGTGGAACGATCCAAAAACATGATGCAGATTCAGAGTGATGTAAGTCTGCCCAGACATTTGTGTTCAGATAAATGTAATTTAAAAAGTAGTGTTTTTTAAATTAATCCCTCCCTCCCTCCCTCTCACCCTCCCTCCTTCCCTCCTTCCCTCCTTCCCTCCTTCCCTCCTTCCCTCCCTCCCTCCCTCCCTCCCTCCCTCCCTCCCTTCCTTCCTTCCTTCCTTCCTTCCTTCCTTCCTTCTTTTCTTTCCTCATTTCTTCAGAACCTTTACAAGGGAGATTTTAACAACTGGATGAAAGGTATTGGCTGGATTCCAATCGGTTCCCTTGAAGCGGAGAAAGCTAAAAAAGCAGGAGAGGCTCTAAATGAGAAGAAGTACAGACAGCACCCAGACACTATTAAATTTACAAGTATTGTGGATTCTCCCGTCATGGTCCAGGCTAAGCAGAATGCACTTCAGCTCAGTGATGTGAGTAAGGCTTTGGAAAGATAGGTGAAATGCTAAGTCTTATGGAGTTGGAGAGTGTGCTAAATCCAATGAATGAATGAAATTAAAGAAATTGAACCTTGTATTTGGTAATTATGCAAATGTGGCTAATAATAATTTCTCCCTTTTCTATTCTATTTATTTTCATCTTGCATTTTAGCATGAAGAGTGTAAAAGAATGTCCTGTTTAGGAAGGGTATGAGGTTGTATATGTGGATTTCCTTTGTGTCATTATTGACTCCTGGCAAATGCCTGGAGTAGTCCCTGCAGATTTATTAGCAAGGTTTTCAGAAGGAGTTTATCATTATCTTCTTTCTAAGGCTCAAAGACAACGACTGGCCCAAAGCCTCCAATGGAACTAGAACTCCCAGTCTCCCAATTCCTAGCCTTGTTTATTAAACACCACATCAAACTTTTTTGATTTTTGCTAACCAGAAAATATTTGCCCACAAAACTGAGGGACTCAGAACTGACCTGCTCTTCTGACATTTTCAAAAACTACCTTCACATCACTAAGTCAGACCCCAAAGTCTGTGCATTCTTCCCTTGGCATGACAAAGAACCAGCCAAGTTACTTTGACCAACACAGGCTTGTAATATCAAATGGAATCTATTTGAAAAAATATACTAAAACAGGGTGCAGGATATTATTGATGGTAAACTGTTCTCCTGGAGATTAGGTTGATCCAGCAGTCCGTATGCATTTAAAAGGCCACTCTTTCAAAGACAGCAAAGTCCAAGACAGTTTGGACAGCAAGGACCGTTGTTTTGAAAGTGGGGTCAAAGAGGCCATTTATGTCAAAATTGAACAGAGGGTGAGGGATACAACATCATCTATCTTCATTCTGCAATGCGGTCCTTTCAACAGTTCCAAAAAGGCTCCACAACCCTTTGCACCATTCAGGTGACCCTGAGGACACAGATAAGCCTCCAGGTGGCATCAACGACTGTCTAAAAGAATGCAAATGACCAGCGGTCTGCAAGGAGTATAGATCCTGCAATTCCCTCATATCCAGTCAGAGCTGAAGAAGCTTCTTGGATAAGAAGTGAAACATCTTCAAAGAAAAACAAGAAATCCCAGTTGCCTCATGAAAAAGCATCTTTGGGATAACTATGTCCTGGATGACTGATAATCTCCATAGACATATATACAAGTGTTTGAGGCTAAGATTGTAGTTTATAATACTAATAGACAGAGCCATTTGTTTGAGACTGAAGGAAGTTAAGTGTTTCCTCTTTAAAAAGGTAGTTTTCTTGCATCTAGTTTTCTGAATATCTTTGCTCTGCTAATGAACCTGTTCAGGATCTTGTGGGTTTCATAATGACCTGGAAGCTGTCGTCTGATTAATTATAATTGTTATAATTACAGTTGTTAATTGATTTAACTTAGCTACCTTATAGCAACATTTTTCATAATGACAAATAAGTACATATGGAAAATGTAATAACTGATTCTAAGGACAGTTTTTATAATCTGCTCCTATGACCATTCTTTTCTCCTATGGAGAAAAGTACAACTGTTTTCAGTGGCTGCTAAGTAAGTATACATAGGCTGCAGTCATATGCACTAAAGTAATACATACATTCAACTGTTGAATTAAGGAACATCAGAATATATTATTGTCTTGTTTCCTTGATTTTCAGATATTATACAAATCCTCCGGGGAAGAAATGAAGCATACATATAATTTGCCTGCAGATGCCCCTCAGTTTATCCAGGCCAAATATAATGCAGCTAATATCAGTGATGTAAGTGGCTATTAAAGTGTGCATAATTTATACTATGGTAAATAATGAAGAGTGTTATAATAAATATTACTCTAATATTTTGAATATCAAATACACAGCATAATTTGTTATGTGATGATATCATTGTTTATTACTTGATGCTGTGTATGACAGAAGTAATTTTCTTTTTTTTCCTATTTGGAGAAGGGGAACAAGAAAATGGAGGGTTCAAACATTGACTGTCCTATCAATAGACTGTCATATCTGCTGACATGAATAGCCATAGTTTGAAACCAATAGATCAGTGATGCGGAACCTTTTAGAGACTGAGTGCCCAAAAACCGCCCCGCCCTGCCCCCACCCTGCCCCCTGCCCCTGCTCCACCCCCTGTCTTGCCACCCACCTTCAGGGCCACCCACCACCTCCATGGCCCACTGCAGATTGCCCAGGTGGCCCAGCAGCACCCTTGCAGCCATGCCCTCCACCTGCATCCCGCAGCATCATCTGCGTGTGACGGGGCACGAGAGTGGAGTCTTGCCCGGCTGCCATGTCCTTGAATGTGCTGTTCCACGTGGGCCACACCCGGGGACAACTCTCCTCCGGGGGGCTGCTGGTGAGGAGAGGGCCACAGGAGGAGACGGGCCTGGGGCAATGGCGCACATGCCTACAGAGAGGGCTCTGAGTGCCGCCTCTGGCATGCGTGCCATAGGTTCGCCACCACTGCAATAGATCAAGCACAATCCAGAAAAAGCTAACTGAAGGTCAGAAAGTCCAGATAAACGCATTGTATAGACTACTGGATTCTAAGTTAACCAACAGCAATGACATAAAATGACTTGTTAAATCAGTAGGATGCTCTTTTTTTCAGAATTATTATAAATATGGCTATCAGGACCTCATTGCCAAAGGACCTAATGTACTGGGTGATGCTATTCCAATTACGCAAGCCAAGGCCTCAAGAAACATTGCTAGTGATGTAAGTAACTTTTCCTTACTAACTTCTCTGTATATACTATCAACATGATGAAAGTTGCTCTTAGCTTGCTATGTAAATGATTATAAAAATATTTTCTCACACATTGCTTTAATTGTATTAGATGGTTCTGTCCTTAGGGCTAAAGGTTTTTGTTGGCAAAGCCATCAAAGAATTTCTTGCCAGTCTCACTCTATTGCTTTTATCTCCTTCTTCACTACTGAAGAACCTGTCATTGTTTCTTCTAGTGGAAATGACTGGTTGCTTGTTCAAGAGATAAAAAAAATATGGGAAAAAAGTGGGAGCAGGTTATTGCACAACATAGACAGAACTGAATATTATGCCATATATCTTATCCAAATTCCAGCAGTTTGATCACTTGTACGTATTCTTTTGTACAGACTTATAATAGTAACTTCCAGAAATTTATGATTTTCAGTTTCTTAGTCCAGACTGAAGGACTAGCAGTAATGCATGGTTATAATCCAGCGATACCTGTACAGGCATAATTTTACTTTTTCTACCATAGGAGTGTTTATTTTTGAAGGAATCCTGTCATATCCATCTCAGTGATTTGCCTAAAATTATTTTTCTTCATTACTAGTATAAAAAATAAGTACTGAATTGCCAATTAGTCCAGACATTTTTCTTAGCTGGTTGTATACCAAGTCTCACTATCCAGTCCTAACTATTTATTTATTTATGAGACTTATATACCGCTTTAAATGCAAGCACTCTCTAAGTGGTGTACACCAGTAAGCAATGTATATATATATTTACATTGCCCCCAACAATCTGGGTCCTCATTTTACCTACCCCGGAAGGATGGAAGGCTGAGTCAACCTTGAGCCGGTGAGATTTGAACCGCTGACCTGCTGAACACAGTCAGCTAAAGTGGCCTGCAGTACTGCACTCTAACTGCTGCGCTCTCTCTCTCTCTTTGTCTCTCTGACTGGAACTTTAGTACAAATACAAAGAAGCTTATCAAAAGACTAAAGGAAAACAGGTCGGTTTCCGAAACTTGCAAGACGCTCCTATGCTTGTCCATTCTATGAATGTGGCCAAGATGCAGTCTGAGCGTGAGTACAAGAAGGATTATGAGAAAAGCAAGACATGCTATCACACACCAGTGGAGATGGTCAGTATCCAAGCTGCCAAGCAGGCTCAGGATGTAGCCTCCAATGTCAACTACAAAAATCTGATCCATCGCTATACCTACTTGCCAGATGCTATGAATGTGGAGCTGGCCAAGAACAGGATGCAAATTCAGAGTGATGTAAGTAGGGCAATATTTAAAAGGTCACAGCTGCCTAGAGACAACACAGTGTAGTTTACTTGGCAAGCAATGAGATTTTTTTTCCCCCAAGAATCGTTTCTAAGAATAAATTATTTTTAAAAATATTTATTTTTTAATCATAGGGTCAGATGAATCATTCTTTTAAAGAGGCTCAAGTCATTAAAATGGCCTTTTGTGCTACCAACGAAGGAAGGGGAAGTATTGGAATATGACAGTTCCTTGAATTCTTAATTATCTCTAATTTCCAGGGGAACTGCAGCTTAATTCTGCAAGGGAAATCTATCTGCACTGATGATGCACCCCAATTTTTTCAGCTAACTTCATCAGTGTGATAGATGGCTATTTTTTTTCTTAAAGACACAGTGTCAAAATAGTTGGGTTGGGACCCTCATTTAAAGGGGAAGGCAATAGCAATTGAGAATGTTAGAATCATTCATGTAAACTGCTCTTTATTGGGAGTTAAAGCAGTCTATGCCTGAAAATGATCAGTGAAGCAAGTTTAAGAATTATAACAGAAACAAGATTTAATTGCAGGAAATTTACAAAAAAGGCAACTATTCAGCTAGTTATGTTTCTTTAAGAGGAGAATCACATAGCATATGCTGTCTATCTGTTTGTGTGTGTGTGTGTGTGTATGAATGTGTGCATGTGTGCACCTAAAAAGGTGAAAGTGACATTAGATTAGCAAGTAGATTAGCAATTATTAACTCTGTTAATTCTTTAATCTGCTAATCTGCTAATTCTAAACAAATTAACAATTCTTATCTCTCTATCTACTATCTCCTGCACCCTTATGGATTTCCACTTTGAACACTTCTTATCTGGCCAAGCTTCAAACAAAATAAACTAGTACCAGTATCATCCTGTATTTGAGAACTCACTTCCAGTGTCAACTTTATATTCTTTTTTGTTTCACTTGCTACCCCCCCCCCCCCACAATTTTTGATATGGAGACCAAGTTGGAATTGTTACACAAATTAATTAATACTTTTTGTGCCAATGTAACAATTTTCACAGGAAAGCACACTTGAAAACAGTTTTGGGGTTTGAGTTGGAATTTATATATAAAAATAAATTGTTGTCTTGAGCATTGCCAAAGAAATGATTGCATGAATTTTACTTTGTGTTCTCCTTTCTCTTTAAATCTTTTAAATTCCTGTCTGATTGTAGAATAGAATAGAATAGAATAGAATAGAATAGAATAGAATAGAATAGAATAGAATAGAATAGAAGCGACCTTGAAGATCTTCAAGTCCAGCTCCCTATTGTGATGGATTTGCTTGAATGTATATACCCAATTCTATTTCAGTATTTTAGTGCTCAAGAGATTTGCCTTACAAATTCACAAATAAATGGAATGCTAAACTGAATGCTAATGCTGACTGAAAAATATTACTCAGTTTCACAAGAGCTTTCGTCTCCGTCTAAAACGAATAAATATTGTTTTATGTATTTAGCTAGTATTTGTGTAGAGTGACAGAAACAAAAGAAGCCCATCTTGGAAGAAAGTTATGGAAATACTATTATCAGATAGCCTGAAAATGAAGGATTTTGTCTCTCACGTTGCCTACCTATGCACACCTTATGTTACAATAAGGATATTCAATAATTTAACTTAGACAATATAAATGCATTCCATTGGAGTGCCAATGCTTATCTTGGTACACAATTGTATCTACTTCTTGATCCTTTGAAAGGCTTTCTGCATGCTTCCAGAGCTGTGAGTCTCCTTTTGTTTTTCTTCAGATTACTTACAAAGATGACTACAACAACTGGTTAAGAGGTGTGGGATGGAGTCCCTTGGGCTCCCTGGATATGGAAAAAGTTAAAAAAGCTGGAGATGCATTATGTGAATCTAAATATCGCCAGCACCCAGACAAACTCAAGTTTACAAGTTTGATGGATTCTATACCGATGGTTTTGGCTCAACAGAATACCAAACAGCTGAGTGATGTAAGTTCAATCCAAAGGACATCATTTCCTTCTTTTAAGTTATTGTCTTAAAAGTGCTGTGGAATTCTAAAATATTCATAAACAGTTTAAAGCTTTGTGCTTTATCTAAGAAATTCCTGTAGAGGCTCTTCCATGGAACTTTCAAGAGTTTTGCAAATCCCCAGCTACACAGCCCTAAATTGGATTTGTTATCCTATGTGATTTGGATACAAATGTCCATTCTAAAGGAGGCTTTTCAATGCTTTAAAATATGTTGGGATTATGGTTTCCAGAATTTCCAGACTGTACTGCATTTGACCATAGTGGTTATGAATTCTGGGAGTTACAGTCCAAATATACCTGGAAGATACTGGTTTGGGCAACATAGTTTTAAATTAAAACTTGCACCTGCTGCATAAATTGTGTTTTCTTTCAGATAAACTATAAGGTAGAAGGTGAGAAAGTGAAACACAAGTACCATTTGGATCCAGATGTACCTGCATTTATTCAAGCAAAAGTCAATGCCTACAATATAAGTGATGTAAGTACTTGACAGTTTCTTTGATGTCTAAATGAATACATAAACTGATGTAAGACCTTCATCTTTAGAAAATCAAAATTGGTAAATCATTTTATTCTTGGATTTTCCATTCCATTTTTAAGCCACTTGTAGGCAAAAGGCTAATGTTTTGCTCATTAAAATAGATGTAAGTTATCTTAATGGTAATTGTAACTCTCAACTTAAAAAAACCTTTCATGTTAATATAAGAATATTCATGGATCTTCACTGCTAGAACTTAACTAGAGACTTTAAGAAAAGTGATTTCTTCTCTTTAAGAATTTCTACAAAGCAGACTGGAAGAGGCGGCTGGCTGAAGGCTATAACCTGAAAGCAGATGCTATTCCTATTGTTGCTGCGAAATCTTCACGCCATATTGCCAGTGATGTAAGTTGATCCTAATAAAATCTTTTAAGGGGCTTTCAAAAAATTTAAACAGCAGGGTTTTGAAGAAAAGGTCTTAGAGAAATACAGGTAGCAGATGAAAAAAAAACAAGGGAGAATATAATTTTCTAGTTTGGTACAGAATAACTGAATGCAATTGTGACATTTTTAACAACAACAACAACAATGAGAAAGAGGTAATAGCCAGAAAATAATTAAAGCAAGGGTAGGAATAAATTCACAGCATTGGGATACTCTCTATCCCAGGGTAGTTTAAGTTAACTTGATACCATGCATTTTGCAATGGCTTAAACTTCTTCGTTTTGATTTTCCTTAGTACAAATACAAAGAATCCTATGAGAAAGGAAAAGGAAAGCAAATTGGCTTTCTTAGCCTGCAAGATGATCCTAAATTGGTCCATTATATGAAAGTGGCAAAATTACAATCAGAACGGGAATACAAGAAAGGCTATGAAAGTGGCAAGACTAATTATAACTTACCTCTGGACCACTTCAGTATAGTGGCCGCTAAGAAAGCCCAAGAAGTTGTGACTGACACAAACTACAAACAACCTCTGCATCATTACACTCTTCTTCCTGATGCCATGAGTATGGAATTGTCAAGAAACAGGATGCAGATTCAGAGTGATGTACGTAATTATTAACATTATTGTGCCTAAGATTACGGAGTCTAATTAATGGCTGGGGAAAAACCTGGACAGCTTTTTTAATAAAATTAATACAATTTAGATACAGTTGATTAACCTGATCTAAATACGTGTTTATTTCCAGATACGTTCCAGTCTGTTTACTGGAAGTATAAAGTTTTTCATATGGCCACAATTAATTGTGGGATGAATGGGTTTTAATAACAATAATAACAATAACAACAACAACAACAACAATAATATTGGAAGGGACTTTGGAGTTCTTCTAGTCCAGGGGTGTCAAACTGCCGGCCCACAGGTCGGATGTGTCACAAGGAAACTGTGCCCACCCCATTCCCGGCAATGGGGAAAAAGTTCTGATATGTCATGCGACATCATGTGATGTTGCGAGTTTGACATGTCTGTTCTAGTCCAATCCCCTGCTCAGGCAGGAAACCCTCTACCATTTCAGACAAATGGCTGTCCAGTCTCTTCTTCAAAACTTCCAGTGTTGGAGCATTCACAGCTTCTGGAGGCAGGTTGTTCCACTGGTTAATTGTTTTGATTGTCAGGAAATTTCTCCTCAGTTTTAGGTTGCTTCTCTCCTTGATTAGTTTCCATCCGTTGCTTCTTGTCCTGCCTTTGGGTGCATTGGAGAATAAATTACAGAGACATTTAATATTGGGTGAATGTGATGGGTTTCACCTGTTTCCTGTTTACCAGGAGTTCCCTTACACAAACTTAGATAGTTGGATCCCATTTTGTTGTGATTCCACTGGAATGGTACTCTGCTGAAAACTCTCCTGACAGTAAAATGGGAAGGAACTTTGGCCAGTCTTGTTCCCCTGACCACTCAGTGTATCATCCTTCAATCTTTTCATGTTGTACAGAGAGGAAGTAATCCTACATTTGGAAAAACTAGCAAAAGATCAATAAAAAAATGATCAAAAGACTGCCACTGATGGATGTTTCAGTATTTATATATGTTTTAACACGTTCATGAATAAATGTTAGAAATAAGTTTTAGAAGTCCTAAACAGTGGGAATAGACTTCGCTTTCAGAATAATGAATATATCAATTTGCAATGTTCTCCTTTAACTGGAGCAGTGTTTCCCAAACTTGACAATTTTAAGACATGAGGACTTCAACTCCCAGAATTCCACAGCCAGCAACGCTGGCTGTGGAATTCTGGGAGTTGAAGTCCACATGCCTTAAAATTGTCAAGTTTGGGAAACACTGAACTGGAGAGAAGATTTTCTCGGTGGTTTTGGTCAAAAGATACAATTTCAGTGCCCATTTTGATGGAATGAAGCTTGAAGCTTGCACTTTAGGCCATGCTACAATTACAATTATTTGGGGATGTTATGCACACTAAAATAAGATAATTTGATTCATACCAAGTTATTCCTTCTCCCTGCTTTTTTCCCCTCCAGAATCTTTACAAAACTGACTTTAATAGTTGGCTAAAGGGACTAGGCTGGGTGCCAATTCAATCTCTGGAGGTGGAAAATGCAAAGAATGCCAGTCATATTCTCAACGAACAGAAATATCGTCAGCACCCAGACAAACTGAAGTATACCATTGACATGGATGCCATGGAACAGGTGTTGGCTAAACAAAATGCCCACACCATGAATAAGGTAAAGAATAACAAAATCTCCTAGGAACATCATTTTTTTCAGGGACAGATTTAGGCTTCATAGGCTATAATCAAATAATCCAGGAAAAATGTGCTTCATTCTTAGTAAAAAGCATTTATAGGAAATTCTACTGCCTCAATGGCTCATTAGGTTTGTCATGGCTTATTGAATGAATAATTAGCCAATAATAAAAGAAAGTAGTTCTTCACACAGTGCCTATTCATAAATTTGCTATCACAAGGTGTGGTAATGAGATCTTTCCCTGGTAATTGTCCAGGATGACTAAATATCACATTAAATCAGATTTTAACCTGTATGGGGAATGATTATGGCTTGTGCGGTTTGCATTTTAATTTTCTTGAGGTTTTTGGATGATCATAAACTGGATCCAAACCAGATGTCAATGGGCAATGTGCACAAAACAAGAATCAATGTGGCTTTTAAGAACCAACCTGCTTGAAAGAAGAGCCCGCGTAATCCATTAATTATACCGAGAAATTTTTATATAAATACGGCTATATCTCGATTTACTGTAGTGGCCAAACTTATTTTAGATATGGCTTCTTTCTAATATTACTTGTTCTTATGTCCTGGGTTTTCTTTTGAGCTCAGACCTGCCACTAGCAACTTGGCAATGAATAAATAGAATAAAAAGTCAATTGAAAGGAAAAAAATGTTCTTACCTCTTGTCATATGAATTGTACAAAAACTGGATCCACTAAGACAGGGGTCCCCAATCCCCAGTCCGTGGACCAGTACCGGTCCGTGGCATGCCACAACCGATCCGCACAGACAACTAAAGCCCCATCCCATTTGTGGGATGCAGGCAGCACACAAAACCACGCACTTTCTGGTCCATGGAAAAACCTTTCTCCATGGAACCGGTGCCCAAAAGATTGGGGACCTCTGCTCTAAGATACAATAGGTAAATTACTAAAATAAATATATATTAATATAACCATATAGGAGAAAATGGCATGACTATTTGTTGTAGTAAGTGGTAATGTTACAGGGAGACAATCTGTTATAGCAATAGTGTTCATATTACATTTATTTACAAATTCAGCAGAGGGTTAGGGTTGAGATATATATATAAAAATCTAATATTTATATTCTGTTATTTTGGGTTTGTATAGCCCCTTTATGAAATCAAGAAATTAAGCATTTAATTAATATTTAGGGTTGCATATTTCTAGTTTAGGAAGCAAAAGCCATGATAGTAGGTTTATCATTAGAGATTCAGTTTTGTTTTGCCTAGTGAGAAGGGGTATCTTAGTGGCACAAAATGTGCAAGCAAATAACTTGGCTACATGCAACAGTGTGATTTGTTTAAACTTTTTGTTTTAACTGCAGAGGCTGTATATAGAAAAATGGAACAAAGATAAGACTGACATTCACGTAATGCCTGATACACCAGAAATACTTCTGTCCAAAGCCAACCAAATCACCATGAGTGATGTAAGTTAAGTAGAGGACTGGACTTATATATCAGTGTATTAACATGGGTCATATTTTTGGCTTAATTCTGAGAGCACATATCCATCATTCTACTTTTTCCTTTAAAAAATGTTCTAAACATCTGCCTGTATTTTTTCCTGTTGTGGAACAGAAAATATATAGGTCTGGCTGGGATGAGGAGAAGAAAAAAGGCTATGATCTACGACCAGATGCTCTGTCCATAAAAGCAGCTAAAGCTTCCAGGGATATTGCAAGTGATGTATGTTTAATTTTTATATTGCCTTATTATGGGAAACTTGTTTTTATTCTTAGTCTGACCATTTCATTCGCTCCCTGATATCTACGGTACATATACACAACCATATTAGTCTGAATGATCTGTGATACCTGAAGCATGAATTTGCTCAGGCAAATCTATGGAATTTCTTTCCTAAAAATTTTAAGGGCTTCATAGATTTTGTGGATATCTTGTTACCTGCTCAAACATGATCCTGCAGGAATATATTTAGTATGTTTTATCTGTCTATCATCTATTATCTATTATCTATCACTCTCTCTCGATTAGGGAACTGTCTTTTTATACTTGCCAGTAAACAAATATATCCCAGTACAATTCTTTGTTGATTGCTTCTTTAACTCTGTCCTTGTCAACAAGCCTTTTATGATCTTCAGGGAATTTACCAGAGGGAAACATTGAAAGATAATTGGTACAAACTTCTGTCTTACGAGTGGATAAAGATAGCACTTACTACTCCATTCCCCACAAATGCTAGGCTACAATCTAACCCATGAGTTAGATTTAGCCTAATCAATATTACTGATTTGAAAGGGCTTAATGTCATATAATTCTATTAAAAGATTAATTAATGCCATATTACACCAAACACATGGTGACCTAGGTGATTTCCAGACAGAGATGCAGATCTGCTTATATTTAATTTGGGTGTCCACCGGATGTGCAGTCATCTGGGCATGGGGGCTGGAAGTTGAGAGTCGCTGTATAAATTGTGTGATAATTAATCACCGTCACAAGCTTATAAAACTCTCATCTTTTACTCTATTTACACAGGGCAATTGTTCATTGTGAAAAACTGGGGTGGGTGGGATGGAGGCAAGCACTGTTTTGCTATCTGTGCTCATTTATTACCAGGAAGAGCAAATTCTGATTGGGTGTTGATTTTTCATTTGAAAACAAGTTGAAAAAAAGCAAATATTTCTGTGCCTGTAACATTCTGGTTATTTTTACAGATCCAGAAATATTTAGAAAAGCCCAAGCAATTCCTGCTGAATTGTAATTGTAAAATCAGAAGGTTTGGGCAATAAGAAATGTTACATATATTAATATTTTATATACTCCATATAGTAACACAGATCGAACTCTTTATCAATCACTGTCAATGAGTAACTTAACTCAAATATGTATATGTGTTTGTATGTGTGTTGTTTTGTTATTCTATCTGGCTTATAGTACAAATACAAACTGGCCTTCGAGCAATCAAAAGGAAAGCAGATCGGCTTCCGTAGCTTAAAAGATGACCCTAAGCTTGTGCACTATATGGAAGTTGCAAAGATGCAGTCAGAGCGTGAATATAAAAAGGATTATGAGAAATCAAAGACCCGGTTCCACATTCCTGTCGACATGTTCAGTTTTGTGGCAGCCAAGAAGGCACAGGAAGTGGCAACTGATACCAATTACCGGAATATTATCCACTCTTACAGTGCTTTGCCCGATTCTATGAACCTTGAATTGGCCAAAAATATGATGCAGATCCAGAGTAATGTAAGGAATTTTTTTTTGATAACTTCTTGAATGACAAAATTAGATAACTGAAGTCTTTAAACTCTGGTGTATGTTACTTTGTTACTTTGCAATTGGGAGAGAACACTATATACCAGAATGGTTTTTCACTGCAAATGGAACTGAAGAAGCAGGACATAGAAAATATACAATATGCTGCTTTCCATTTACATGATGGAAAGGCCCAAAGCTCTTCTTTCCTCTGCAAATTTAGAGTAGATTTGAAGAGGGTTTATTGGGAAGTAGATTGGCACTATAAAAACCAACATTATTAATATATGCCGTCTTATGGAACAGCTATTAAATGTTAGGATACAGAGTGGTAGTCATAGTTAACAGCACAGCCTAAGCCATGATCTGTCTCTAGCTCATTGGGCAAATTAATGGGACTGTCCCAGATTCAGCTGGTGAGTTGACAGTAAATGCCAATTTTCTCTCACAGCATTGCTATGGAGAAAAATTTGAAGAGGGAGTCCTGCATATGCTACTTTGAATTCCTACAACAAATTTGGTGTATCAAACTAATAACTAATAATAAAACTGTAATGTACATAGCATGCAAAATCACAGGATAAAATAATATACAGACACACTCAAATTAATGTGCCTTGTGCTCAGTTTCACAATGATGAAACAATACAGTATCACAACTATGATATCTATATTTTTCATTTGTGTGTTTGATCTTTTCTAATGTCATTTGTAATCCAGCCTGCAGACCAAACTATGTTTAAAAGATTAATATTTTTTTAAAAATATAAAAAGTTGTTTTTCCAAACATTTGGTATAAAATTTTCCTTTCATTTTGTTTTTCAGAATCAATACAAAGCAGACTATGATGAATTCATGAAAGGGATTGGATGGATACCACTAGGATCTCTAGAAGCTGAAAAGAATAGGAAAGCCATGGACATTGTCAGTGAGAAGAAATACAGACAACATCCAGACAAATTGAAATATTCTATTCTAATGGATTCTATGCCAATGGTCCTAGCAACAAGTAATGCGAAAATTATGGATGATGTAAGCCAAGGATTATTTATTTATCTACTTTCTAGGATTTGGGTGGTTTACAATCATATAAATATCTGCATCAATACATATGTTTCATCACAAAAACAAAATCAAATAACTAAAATGGGATGTGTATGCCCAAAGTCACTGAACAAGTCTGTGAGAATATAGTAAAGAAGATTAGGCAGACATTAACTTGTTTGTTGATTCAGTGGATATTCATGTGCAAGACAGACTCTAGCTCTTAAGAAATGTACATTATTTCTTCTACAGTATTAAGAAAGTTACCGTAAGTGAGGACAATTAATTCAGGAGGCAACTTTCCAATAGTTATATACCTTGGTGATTTATACCGGTATATTTCTAGTTCATAGGTTTGATTATAGATTGTATGATATTTCTAGGTTAACAAGTGTCATCAGTTTCATCTCTTTGAGATGTAATCAGTATTAATTACTAGTATACTTAAATATGAAGTGGTGAATAGATTTCTATTTGCTAATAGTATCTAACTGCTATGAGGTGACTGGCTTTTAAAAGATGCAAATGCTGCTCTTGGTTGTGCAATTTAGGGTGATAGTTACATGTTTGTTTTTCTCCCAACAAAAGAGGTAAATTTTCTTTTATATTATTGTATGATCAACATGCAAATGCACATGAGGTCTTTTACGATCCCAGGACACAACTCTCTTTTCAAAATAACTCTTTTCAAAAGAGATTTACTTTGGGGTCTAAGAGTTCTTTATTATTTGGACTAATTATTCTAAGATTTCACAGAATGAAAGAAACAAATATTAATTACCAGAGGAACTGGAGGAGCTTTCTGCTTGATTTTATTTCTTTAAAATTAGTATAGCAAAACAAATTTAACTATACTATTTTGCTAGTACAGATAGTCCTCAACATACAACAGTTCATTTAATGATCATTCAAAGTTACAACAGCAATTTAAAAAAAGTGACTTAGGACTATTTTTCACACAAACGACCATTGCAGCGTCCCCGTGGTCATGTGAGCAAAATTCAGACCCTTGGCAACTGACTCACATTTATGACGGTTGCAGTGTCCAAGGGCCACGTGATCAACTTTTGCAACCTTCTAACAAGCAAAGTCAATGGGGAAAACAGATTCACTTAACAATCATGTTGCTAATTTACCATCTACAGTGATTCACTTAACAAGTCATAAAATGGAGCAAAATTCACTTAACAGATGTTTCACTTAGCAACAGAAATGTTGGATTCAATTGTGTTCGTAAGTTGAGGACTACTTGTACTAGCAAAGTGTCATCAGCACGTGAATATTTCTTGTTTGAATAATTCTACATGAGGTAAAATTCACACTTGGTTCATACTGTATTGGACTGATTAAGAATGGTTCAGTCAACTTAACCAAATAATTCAATTATCTAGGTAAACTGGACTGATGAGATATTTTCCAATCATCAAAGGATTGATATAAAATTAAATTTAATTATCATACTGGTTTAATTATGGTGTGTATTTTTTTAACTGTGTGTGGGGGTTTTTTTTGAGGTTTATTTCAAAGTTATTTTTCAATGATAGATGTTCCGTTCATTCTATTTTAGCACCTTTACAAAAAGGACTGGGAAGCAGAAAAGACACAGATTCATATTACGCCAGATATTCCTGAGATTCTTTTGGCAAAAGTCAATGCTTATAACATCAGTGATGTAAGTATGAAGATTGCTTAGTTCTAGTACTAGTGAATCAGCAAAACTACAGGTTACATTATTTGTCAAACAAGATAAAATAGACACATTGCCTAGCAGAAAAAGCTAGCCTTTGAGTCAAATCCTGTAATATTATCCATTGAAAACTCTCATTAGTGGAAGTCTTTGTTCATGTAACTATTTCATACACAACCTTTCCAAGTAATTATTCTCAAATTATCAGCACTAAATCAAGAAAACCATTATACCAAGTTAACAAAGAAGAAACAGGAAAAAAAATACAACTTAAAGAAGAAAAAAAATCAAAACCACTGTTCACTAGAAATTGAATAGAAACTCAAGAATTATCGTGGCACTGTATTAAAAATGCTTATGAAATCTTTCCAAAGCCAGTGTTCATTTACTGAAATGTTCCATTGCTAGATATGCATAATTAAATAGGCCTTTTTTTCTACCCAGACACCACAGTGCCCTGCAGATCTTTGGCAATAATTTGGCATTCTACTATGATTCACTCAGACTCTTCCTTTGCTGTTTTTACTTTTTGCAGAAAGGGAGAGGAAAAAATGACCTTCTAGACAAGCTATTGGTGATGTGATTGTTAAAGCAAATGGCAAATCTGCCCCACTGGAATGCCTGGGAGTGGAGGGGGAACTGTGGTCAGATACCTTAGCATCTCAGCTACAGGAAGAGAAAATTTCAGGATCCCTTTGGCAGATTAATTTTTAGGCTCTGACAAAATGTAAACGTGCCTCTCTAGAGCTCCAGTAGAATTGCTGTAAAGCTGTCGTTGTTCTTTTGGATGCTAAGAATAGTTACATATCTTAATTAACCAAGTCCACAGCATCATATGGGATGAGGGACATGGCACCAAGTACAGATTGTGTGGCTTGTTTGTGAAAAGAGCCCTGGTGTAGGTTTGTAGTCTGGCATTGACCAACATATAAATTAGCAGTTTAGATTTTAAGATCACTTATGTTTTTTTTTAAAGATTCAAGATGGTTTTCAGAACAAAGAATAAATAACTTTTAACCTGCAGAATCATTGCATTACATTAATTCTATTCCATCAAATTTACTTTTTCATCTGGATCTGCCTAATTTTTCCAGAATGCTAAGAAATATTTACACTTGTAACCATACCTTATCAATCATTAATGTTCTGTCTCTGTACTGTAGTGTATTCTTTAAATACTTTCCTTTCTTTTTCCACATAGAAAATATACAAACATTCTTTGGAAGAAGCTAAGAAGAAAGGCTATGATCTCAGAAATGATGCAATCTCTATTAAAGCTGCTAAAGCTTCTCGGGAAATCGCCAGTGATGTAAGTTTACAGTCGATGTTGTTGGTTTTTTCCTGCTGAAGAAAAATTACAGAAGGCCCCTGTGGATAAAAAGGCACCTTTGGAACCAATTTTACCTTTTCTAACAATCTGTTCAATCTGTACCTATATCCATTTTCATTTTATTACTGTATGATAAAGTTACAATTCAGTATTGACCGCTTACATTTCACTTTCTGTTTTCTCTGCAGTACAAATATAAGTTAGGTTATGAACAGGACAAGGGTAAGCTCGTTGGCTTCCGCAGCCTCCAAGATGACCCCAAGCTTGTCCATTTCATGCAAGTGGCCAAGATGCAGTCAGATCGTGAGTACAGGAAAGCCTATGAAGGCAGCAAAACGAGATACAACACGCCTGCCGATACTGTCAGCATTATGGCTGCCAAAGAAGCACAAGCCAACATCACCAATACCAATTACAAAAGGCTCATCCATAAATATATCCTTCTGCCGGATGCCCTGAATGTAGAACTGGCCAGAAATATGAATCGGGTTCAAAGTGATGTAAGATCTTGGAATCTCTTTTTTTTACTATTTAGTTGAAAGATGCTTTTTATATGTTTGTTTATCTTTGAGGGGGATGGGCAGTTCAAAAATGTGAAAAATTAATAAAAATGAAATGCTTTAATAAACTATTTTATAATAAATGGATTTAATATATATATAAATAGATTGTTTGCAATGTTTGCCATAGTGAAGAATATTTGCAATGTTCAGCTGAAATTGTCCTTGGATATAAATTTGTTGGGTGAATAAAGATCAGAATTATAATTCTTCCCCACATCCATAAAACTCAACAGGATTTTTAACAATTTATGTTGATTTTTTAACTGAGAAAAAAAAATCCTTTGCAAGAAGTATTGCCACATAGTTAAAAGGGAAATCCCAATTTTTACAGATGTCAGTAAAAACATTTTGACTAAATGAATAACTTACAGTATATAATACACTATCAATATATTTTAGTATAAAAATTTGTAATTATAGAGAAACTATCAATACTTTATAGCAGTTTGGTTTCAACTGCACCCTCTTGTGTTTCATTTGTAGAATACTGTTCCAATATCAAATGAAAAATAAAGAGGAGATAAAGGACATTCTTGTTAAGTTCTGCAAGACATTTTGCTAGATGAAGATTTCCATTTGAAATATCCTTAGCAAACTAGAACAGTGTACCACACATTGATCCACAGTTTGTGACCACATAATCCACATTATGTGACCACATAAAAAAGGAGGAAAAACTTTTTCCAAACTTTCCCATTTGATTGATTGATTATATGCCATCACATAGATTAGCAATCACATAGATTTTCTCCACGACTATCCACTCCTAACTGGTTCTTCCAGGTTTTCCAATGTTGCAGTCATCTATCCATCTATCTTATTGCTAGTCATCCTCTTCCTTCCTTTCCTTACACCTTTTCCAGCATTACAGCTTTCTCCAGACAGTCTTTGAATAATGTGTTCAAATTAGTTGTTAGTTAATTAATAATTGATAGTTAGCCAAAACCATTTTTTAGTCTTTCCCATTGCACCATCTCAAAACAATCCAGTGAGACAACTGCTGCAGATATTAGGGTTTGGGTTTTTTTTTTTCTGAAAATCAGTTAGTAATCTAATAACAGACTTTGTCAACTGTGTATAAAATGATATTGTGCAAAATGGATTATTTGAATTCCATCCGTATTCTATGTGCCAGGGTCCATGGCAGTAGTTTTGCATTAAAATAGAAGAAGTAAATTAGTCAGCAGAATTGCAAAGTCAGCAGGATAGTCACCAGCCTTCAAAATCATAGTTATATAAATCACAGAGAAGGGGGAAAAAGTATTTTAAAAAACATTATTGTATAGATCTGCAACGTTTATCTGTGTCAGAAGCATTACAATTAAAATAAGGCATACTATATGGCATAACATTTAAAATATAAAATGCAAGATTAAAATTTGCACAAGTTAAACAGATCTTGCCCAGAAACTAGCAACATTAATTGTGTTTCTGTTGTGCTGCCATGAGGTCATCAAGTGTGCACTGATCAGGATAATCTGGAATGATATTGGGACAAAGAATTCAATACATATTTTATGCCACTCAGTGGAATAATTATCTGGACTAAATGTGTTTCTTGGTTTCATAGATATAATAACTATAATTTCTTAAAAAGATGAAGTTGCAGTTTAATTAGATGTACTTTTAGGAAGATCTATACTAGGTACAAATAGATTAAATTCTTTCTAAATTGCATTATAAAACTGAGAATAAAAAATAAAATCTGCTAATTTGTAGAGTCAGAATTATTACTTGAGTATTCTTAAGAAATCATGTGAGACACACTGCTGTTTAATACTTTAGAAGGGAAATACTTATTTTTTAATTAAATAATAAATCAAGCAAATTTTACAATTTTGCAGTGTTTACTAATTAAATAATAAAGCAAACAAAAATACAAAAGGATTATCTCTTACTCAAAGTGACCTGAAACTATAATTCATCATGTCATCATTTACTCATAGGATGCCTCTTGTCCATGGGTGTGTGTGTGTTATATTATTATAGTTAAGAGCTGTTGAACTATAGATTTGTTTCATTCTCTGTCTACAGCATGAATATAAGCAAGATTATAATGAATGGTATAAAGGTCTTGGTTGGAGCCCTGCTGGGTCATTGGATATTGAGAAGTCCAAGAAAGCCACTGAAATTGCAAGTGACACCAAGTATCGCCAGCACCCAAGTGCTTTCCCATTTAAGAAGCTGACTGATTCAATGGATATGGAACTTGCAAAGCACAATGCTGATGTTATGAATAAGGTAACTCTTGCCATTCTGCGTGCAAATAATGACATATGCTGCACCCCACTTTAACCCTCTGGCTTGCATTACTTAAGCAAAAGAGTTTCAGCAGATTGCAGATATATGTTATGAGTGGTACAGATTTTGTAAAAACCACTGAACAATTCCTAGCAGATTTTTATTTTATAGAACATAATTGTTTGTTAGCAGATTTCTCCGCAAACTGACATCTTTAGTACTACTGTTAGCTATATACAATATTCTTTAATTAATGTTACCATAGTCACTTGTTCCTTAAAGAGGCTCTCTGTTCCCTAAGGATTTGTGCAGATGATATTCATGAGGTGTTGTATAGAGGAAAAAGCTAATTTATGGCCAGAAGGTCATCCCAAGCACATCGCTAAATATATGACTTCTAGGACATATCAGTGCATTTCCTTTGTAGAGAATCTGCACAGATTTTCAATTTTATGTTAAAATCAAACAGCTATCCACATACCAACTTTATTGCATATGAATACATTTATTGATCGTTACTGTTTTCTTCTCTAACAGCGTGCATACATAAATGCATGGGAGAAAGACAAGACTACGATTCATGTCATGCCGGATACACCAGATATTATGCTGGCTAAAGCAAATAAGTTCAATTACAGCCAGGTAAGAAAATATTCAAGCATGTATTTTAGTAACTAATCTTCAACATGTTGATTATATTCTCCTGAATGAAATGATTCCTTTGTAAGTTAACGTTTTCTTGAAGCTCTGAGGCTATTCATGGGAATTCAACTTTCATTTCATTCAGTTTTCTTCCAAGAAAGAACAAGAACACCATGTCTGTAAAGTCCTCTGGTTGTGTACAACTGGGACTAGTCCAATAGGGAGTATGTAGAACAAATAACAATACTGAATGTATAATCTCGCTATTATAGATTTAAACCGATCATTCTAGAACTAGATGAATCTGAAATTTTCTACAGCCAAATTCCTAGCTGATTTTAACATTTCTGAATATTAAACTCATTTGCCATTGGTTAGGCCAGAAGTCCCCAACCTTTTGGGCACCAGGGACCAGTTCCATGGAGAAAGGTTTTTTCGCAGACTGGAGGGGGTGTGGTTTCCTGTACTGCCTACATCCTGTGGATGGGGCTTTGCTTGTTTGTGCGGCCCAGTTGCAGGCATGCCGCGGCCTGGTACTGGTCCCCGGATCGGGGGTTGGGGACCCCTGGGTTAGGAATTGACTCCTTCATGACTTTGTCATAAACTGCTCTTATTCCTCAGAAATCTCTTCAGTAATCGTTCTCCCTTTTAATTACTAGGAAGTTGATTTCAATTTGTGGATTTTGTTTGAAATGAAATTTGAAGCAAAACAAATGATTTCTTGTGAGTCACATACACAAAAGAGAAAAAAAGCTAAGAACTATTCTATTATTATTAAACATTAGCAGGGTTTTCGGAACTACTGTGAGAACAGAATGCTGGACTAGAACAGACTTTTGCATAATCTAAAAAAAGTCATTACTTTGTTCAAATTTTATTTAAATCACATCTGAAGCTAATATCTTCCTCAAATAACAGACAATATTTGAGGAAACCTAAGATATTACTAAATAGGTTTCTTATGGATTTACATATTCCTATAACAAGATTAGATTTCTCCATGAGGAAACCTGAAGCAAAAAATGGGATGTGTTTCAGTTGTAGGAGTGGATTGTAAATATTTAATTTATTCAAATTGTTTTGATTTTTTTTAATCTATGCTACTTTTTCATGCTAGAAATTGTACAAACTTGGATGGGAGGAAATGTTGAAGAAGGGTTATGATCTCACTACTGAAGCCATATCAGTGAAAGCAGCTAAAGCATCCAGAGACATTGCTAGTGATGTAAGTTACGTTATAAATTCTCTCTGATATTATAGCTTAGGCTATGACTCATTTTAATGTCAGGGTTTATTAATTTCCACATTATGTATATGTAAGCTCAAACTTCCAAAATCATATACAGACATCCACAAGCTGGATAAAAATTAAATCAGGCATATTAGTCCTACCCACTAAGTAAGAAACCTGTATTTCACTCATGTGGGTGCTTGAGCGGGATTTTCCATTATGTCACAGAAACACAGACTTTATTAATGTGCCCTGTGGTCTTAAATAAGCATCTTTATAGTTAATTTCAAGGCAGAGGTAGAGGAGCCTAGTTTTTTGGTGGAAAACTGACAACATAGTTGCTTATAGTTATAATATATTGTTATGCATTGATATATATACATTATCCTTCCTATAATATTCAATACCTTTGATAAAGCTTTGCACTAAGGATTTTTTGAGCTATGTCCAGATCATTTCTTCATGAGTAAATCATACACAAATCTATAGAGATTTACTAGATTTGTGTACATAAAACTGTGACCATTGTGCAAATGTTAGATGTACTGCTAAATCTGACATACCTGGGTCTGCAAATTATTCCTGATTTTGACTTTTTCTCAACTTTTTTTTTTTAGTACAAGTATAAAGATGGCTATCGCAAGCAACTTGGCCATCATATTGGAGCACGTAGTATAGAAGATGATCCTAAACTTGTGCATTCCATGAACGTTGCCAAGATGCAGAGTGAGAGGGAATACAAGAAAGTGTTTGAGCAGCTGAAGACCAAGTACAGCACTCCTGTGGATATGCTGTCAGTCTTGGGGGCAAAGAATTGCCAGAAGCTGGTCAGCGATATCGATTACCGTAATTATTTGCACCAGTGGACATGCCTCCCGGATCAAAATGATGTCATCCATGCCAAGAAGACCTATGAACTACAGAGTGATGTAAGTCATATACTTCAACCATTTTGTTTGATAAAACTGCACTGACTATGTAGACTGGACATCTTTCCTTGTTTACTATTTATCCAGCTACCAATTAATGATCCTGCTCGGGTGTTTGCCTTCCTTACTGACATCTGAAAATGCATGTTTTATTTTCTTATTACTCTTCTACACTCTCTTTCTATAACTTATAGTAACTCTAGACACTGATATCCAACTTACATTTCCCTCTTCCTTTACTAACTTGGTAAGATTGTGGTTTTTTTTTTTTAAAAAAATCCTTAACTTCTTCTTTCCTTGATTAAATTAACACTTGCAAAAGTTTGTTGTGTCTTTCTCTTCTGACTCATTGCTCTCAGTGTCTAAAATCTGGGAAAATATGAAAGACAACTATACAGAGAGGGCATCTTGAAGAAAATATGTGGCAACTCTTAGTAAAATATGAGCCTAATTCAGGAAAGCAAAAAAGTGGAAAAAAAACCCACAACCCCAGAATATACTCAAGAGAATCAAAGTTGGGCTAAGAAGAAGAAACAGTTATCTGGTTTTCAATATTCTGTTATTATACTCTAGATTATAAAGGAGAGTTCTTGTATTTCTTCTGAGATCTGGCCTGACAGGAAAATGTTCTTCTAACCTTACACCTTACTTTGTGCTTTTATTCATAACCAACAAGATATTACAGAGTCCTAAATCAAAGAGGCATCACTGGATGAAAAAGACATACGTACAAAATTCAAGGGCAGTAAGTCAGGAACAAAACACCTTCAGAAATTCTGTAATATAGAATGGTGGCTTCTGTTTTTTTCCCCCCTGCCAGATTGCGTATAAATCTGATCTCGAATGGATTAAGGGCATTGGATGGAACCCCTTTGGCTCTCTAGAGTCGGAAAAGAACAAGAAAGCTTCTGAGATTCTGAGTGAAAGAACTTATCGTCAGCATCCAGACACAATTAAATTCACAAGCATTCCTGATTCGATGGAAGTTGTTCTGGCAAAAGAAAACTCAAAGCATAGAAGTGATGTGAGTGTTTGTCAAGTTGAGGGTTTCTGCCGCTGGAGGGGACTTGGGGAGACAATCAGCAGCTTGAAAGAGGGAGGGGGAGGAAAGCAATAGATTCTGCAGTGTAATGTAGTGGTTTGATTCCATCCCTGAATCTATATTTCTTCAAAAGTAAGTTACATTGAAAGAAAGTCAAGATAGTTTAGAAATTTGTTTTTAGGATGGTAGCTCTCTTTAATAAATTGCATTTAAGATCCCCTGATCAAGAGAACTTGCTTCCAAGTAAATAAGAATGAAATTTTATGATGGTAAATAGGTTTAAAAAATAAAATTTAGTGCAGGAAAAATGAAGTTGCTCATTGGATGTATTTAGCAAAATGGTATTTTTTGTAAGTTTCCTTTTATTTTTTTTCTAAAAATTAATATAAACGAGCATCCTTGAGGATATAATGAACTTTGTTTAATTTAGGGATGAAACAAAAGAATCTCTTCTGCATAACTATTCCACTTTCGTAACTATTTCTTCTGCATGCAATTCTGCCTGAGTTGATAACAACTCAGAATATTTTGCTTTATCTGAATAGATTTTTTACTGTGTTGTGAAAGGTCATATTATTTTTTTGTCACTGAAAGATATTGATTCACTCTTTGTTTTTGTTTTTCTAGAGACTTTATCGAGAAACTTGGGACAAAGATAAGACTCAGATTCATATCATGCCTGACACTCCTGAAATTGTGTTGTCCAGAATCAACTTAGTTAACTTGAGTGATGTAAGTTTGATACTGGTTTGATTACAGAATCAACCATTTAGTGTTGCACTAGAGTGTTGCACTTCTAACTTTCATTGGCTCTCTTCTTAGAAACTCTACAAATTAGGATTGGAAGAACTGAAAAGGAAAGGTTATGATCTTCCACCTGATGCCATACCGATCAAGGCAGCAAAAGCTTCTAGAGAAATTGCCAGTGAAGTAAGGAACTCTGTTTATGTATTTTAAGGAAAGATGGCAGGCAGTGATTTGTTAAATCTTCCTCTTATTTGGTATCCCGAGGGAGGGCAAACTGAGGCCCTAGCGTATTTTCCAAAGGCCTCTGAAAGCAATCCATTCACTGATAAGGGCTAAAAGTCTGCTCCTTGATGGAGAGGTATCATAACTGGTCTTTGATTTCCACAGGGGCTTTGCTTCAGTTTTATCTACAATGGCATGAAGGCCCCAATCCTTGATTTATATGTCCCACCACCACATACAGCCCCCCTACTTTTTAATACAATCTCATTTAGATTGCTAATTAGCACTTGTGAGATTTTTTAATAGAGAGTGCTATATGCTATTATCATTGCTTTACATTTACATAAAATAATTTAAGATACCATTTTAATTAAAGGTATTACATTTCCTTCTAGACTAACCATTCTCAATTCTGATTAATGTCAATGAAAATAGAAAGGTGATTTTTAACCCATTTTGAAAATCATAAGCAGGAAATTCTAAATCCCTCTCTTATAACTTAATACTTAACCCTCAAACCATTCTTCACTTAAAAGGCATATATTTGAGATAGCAACTATATAAACTGAGGAAGATGGGCAGTTAAGAAATATGAAATATAAATAAATAATATAAAAATGTACTGCGGACTAAAAGTAAATCCTATTTTGATAAATATAAACAAACCAAATTTTCCTCTATAACTCTTTAATATGTGGCCAATGTTACTGGAGTTAAAAGAATGTCATAAATCTGAGATATTCTCCCCTCAAGGATGATTAAACATACTCCATACACATCCTCCTTACAAAATCACCATCTGGGTAATTTTGGGCCAGTTCCTCTCTTTCATCCCTAGACTGCAAAGTTCAAAGTTCAAAAACATCTACTTATTAACCTGCATTGGGTTAACATGGTGGATTATCATACTTCACTGAAATAACCTGCATCCTGCAGTGGATTTATTCAGGCTGATAATATCTATCTCTACCTTTCTCTCAACAAACCAAATACTTGTGTGTTGCCCATCTTTCCCATCATGTCGACTTAACGTCATTAATCACAGATGAAATCAATCCTAGAGACCCTTCAGCCATGTTGTATATAACCATATGTCATTCCCTTATTTTCGACCAGATTTTCTGCTCTCAAACAATGAGAATTGCTCATTCACCAGATAATGAACAATCCAATTAACAGATCCTCAGTGGGGTGGAGGAATAACTTGTTTTCCTTTTGAATTAATATAGACTTAAATAGATAATTACTAATAAGCTTAATAATATTACTTAATAGGGATAATAATATCTTTAATAAATCCTTCTTTAAAAACTGAATACTATATCCTTTATCATCATTGCAATCAAATGAAAAAGTGTTTACTACTACTGATGTCTTAGGCTTCTCTCTAGCATGCTCCCTTCATTTACACCAAGAAGGATGGGAAGTAATGGAGAATTAATGGGAAAGAAAAGATTATTACACTGGTAAATATAGATCTATCAGTTGAGAAACATCTCTGGATGTTACCCAGTCAAGTTGGAACTCAGTACTTGAGATATAGTGATCAGATTGCCTGAAAAAATATTTTGGTTTAGCACATTTAGTTATATGGGGAACTAGATCAAAGTTTTTATTTTCTCTTTCTCCCTCTGTACAGTACAAATACAAAGAGGCATACCGTAAGCAGCTTGGTCACCATGTGGGAGCTCGCAGCATAGAGGATGACCCTAAACTTGTGCATTCCATGAATGTTGCCAAGATGCAGAGTGAGAGGGAATACAAGAAAGTGTTTGAGCAGCTGAAGACCAAGTACAGCAGTCCTGTGGATATGCTGTCCGTCTTAGGTGCAAAGAATTGCCAGAAACTGGTCAGCGATATTGATTACCGTAATTATTTGCACCAGTGGACATGTCTCCCAGATCAAAATGATGTCATCCATGCCAAGAAAACATATGATCTTCAAAGTGATGTAAGTGTCATTTTAGCAATTTTGTAAATGTAAAGCCACGCTTAATAAAACCACCTTCTTCTACTCAGTGTTAGCTGTGCTCTAAGCACAACCATTATGGATCACTCTATTTGTTTGAATGAATTTCACTGTCACATCACTTCTTAAGATTTAGGGATGTTTTAATGTTTTAAGAAGCAGTGACACTAATAAAATGTTGAATAATAAAACAGAAAAACTAATAACTTCTCCTTTCTTCAGATTAACTATAAATCAGACCTTGAGTGGCTCAGGGGTATTGGCTGGTCTCCTAGTGGTTCTCTGGAAGCAGAGAAGAATAAGAGAGCTTCTGAAATCTTGAGTGACCATGGATATAGGCAACACCCTGACACTTTCCATTTTACCAGCCCTATCGATTCCTTACCTATGGCTTTGGCAAAACATAACTCTGAAATTATGAATCAGGTAAGTTTTGTCTGTGGTCCTTTCTTTAAATACACACACACACACACATCATACACTTTGATAGAATAATATTGTTTTCTGTAATAAAATTTCAAAGTAAATTATATAGTTGCTCTACTGAAGTTGCATATCAGTATATAATGCACCTTAAGGATGCATGAAAAACATTCATTGTGCTTTTTAGAGTTGAGGATTAGGGGTCAGGAGACACATGCAAAGCATTCCTAGTCTTAAGTCAAAATATGTTCTTTAGAACAGTATAAGAGCTTAGGAGAACTCATCAGAAATGGCCTTTGTTGTTAGTTGGGAAGTTGTGTCCGACCCATCACGACCCCATGGACAGCGTTCCTCCAGGCCTTGATTAATTCTTGATGAAGAAACTCCTTACTAAAGAGATTAGGATTTTATTTATGCAAGAAGATTGTCATAAATATTGAATCTATTTATATTCACCTTATTTCCAACCCTGGCTTTAAAAATGAATAAGTTAAAAATTAAGTAATATTTTTTCATCTATTTTTGGATTTAGCACAATCTTATCCACTTGACTGCTTTATGTATTTTGTAATTATAATTATGGTATTAGCAATATAAAATGGGTTTCATAATTTTCATCCACAGTATATAGTTAGAACTCATTCTATATTTTAGTTTTAATAACCATTACTTTTGATTATTTTATTGTACTTTTTTTAGCGTATGTATGTTGATGCTTGGAACAAAGATAAATCCAGTATCCATATTATGCCTGATACTCCTGAAATTCTACTGTCACAACAGAACAAAATCAACTTCAGTGATGTAAGTGGATTTCTATTTGTCAAACCTATGAGAAGGGATGGGGGAAAAAATGCCCTCAGCAACACTAAAGCAATATTTGCCATCCATTTAGAAACTGTACAAGCTGTCATTGGAAGAGGCCAGGAAGAAGGGCTATGATCTTCGGATAGATGCAATTCCTATCAAGGCTGCTAAAGCATCCAGAGACATTGCAAGTGAGGTACGTATTTATACGATACGATACAAACCACAAGTTTTTATTTGATTGCAGTTGTTGTGTAGAATTTTTACACTTTTCCTTTACAGCAAGAATGGGATTTTTTTGAGGCTGGGTTGATTATGTGAAATTTTTTTGCAACTATTACTAGTATTCAAGATATATTTAAATAGACTAAATCATTTTCCTTGGAAGTTTTGATAGTATGGGCAGTTAATTTCTCTCTGTGGATCTATATTAGAGACCAGTAATAGCAACCTGGGAAATGAAATGGAGGTATCAAACTTTGAAATTAATTTCCCCTTGTAAATTACTAAAGATTGAAATAGTGCATATGAACACAAATCACATATTAAAATATAAGTGGTTTTGTACAAACAATCTTCATGGTCTGTTCAATATTTGATTTAAACTCTTCTAGATCTTAGGGAACCCAGGGTAAGTAAACATTATGTTTTAAACTGCTTATTATTGTTATCAACAGTATAAGTACAAAGAAGGTTATCGCAAGCAACTCGGCCATCATATTGGAGCTCGGAGTATAGAGGATGACCCTAAACTTGTGCATTCCATGAACGTTGGCAAGATGCAGAGTGAGAGGGAATACAAGAAAGTGTTTGAGCAGCTGAAGACCAAGTACAGCAGTCCTGTGGATATGCTGTCAGTCTTGGGGGCAAAAAATTGCCAGAAGCTGGTCAGCGATATCGATTACCGTAATTATTTGCACCAGTGGACATGCCTCCCGGATCAAAATGATGTCATCCATGCCAGGAAGGCCTATGAACTGCAGAGTGATGTAAGTAGTGATGACTTTTAACTTCACTGGAACTGATCTATGAGAACAAATTTCTTGAGTTTTGGAAAAGTCAGCAAGATTTTGTTAATGAAAATATGGTTAGCATGGAAAATATTTCTAAAAATAGTTGAAGAAGCACTCAGTAATATTTGTACTTCCAAAGTTCTGTCCATTAATTGCCTTTTTATATTACTTAAGTTGAAGTCAGACTATTAATAGAATAAAAGTGCACAATATCCAGGTGGTTAAGATGCTGGGCTTATTGACTGGAAGATTGGAAGTTCAAGACCAAGTATTGCATGAAGGAGTGAGCTTCCATTACTTGCTCCAGTCCTACCAACCTAGCATTCTGAAAGCATGTAAATGCAAGTAGACAAATAGGTACCACTTCTGTGGGAAGGTAACAGTATTCCATGTCCCTTAGGTGTATAATCATGCCAGCTACATGATCACGGAAGCATCTTCAGACAATGATGGTTCTTCAGCTATAAATTGGAGATGAGCACCGCCCCCTAGAGTTGGATATGGCTGGCAGGGGAAACTTTTACCTTTTTTTAAACCTTCCATATGTAAATATGGAAGAGTCTAACAGGGGTCCCCAACAGGACACTTGGCATATGCTGCAAGGTTCCCTGATTCTTTTAATATTTGTACTAAAAACAAATTATTTAAGCTTAAAAATAATGAGAAGTTCATGGAGAGCAAATCATGCTTTCCAAAAATACTTTGGAGTATCTGATCAATTTACAATTGAAGGGATGGAACTTTTCTTTTGTGGCAATTTTTCTTTTGTTTTGAAATCAAAAGACATTCACGTACTAATCCTGTATGATCACAACATTGCCTCAATATATCAAATTTGAACATCAGCCTAAAACAGTTGGGGATCACAAGTCTAAGTAAGGTTAGTTTTATAAATGCATAAATGACGTATTATTAGAAACTCAATACTGTAATATCTAATTTAGCTATTCTTCTTGGTTTTGTAAAAAAAAATTGGGAAAATGTTTAGCTCAGCTGAAAAAACTAAACCCACAAATTATCGATAAATCTAAGATTTTTGTTTTCTAAATAAGGAACATTATTTCTGGCATTTGCCACAGCAAGACTGGATGATTTCGCACTTCATTTTAAATAGTGATATTAGCTGATATAATTAGAGATTATCAGAATAAAAGATGCTTATACTGAAGACATTTGTAATTACAAGGAGGTGAGGGAATATATTTTAAAGGAAGTACAAAGACAGCTGTTGTGTTAATATATACAATAGTGAGTTTCAATTCATAAGCTGTCTTAAAAGAAGAAAAAAGAAAATTCAGTTACTAAAGCATTTAATTCAGGACCATAAAACTTGCTGCAGTGCATAGGATCAAAGACAAAACTTTGGGCTGTTAGACCTTCAGTTCTGACTAAATGTCCTTTTTAATGTTCTGCTTCACAGAATTACTACAAGTCTGATCTTCAGTGGTTGAAAGGTATTGGGTGGGTCCCTATTGGTTCCTTGGATACTGAAAAAGCCAAGAAAGCTGGAGAGATCCTAAGCGAAAAGTTGTATCGCCAGCCTCCAGACAAATTCAAGTTTACAAGTGTGACAGATTCTCTAGAAATACTTTTGGCCAAGCATAATGCAGAAAATATGAATAAGGTGAGCACTAATGGCTTGTTTTAGATATGTAACTGAGTATTAAAATGAAATGTATGCAAGATGCTTAAGAGATTGAATATAATAATTAATGTGGCATTTTAAAACTTTGTACTGGCATTTTAATATAAATATTATTTGTAATATTTTATTTAATTGTATATAATTAAATAATATACATATAATTCACATGTATATATTATTTGTCATTCTTTTTCTATAAATAATGTTTTCAAACCTAAAGGGACTGCTGCATCCTTTGGATCTTAGGATTCTTTGATTTGATACTAGCAATTAGAATGAAAAGAATGATTTATTTAAGATCTTATCACTAAAATCTGTAAAGCTTCTATTTAAGCAACACTGCAAACACATCAAACTAATTTTAAAGAAGTATCATTTTTCAAGATGTGTGAAATCTGACAGGTGCAGCATTTCTTAAATAGAAAACTTTGATGCTGTTAATGGCTAAATGCCTTTGTAAAACCATTTTACTGCCTCATTTTTCTTTGATAGAACTAAGGAGTGCTTTCTGGTGTAATCTGCACTAATTATCAACACAGAACGGTGGAACAGGATGAAAGATATGTGAAAGATGACAGCCGCAGTTGTGTGATTGCAGACTTGTCTTTTCTGTATGCATTGCTCATGCAGTGTATACAAAAAGAGGCAGGACTTTGATGCCACATTGGGGCTGCCGTCTTGACTTTTTTCTTGACATCCTCTGAGAAACCCTGTTTGGTGAAAATGTAAACATTCTCTGATATTTATTAACGGCATTTCTACTTGAACTTTCAGGGTGAAACAACGGGGTTAGAGAAGAACCCGAGTTGATTTCATTTTAATGTCTGTTTTATTTGCTTCCTTGTCCTCTCTTCACAGCGTTTGTATACCGAAGCTTGGGATAAAGACAAGACACAAATTCACATAATGCCTGATACCCCTGAAATCACTTTAGCAAGACAGAACAAGATCAACTACAGTGAGGTAAGGTCACTGGATGGGAGGTCTACCAGATGTTCTGATTATGATAGGAACCCTCTACATCAGTGTTTCTCAACCTTGACAATTTTAAGGCATGTGGACTTCAACTCCCAGAATTCCACAGCCAGCATTGCTGGCTGTGGAATTCTGGGAGTTGAAGTCCACATGCCTTAAAATTGTCAAGGTTGAGAAACACTGCTCTACACGAAGATAACCAAACTCTGATGAGGAGCTGTTGATCAGCTGCAAGTAGAATACGGGACTGAAGGGAGAGGAGAAAGGCTAGTAAGAAAGGACAGATGTGGCAGGGGAAGAGACAAAGCCTGTGGGAATCCTTGTCCTAGCTCACAGTAATTTTCTCACTAATAGCCTAAAAGAGTGTGCACAATGCACAATCTACTAAAGCTACGGGTGTGAACCTCAGCCCCAGAAATCAAGTTGTCAAGTTGTAATATCTAATGCACAGGCAAGGAGCATGAGGACATACTTTGATGTTTTATATTTGAACTAAAGATTTCTGGTTGCCTTCCTTATTAAAATAATTTTGAAGAAATTATTTAGTAGCGAGATTATGTCTGTCTAGCTCCCATATAATGGCCTTGTTTACCATTAGGTAAGAACTGTAAATATTGATATTTTCTTTTTTCTCCTTTTAAAAAGAGTTTATATAAACTTTCCTTGGAAGAGGCAAAGAAGAAGGGGTACGATTTACGAATTGATGCAATTCCAATTCAGTCTGCCAAGGCATCCAGAATTATTGCTAGTGATGTAAGTCTTTATTTTTGTGGGATGAAAATGAATTCTTCCATTGTTTTTTTTTAAATAAATTTCTTACCCTAGGGGACTTAAAATAAATCTACAGTTCAGAAATCAGAGAGTATTGCAGTTAACAGAACATCCTGTCTCTGACATGAACTCTTAAGAAGCAGCCTTGCTGCATGGAGCAGCTAAGCTCAATCATCTAAATGTCTTAATAGAGCTTATGCATAGATTGGTCACAGATTGATAAAAGTGGGAAGTTTCTACAAAGGAGTTATGCCATTTCATGCTGGTTTTGGAAGCTATTAGATGTCAAATTTTCTTGGTTAGTGAAACCACCTGTAGCTCCTTCAGAACTGTAGAATTAGCTTCTCTGGCAAATGGAACAGGTTTTAACTTCAGGCAAAAAAGGCAGCATTTCTTGCTAGTAGGCATAGGATTATATGCTTTAATTTGAATTAACTTTTAATATTTGATTATAAACTGTCAATTGCAGTTCTTTGATTGAGGAGTTAATATTGGCAATAATGTTGAATTTTGCAAATTTTAACTTGGCTATTATAGTTCAGGCACCAAAAAGAAACATAAAGGTACATCTGACCGTATGCTTGTGCATTTATTTCAGTACAAATACAAAGAAGGCTATCGCAAGCAACTGGGCCACCACATTGGAGCTCGTAGCATAGAAGACGATCCTAAAATGCTGCATTCTATAAATGTGGCCAAGATGCAAAGTGAGAGGGAATATAAGAAAGTCTTTGAGAAACTGAAGACCAAATATAGCAGTCCTGTGGATATGCTGTCGATCTTGGGGGCCAAGAATTGCCAGAAACTGGTCAGCGATATTGATTATCGCAATTATTTGCACCAGTGGACCTGTCTACCAGATCAGAATGATGTCATCCACGCTAGGAAAGCTTATGATTTGCAGAGTGATGTGAGTATAATTTTGACTTGGACTATACCAGTTAAAAGAGGGCCAATCGCACTATGTCTGGCACCTTTCTGTCACCTACACATACAAAATACTGATAGTAGTGGCAGTTTTAATTGTTTAACCCATATTGGTGCATAGATGAACTGAGATGACTACCTAATCTGCTTTATTACTCCAGAGTCTTTGCTCTTTCTGAGGGTGCACATTAGAGATTTAAACATGACTCCATAGAACCATCAAACAAATGTTATTAGTGTCTTCTGAACTTTTGATGTTGTTCTATCCCAAATGACAATGTTCTTCACATATTCATCAGACATATGCTAGAGTTTTATTTAAACATTATTTTACTCGAGAAAGTTGGGAACCTCCTGAAAATGAATTATACCTTGGACATTTTTCATGGTTTTTAAGGATATTTTTACATTTTTACATTTCTTTCGTCAGCAGAACACAATGTGTCATTAAATCCAATTGTTTTTCCAAAAATGCAAGATGACTTTTCTAACGAACTATTAATTCACAGAATTTCTACAAAGCAGACCTTGAGTGGATAAAAGGCATTGGCTGGGTCCCTATTGGTTCACTGGCTGTTGAGCATGCTAAGAAAGCAGGAGAAATCCTGAGTGAAAAGACGTACCGCCAGCCTCCAGAGAGTTTCAAATTCACCAGTGTGACAGATTCTCTAGAAATGGAATTGGCCAAGCATAATGCGGAAACCATGAACAAGGTGAATTCCGGCTACACAATTGACAAATGAGCTTTTATAATCATTGCAAATAGTATTTGGTGTGATTCTAAATACAATTCAGAAAGTCAGAATTGTCCTCAGTTTTTTTTCCAGTACCACAGATTTCCATTCTGTAACTAGGTAAATAAAATAATATAGCCTTAAATGCATTAATTCTTGCTAGACAAAGTAGACAGTTTATATTGCACACGAATCATATGATGGTTATGACTTTTATCTAGTCTTCTGCTGCAAAAAAATTTAGAGCCTCTTTCCTGGTGTTGTTAACTTCCTATTTTGCTTGGATGATAATTTCCAGAATTCCCAGCCAAAATATTAATTATGAAATTAATTTCAAGGATTACAATGAACCTGGGGTCTTTGAACTGCGCCTGGTTAAAAGAAGAACAATACAATTAATTCTTAATTAAACACAGGTTTTCCTAAGACAATCTGGATACAATATGCTGTCCTACAAAATTATACAATGTACAGTGACAGAATAATGAGTTTCATTCTTAGCAAATTTTTGAATTTAATTGCAAAGGAAAACTTTTGTCAGAAGACGTAGACAACTAGAGGACTAAGAAACAGTTTGTGCTAATGCTTTTTCTAATGCTTTTCTGCAGCGGCTATATACTGAAGCTTGGAATACTGATAAACAGACAATCCATGTCATGCCTGATACGCCGGAAATTGTCCTAGCAAAGTTCAACAAATTAAACTATAGCCAGGTGAGTATAAGGATGAATAAGAACCATTGGAAGACTGGCCCCCCTTCAAGGACTTGCAAGCAATGGCAACATTTACTGCAGGGTCTTGGGTCCTAATTGGATTGTGTGGGGATTCCTGAGTTGCACCAGAACTTCCATCTAACATTTTTGCTAAGGTATAGGATGTTTTCTTTATTTCCAAGTGTAGCAGAAAAAAACCCCCACTGCATAGCATTAAAATCAAACATTTCTTTTTTTTTTTTTACAGAAATTATACCGACTGGCCATGGAGGAAGCAAAGAAAGATGGTTATGATCTGCGTCTTGATGCCATCCCAATTCAAGCTGCCAAGGCTTCAAGAGCTATTGCCAGTGATGTAAGTGGCCACTTGGCTTTATAAATATCAATGAATTTTAAAGTAAACTTTTTGAAAATTAGCAAACAACTTGGTGCAATTTAAGTTGCTGGTTGCTCTCTATAAAGCCTTACATGGCATGGGGCCTGGCTACTTGATGAACCACCTAACTCCTATAGTATCTGTCCAATCAGGATTGGTATACTCCAAGTTACATTGATTTAACAATTCCACTTATCAGGTTCCTGGAGGCCCTCTGGAATATGATTCCCCCGATATTTGAACAGCTCCAACCCTACTAGTATTTTGGAGCAGGGCTTTTCAACCTTTTCACCCAATGTACACTTTTAGGATATGGCAACATCCGAGTACCACCAGTCGCCTAGCAAAGTGTCAAAAACTTGATGACCCCCCCAAAAAAGGAAAAAAGTGTTAAAGTACAGGTAGTCCTCAACTTACAACAGTTTGCTTAGTGACTCTTCGAAGTTACAATGGCACTGAAAAAAGTGCCCCCCAAGCCACAGCCGAGCAAGACACCTGCCTGCCCACCTGGTGGTGCTCTTCCTCCTGTCTGAGGTTTTCATTGTTGTGAACATTTCTGTTAAGGATTGGCAGTGGGGGTGGGGTGGGGGGATGTTTGGTTTTTATTCCCCTCATCTGCTGGGTGGTTGCATCAGGTTTTGGTCACTTCACATGACCCTGGGACACTCTGATCATCATAAATATAAATCAGTTGCCAAGCATCTGAATGTAAATCACAAGACTCTGGAGATGCTGCAACATTCCAGCTGATTGGTGCTTCTTCTGGGCTCAGCAGAAGCGCCAGGATCAGCACCAAGCTCCAGCTGGAGCCTGGCACTGATCCTGACGCTTCCACTGAGCCCTGACGGCCCTGCAGCTCCAGCAATCTCTCGCTCAGGCTTGTGCGGTGCTGCCACCAGTTCAGTTCATTCCCCTCCCCCACTACCACTTTTCTAGGATGGTCGCGTACCACCTGCCAGGTGCCAATATACCACAGGTGGTACCCGTACCACTGGTTGAAAATCCCTGTTTTGGAGAACCTTAAAGACTTGGTTCTTCACCCAGGCTTTTGGAGAGGATGATGGATACTCTTTTCCTTTTGTTCTACCCTGGGATTATTTTCTTTGCCATTTTTGTTGCTTTGTCTTGTGCTTGTCTTCTGTTTTTTTGTGTAATGTTCCCAGTCGTTAAATTGTTTCAACAATTGAAAACCATCTAGAATGGCTGGGAGTCAGGTGGCATATACATTTAATATGCTTATATTATTTATATTAGTATTATATCGTAAACTGTATTTTACCAAACCTAACATTACTGCAGGAAGTGCTTCCAACTTCACTGAAAAAAAAAATCTGTGAAGGAATTTATGCTGTGAATTACAAAAATAGAATGCAGTGTTGTGGTTCTCTCTTAACTGCATTGAGGAATTATGTCACTGATTTGACATAATTACTATTTGAACTGTTTGGAGTCAAAGTTATAGAAAAGGCGTAAGTTATTTGTAATAAAATATGCACATTTTATAAGTAAATTAATTTATGATAAAAATGCCTGAATAACTTGTCTGCTTCAATGGTCAGTTCTTTCTATAGTTGAACAGGGACAATCCTAACATTGAGATATGTAGACTATATATAATATTTAAATATATGGGCAGCTATAAAGTTAGACAATAAACTCAGAATAATTAATGTAGACTAGGATCCAATATTCTATGCCAATAATTCTCTAGATCTTGGGCATTGGGTATTTCTCATTCATGAGAACATTGCTGCCAGGTGCATAATATAAAATACTTGTGATAGTGTAGAAATATGGGTTCATACTGGTGCATATGAAGAAAGAAAATTATCTATTCTATTTGTAGGACTAAAATCTTGAGGTTCAGTATTAATCCTATGAATTCAGTGTACTATGGAAGGAACAGAACTTTATATACAGAATAGAGAGTTCAAAATCTAGAAAATATGTACAAAAGGCCTTAATAGGGACAAAAATGTACCTAGGAAAACCTGACAAAAGAACCAAATATAAAATCTTGATTATAAATGTGATCAAATAAATTCTTCTTAAAATCAAAACTAGAGATTAAAAAAAACCCAAATACTAAAAAAAATAACCATGTTAAATTAGTCCTTCAACTATGAACTAAACCTGGATGACAGATTCTATTTTCTAATGCAGTTTTGTTACAAGTCAATGAAAGAGATTCACAGAGCTATTTAAAATGATGATGGGTTGTCCTGTTTTAAAAGTACTTAACAATGTTGCAATCCAAGTGTTATTTAATCTGTGATTTAAATATATGTGTTTATTTCAGTACAAATACAAAGAAGGCTATCGCAAGCAACTTGGCCACCACATTGGAGCTCGTAGTGTAGAAGACGATCCTAAAATTATGCATTCTATAAATGTAGCCAAGATGCAGAGTGAGAGAGAATATAAGAAAGTCTTTGAGAAACTAAAGACCAAATATAGCAGTCCTGTGGATATGCTGTCGATCTTGGGGGCCAAGAATTGCCAGAAACTGGTCAGCGATATTGATTACCGTAATTATTTACACCAGTGGACCTGTCTACCAGATCAAAATGATGTCATCCATGCTAGAAAAGCTTATGATCTGCAGAGTGATGTGAGTATAATTTCATTTTTGACCATACCAGTTGAGAGAGAGGAAACTATTTAAATTTTTACAATATGACGAGGCAACCAAGATGATCAATTAGAAAAGAAGCTTTATATTGATGTAGTTATTATTTGCAGAAACATGAGAAAAATATCTATATTTAATTGTCCTTTTTCAAAGAATAAGAAAACTATTACGGTAATTTAAGGTTGGCAAAAGAGAATATTATTGGAAGAGGAGAAAATCAAGAAAAGCTATTATATGGACTATAGAATTATAAAATTAATTGTTATTGATTGTTTTATAAATACTAACCCAGACAACACGCTGTTTACCAAATATTAAGGTGATTATGTTAAAAATCAATAAAACATATTTAAAAAAAGAGAGATATAATATAATATTTGAGGCACATTTCTGCCATGTGCACATATAATAAAAAGTATTGATAGTAGTGGAATTTAATTGTTTAACCCAAACAGATGCATGAATAACCAGATCAGACTCTTCATCTAAGTTGCTCTGTTGCTTCATGGCCTTATCTCTTTCTGTAAGTGTATATTAGAGAAGTATACAAAACTCTTGAAAACCATGAAACTAATGTTGTTAGTGTCTTCTGAAGCTTTGTTTTTTTTTAAAAAAATCCAAATAGTATTTTTTTTTCACATGCTCATATGTTTTATGTTTTATATCAAGCAGAGGCTGAGATTAGGACTCATTTGAACGTGATGTTTTTTCCAAAAATGCAAGATGACCTTTCTAATGAACTATTAATTCACAGAATTGCTACAAAGCAGACCTTGAGTGGATAAAAGGCATTGGCTGGGTCCCTATTGGTTCACTGGCTGTTGAGCATGCTAAGAAAGCAGGAGAAATCCTGAGTGAAAAGACGTATCGCCAGCCTCCAGAGAGTTTCAAATTCACCAGTGTGACAGATTCTCTAGAAATGGAATTGGCCAGGCAAAATGCTGAAACCATGAACAAGGTGAATATCAACTAATAAAGATGGGCTTGCTGAATAATATTTGAAAAAAGAACGCAATTTGTCAAACGTTCTTTCCAGACACAATGATTTCCATTTTCCGTAGATTTAAACAATGTATTTTAAGCGTCATAATTGAAATAATTGGGTCCTTTCAAATAGAAAGAAGGTGAGAATTTTTTTCTTTCAACTAATCAAGCAACCTTATCTTATTATATTTATAGAAATATATTTAGTGATTTTAAATAAAATTCAAAAGGTCAGAATTAATCTAAAGCTTTTTTCAAGTCCCAGTGATTTCCGTTTTATTTATTTATTTATATTATTATTATTATTAAATTTATATGCTGTCCATCTCATAATCTATACACATATCCTATAAATTTTTAAATGAAATAATGCGGGGCTTAAGATATTAACTCTTGCTGGATAAGTACTGTTTGTATTATATACCATCCACAAACCCTTATGACCTTCATATAGATTTGTGCTGCATAAAACCTTAAACTGTCTTTCCATAAATTCATGCCTTCTAAACTGAATGGGAATTTCCATAATTTCCAGCTGATACTTTTAGTAGTTTTATTTACAATTCTGATGAGTTATAAGAAGCCAGGGATTTGGAATCTGGCATCCTTAAAGTGGGATTGACACCCATCTTACCTAACAAATCTAAAAGAAGGATAAAACTGAAGGAAAACAAATGTCAAACTTCACACACAGTCTTGACTGAACAACATTTTGAATCTGGATTTTCCTCTGGAATATGAGTCCTAAGCATTCATACATTACTCTTGTTCTGAGTAGTGTCTTTCCTGCTCAGCAAATTTTTAATTTGATCTCAGAAGACAGTCTCTATGCTGCAACAGCCAGATGAATGGAGAACTATTCATAAATAGCCATCACTTTGTGCTAACTCTCTTTCTGATTCTGTTTTTCAGAGGCTGTATACTGAAGCTTGGGATACTGATAAATGCACAATCCATGTCATGCCTGATACGCCAGAAATTGTCCTAGCAAAGTTCAACAAATTAAACTATAGCCAGGTGAGTATAGAAATGAGTAAAAGTCACTGGAAGAATTGAATTTCCTTCAAGGAGTTGCAGCCAATGGCAACATTTCCTACAGTGATCTCCTAACTGGGTTCTGTGGAGACTCAGTTCCTGGGTTGCACCAAAGAACTTCCATCTATTCAGTGTAGATCAATCAAGAATTATATTTCTGATAAAAGTATAGGATGTTTTATTTATTTCTGTGTGCAGCACTGAAACTAGGCTTTTCTTTCTTTTTCTTTTTTTACAGAAATTGTACCGACTGGCCATGGAGGAAGCAAAGAAAGATGGCTATGACCTGCGTCTTGATGCCATCCCAATTCAAGCTGCCAAGGCTTCAAGAGCTATTGCCAGTGACGTAAGTGGCTACTTGACTCACTAAATAGCAATAATTTTTAAAGGAAATGTTTTAAAAAATAGCAAGTCACAAACTACTGAATATCCTAGTGAACATACAAAAATTATTGCAGGAAATACTTCAAGTCACTTCCCAGTGACTGAGAATTTCTGTGAAGGAATTCATACTGTGAATTACAAAATCAGGAACGAACAGTTGTGGTTCTTTCTTAGAAGCACTGAGAAATTATGTCACTGCTTGTAAGCTGCTTTGAGTAAAAATGACTGAAGCATAATAAAATCACTTGTGATAAATAAATACATTCTATAAGTAAGCAGGTTTTGCAGAAATAATGCCAGAAAACCTCAGCTATTATACAGGCAGCTGAGACTAGACTGGAGAGGAGAGATATGGGCAGCTATAAAGCGAGACAACAACTTTAGAGGAATTACACCAGGGTGTATCTGGATTTCTGATTTATGGGAGCATAGCTCCAATGGCACAGAATGAAAAAGTCTTTTAATTTTGGTGGACATTTATCTATACATTTTAATCTGTGTGGCGGAGGAAAATTTAAATATTCTGCATGGTAGGACTAACACCTTGAATTATTTGAAATTGTTTAATTATTTAAACCTATGAATTTAGTGGACTATAGATAGAAAAAAACTTTCCATACCAAATACAAATTTGATAAGGAAAATCATTAATAAATAAAAGATGTAGCTACCTTAACATGACAAAAAACCTAAATATAAAACCTTGATAAATGTAATCTAATATATTGACTTCAAGAACAGAAGGGGGCATTTTAAAAAAAGAAATAACAGATAATAAAACATATAGTCTTTAACTATGATCTAAAATTGGATGAGTGAATCCTTTTTTCCTAACAGTTTTCTTGTAGGTTTATAGAAAAAAATTATTTTAATTAGTTTTAAAAAAATAATCTAATTGAATTACTGAACCATTTTACCAATGGTTAACTGATAAAAACAGAGGTTATAAAGTTGGAAATATGCGAATATGTGGATTATGTGAGCAAGATTTATAATGGATTAGTAAATACTTTGATTGTTATATAACTAATGTTAATGCGAGTAATACTATTTTTAACAATTTGATTGCTATTTCCTAGTATATGATTGTCTTTTGATAAGATTATTATGATGATTATTATATTTTAATACTTGTATACCTAGACAACACACTGTTCAATGTAGAAATGGATTTTTTTAAATAATAATAATAAAAAATTAAAAAAAAAAGAATTACTGAACAAGCAGAGAACAAATACTTTTCTGTGTTGGTAATGTAAATATTTGTGTATATTTCAGTACAAATACAAAGAAGGCTATCGCAAGCAACTTGGCCATCACATTGGAGCTCGTAGCGTAGAAGACGATCCTAAAATTATGCATTCTATAAATGTGGCCAAGATGCAAAGTGAGAGAGAATATAAGAAAGTCTTTGAGAAACTGAAGACCAAATATAACAGCCCTGTGGATATGCTGTCAATCTTAGGGGCCAAGAATTGCCAGAAACTGGTCAGCGATATTGATTACCGTAATTATTTGCACCAGTGGACATGCCTCCCAGATCAAAATGATGTCATCCAAGCTAGGAAAGCTTATGATCTGCAGAGTGATGTAAGTATGAGGTGGTAAACATGATTTTAAGGTAAAATGGAGGCATCAGTGTTCTACTGAGTTTGGTCTGTGATTCATTAAAAGGTCACGTGTGCAGGACAGAGTAGGAAAATATTTGAAGCTTTCCTTCTCTCCCAACAACTCTGTCTTAGCCTGCCCTTGCAGTTCCAAATGGTTCCTCAAATATCTGAAATAGACTGATGTGGAATACAGGATGCTACATGTGGGAAGGACCTGTCCATGTGTCCTTTTTAGGAAGATCATTCTGTCAGCTGAAAGATATATTTAAATACTGAGGAAGTTTTCCTCTTGATATTGCACACTGTAATGACTCGTGTATCACAGGTCACTCAACTCAGTTTGAATTTCAATTCATACTGTTTCAATTTAGACAGTACTTTTTCCCCCTGAAAATCAGAGGTAAAATAGGCTTTGCCATTTTTTTCCCTTTCCCATCTTATTAGCATGTTTAATTTCTTATTATTTCTGATTGGTAGTTCACAGAACTATCAATTTCATATTCTCATGGTTTCTTAACTTTCTTTTGTACTGTTATCATATTCACTTTGGCGTTTTAAAAAGCAAGTTTGCACTAAAATTTACATGTGTTTCTATGTAAAATATTCTCCTAAGAGAATATTTTATGCCTAATAATAGTTTTTGCAAAGATTTTTTTAAAAAATTTGCACGTTATATGCATTTATTTATACAGTTCACCTATGTATTTTAAAGTATGACTAGGTTTTGGGTTTATTGAAAATAAATAAATAAATAAATAAACATATTAAAGATGAGTTGAGATTCAGCTGCTCGACATAATTATTTGATTTTTTAATATTTATTCATTTGCTCTAAATGGATAGTTAATTGCAGCATTACACTTAATATAGTTTTGGCTGTCATCATTATTCCTTAAATATGCATATCATGATGCTTATTCATATTTTATAACATCTAAAGCTGCTGAAAATCAGTTGAGTCATTTCTAGGTGACTTTCAGAATCATAGATCATTTCTCACCTGAAGTTTTTAAAATCAAATTCATAATTCAATTAGCCAGAAATGTTTTTTCCCCCAAATTGGTTGTAATGCATGTTTGCTGACTTCTCTAAACACAATCTATTGCTATTTATGTTTCAGGCTCTTTACAAGTCTGATCTAGAATGGTTGAAAGGCATTGGCTGGGTGCCTCTTGGTTCGCTGAATGTTGAACATGTCAAGAGAGCTGGAGAAATCCTAAGTGAAAACAAATATCGGCAACCACCTAGTCAAATGAAATTTACCTGTATCACAGATGCTTGGGATGTAGAATTAGCAAAGCATAATGCTGAGATGATGAACAAGGTAGGTTTTCTGAACAATAGTAGCTAATCTTCCATAAAAGATAATAATTTGCTTAGGAAATGGAATGATCACATCCTAAATTTAGGATTTATTTAGCCTGCTCGGAGTCAAAATCCAAATAAAATCATCCTTCACGGATGTCTTTCTAGTTTCTGCTTGAATACACATAGGGAAGGAAGGCTGTCCACCATTGTTCATTAGTGGATTAATGAACTATTTGCTAGTTAAGAAATTTGACTTCCAAACCAGTCAGATCGCAGGCAGTGGTGGGATTCAGCCGGTTTGCCCCAGTTCGGCAGAACTGGTAGCTAATTTTTTGTTGCCCAGGCCCAGAACAGACTTCCAGAAGCGGCATCCACACAGAGAACCAGTTGTTCACATATTTGAATCCCACCACTGATAGCAGCTCTCATAATTTCCAGCCAGTGTGACTGTTGACTGTATTGAAAAATTAATATAAAGAATATCGCAGCTAAGAGGAAAAAAATAGCAGCAGGGGCATAGGAATGTAAAGACAAAGAAGGGATTACTTCATCATGAAAAATGAGCTGAAATTATGGAATTGTACATGCAATAAACCACAAAATCCATTAATCTCTCAAAACGTCTGTGGTAGTTTTTGGCATATGAATCAAAGTATTTTAAGGAGTTTCTACCAAAGGCAAGTTTTGATCTGGATGCTGCTTTGATGTATCGAAATCTATCTGCATTTTTTCTAAGTCTTTGAGCACATGTGCTTTGCCTCAGGCCCACAGGGGATTTCTTTAGAAAATTGGAGAATTCAGATGCTCTTTGTTGACTTTGCTTGATAAACTTATCTCTCAGGTCTTGAATGCAGGAGTCCTTTTAAATGTATTCAGCCACAAAATCTGAACTAGAAAAAAATGTGTTAATAATGACTGTAAAATATAGTTTACTGTATGGTACATATGACTTCAAAGCATAGTTGATTAAAATAGAAATTTCCCTCACTTAGTTTCGTTACAAATTTTAGATAATGACATTTATTTTTAATGAATATGTTTTTTTCTAATTTTATAGCCTCACGTTCTGTTTCAATTCATATTTTCTGTAGGCAAAAAGCAAACTTTTTCCCCCCTTATTCCTTTCACAGCGACTATACACTGAAGCATGGGATGCTGATAAGATCAAAATCAATGTCATGCCAGATACCCCAGAAATTCTGCTCGCCAAGGCAAATTCTGCAAATATCAGCCATGTAAGAGAATGTTAACATTGTTTGAATATTTAATAATTTGGGGGAAGGTTATTTTCACTTTACAAGAACTAATATGACTGTATGAACAAATCGATTTTAAATTTTAGATGTGATTTTACAGTCAAGTATCTTTTTATCACATCCTCTGCAGAAACTTTATGTCCAAGGATGGGAAGATACTAAGAAGAAAGGTTATGATCTGAGAACTGACGCTATTCCAATTAAAGCGGCAAAAGCTTCGAGGGATATTGCTAGTGATGTGAGTAGATGCTTTCCTGTCCAGGGACTTCCTTATTTTTTTTTTTTAAGAAGAAACTACAGAAATAATATGAACAAAATAATGGAATAGACAGAGGACCTTTAGAAAAGTTCATTAGACTGACCAATGAGGTTATATGTCTAATGGCTATAAATGGCAAGAACTTAGGAGATTAATTTAAAATACCATCTATTGATTTTTGGCATTAGGATGCATTATTTCTCCCAGCCCAAATAATATGGATAGCAGGGTTTTTTAGTTCAATGCTTTAAATCAGGGGTGTCAAACTGCCGGCCTGCGGGCCGGTTTCATCATACCGGAGTCGCGCCCATCCCATTGCTAGCAATGGCAAAAAAGCTCCGATACATTGCGTGACGTCATGTGACGTTGCGAGTTTGACATGTCTGCTTTAAATGCTCATCTAGGCTTCCTTTCCGGTAAATAAAAAGAAGTCTGGAAGATGAAAAAATCTACTTTCCTATTTGATTTTTGTCATTTTGTGTGTCAGGCAAAGTATTGGCTTTTTTTACCCTCAGTCAAAAACTGTTGTAGAAAAGTGAATATTAAGAACCCTTCTGATACTTTGGTACAAAGGGATTTTTATTATATTTTACAATGATATCCAAATATCACAAAAATATTAGTCAGCAGTTGACAACGTTGAAACAATATGATGTTTTGAAGAAATCTGAATCCAAATTGGCTTCCTTCTCTTGATTTTTATGACTTTAATAGGCTCAATCATTGTTAGCGTTCCTAGTAGCATTTATATTCATTCCAAAATATATTCTTCTCTGTTACAGTATAAATACAAAGAAGCACATGAAAAGCAAAAAGGGCATTATATTGGGGTTCAAAGATTGAAAGATGATCCCAAGTTGGTGTGGTTTGCCCATGCAGGCCAGATTCGGAGTGATCTGGAGTACAAGAAGAACTTTGAAAAATGTAAAGCAAACATTCATTGTCCTGTTGACATGCTATCAATCTTAGATGCTAAGAATTGTCAGAAGTTGGTTAGTAATGTGGACTATCGCAAACACTTGCATGAATGGATTTGCCTACCAGACCAGAATGATGTCATTCAAGCAAAGAAAGCGTATGACCTCCAGAGTGATGTACGTACACTTCAAATGTAAAATGCATATATTTGAGTGGTATTATTGTTTAGTGAAAGAACATGTGACATGCAAAAAATCCCCAAATTAATCCCTTCCTGAGAATGGAGCAGCTGGCAAAGTGGATAATAGTACAACTTCCAACAAGATGGAGAAATGTCTCACAGCAAATCTCTGAATGCAATTTAGCCCCCAACTCTGGAAGAAGTTGACCCACTGTTCTGTTATTTGAAAATCTATGAATTTGTTTGGAAGTAAGCCGTGAGTGGTGTGTGTGTGTGTGTGTGTGTGTGTGTGTGTGTGTGTGTGTGTGAGAGAGAGAGAGAGAGAGAGAGAGAGAGAGAGAGAGAGAGAGGGTGGGCACGCACACTTGGGTGCCTTTAAGTCAATTTTTGACTTCAAATGACTGTCTGGATTAGGTCCTACAGTTTTCTTGGTAAGGTTCTTTGGCAGTGATTTGCCCTTGTCCCCTTCCTAAGAAATGGCCCAAGATCACCCAGCTGGCTTTGTGCCCAAATACAAGAACTAGAACTATGGTTTCCTGATTTCTAGCCTGATGCCTTAACTATCTTTTGGTTTTCTTTTAAGTCCATTTAAAAAATAAATAAATTATGTAATACTTTTGCATTACTAGAATAATATATGTCACCTGTGGCATTGTAGTAGAATCTGCTTCCAAGTTCAGTAGCATACAATAGACAGTCCATAGTCAGTGAGATTCAGGTAGCATATATGGTTGTGTAGTCAGCCAGAGTTTTATACTGAATTTCATATTTTTGTCCACCTATCACGTCCTTTCCAGGGACTTGGGATAGGGAAATGTTTTAATACGGTTGGTCCACGATCAGCCAGATGTTTAGACTGTCATTTTTATATACCTACCAAGTCCCTCCCAAGGACCTCAAATAGATAGATGCTGCTGTTTGATGATGCTAAAGTTATTGTCGCAGGGTGTAAGTGGTTTCAAGTAATCCCGCCTTTTGTAATTGACTGATACCGTAACAATTTTGTCAACGTTTATTTTTTATTATGGGAGTTGCCTTTTATTTCAGCAGAAATGATCTCTGATGAAGTAAGTATGAATATCTTTACTGGAAAAGAAGTTGGGAAGGTTGATGAAGGCATTCATTACCCTGATGAACTTACATTATTTGGACTAGCTCAGAACTTATGTTCTGCTGAGGAAATGCTTGATTTTTCTTTTTCTTTTTACAGAATGTGTATAAGTCAGATTTGGAATGGCTGCGTGGAATTGGCTGGATACCAGAAGGCTCTGTGGAAGTCCAACGCGTGAAGAATGCCCAGGATCTGTTGAATGAAAGAATGTACCGGCAGCGGCCAGATTCTCTGAAATTCACAGCTATTGTTGATTCCCCGGAAGTTGTCCTAGCTAAGGCCAATGCTCTGATGCAGAGTGGGGTGAGCATTATTTGTCATGCACCAGTTACTTGGGGGGCCACAGGTTTCTATTTAAAATCAACATTCAATAACACTGAAGTGAGATACATTTCTATTATGTCAGTGAGCACTCGAAAAAAAGAGCAAAAGCTGCAGTTTTGTTGATTGCTACTTTGCTAGACTGACGTAGAAGGATTAGCGTCCACCATGAAAAATATTGTCATTGAAAACAGAAAAAGCTTAACTTTGGGGAAAAAAATCCAAGCACTACCAGCTTGCTCCAGTTTTAGCTGTAATTGTAGATCTGGCCAGGGGTTCTCAACCTTGGCAATTTTAAGACTTGTGGACTTGAAGTCCACAAGTCTTAAAGTTGCCAAGGTTGAGAACCCCTGGTTTAAACATTAAATGGAAAATATTTTTTGGAAGATTGCAAAGGAAGGGGAACCTTACATATTTTGTTTTAGAAGACAGTTTTTGGAGTTTTGTTTGTTTTTATAAAAGTATAAGACATATTTTTCATGCATTTTTATTTCTGTGTGGTAGAAAAATATGTGTGAAAAAGCAAACATGAAGGGTTTTTTAAATTAAAATCACTGTTCTGATTTTCTATATACCCACAACCCATCTTCCATATTGCCCATAGAAATATTGTCTATTTCTTTAGACCTTCTTATACTGAAGAAACTGGGTCATTTTTAATCTAAACGAAGGCTTAATTCTTAGACAATAGGAACAGGACCAAAGATGCATATAGTAGTAGTGCTTCAGTTATAACCATAATGAAATCTGACCATTACAATTTGTAAATTGTGGTGGTCATAAAGATCATGTGGCCAGTCCTTTCTGTGGCAGTTGTTGAGTGACTGCTGCAGTTATTAACCAAATCAGTGGTTCTCTATGGGATTGGTTTTGCTAAAAAATGGAAGCAAACGCCAGTTTGACATCACAAAATGCAGTCACATGACTACAGGACACTGCAAATGACTCTGAATGTGGCCTGCCAAGTGTCTGAGTTTCTGATGATGGACAACCATCAGAACCTCGAATCCAAGTCATAATTAACTCTTAGGCAGATCTGCCAGATCTTTGTAAGGTCCCTAAGTGACTAGTTGTAAATCGAGCACTACTTGCATGGGGTCTTTTCTCACGGTTTAAAATAATGGACTTACAAGGGATTTATCTTTTGCTTCAGATTTGGATATTTTATGTCTATCTAAATTCAATTCAGTCACTGGTAGTTTTAGCAGGCTTTCTTGATCAAGACTTGGCATTAAGTATATCACACAGCTAAGCTTGTGGTATATTTATTGTTTTCTTGGCCAGAACTCTGCAGATATTTCATAGATATTGTTTACCTATATAGGGAAATTTATTGCAGGTAAGATGAAGCCAGATTGGTTGCTCACTGTCAGTGTAGCATTGTCAAAGTCTTTTACAGCTCTGGTAATTTGGACCCATTGCTTTCAGTTCTACCTTCCCATGAATTATCAGTTCTTTTCAGAGCTTATTCTGTTCTTGAAGCCAAAAAGTTGAGTGTAACCCTAATTCTAAAACGATTAAAACGTCAATATGTCCAACTTCAAATGAGGCTATTTTTGTCATTGAAATATACCCTACTAATAATATGATATGTTCTCATTATAAATATGATAAATATGTTTTTCTCCCTTCAGGCTTTATATCGTGAAGTTTGGGATAAAGAAAAAACACAGTACACCCTTCCAATTGACATTCCTGAGATCGTTCTGTCCAAAGCAAATTCTGTGAACTACAGTAAAGTAAGAAATTAAAGAATTAAATGTGAATTTGTTTCCATGGTCTCTCCTTATGCTTCTTCCTCTTCCGAGGATAAATCTCCTTTGACAGTTTATGACACTCTCCAAATTTACAATTATATAAGCACAAATTTGATAGTGTGAGAGTACCTTTGAAAGCAAGAGAAACGTGAAAAACATTGCCCTATCAGGACAATCCCATAAATTTACCATTGTTTGCTGCCCAAAGATCTTAATATACTATGCTATGATATAACATATAAACCAGTGTTTCTCAACCTTGACAATTTTAAGGCATGTGGACTTCAACTCCCAGAATTCCACAGCCAGCATTGCTGGCTGTGGAATTCTGGGAGTTGAAGTCCACATGCCTTAAAATTGTCAAGGTTGAGAAACACTGATATAAACCAATATTACATATTTTTTATAAATATGACATGCCTTGAAATGGAATATGCATTATTTATTTTTCCTTCACAGAAACATTATCAACTTGGATTGGAGGAGATGAAGAAGAAAGGCTATGACTTAAGATTGGATGCCATTGAGATCCAGCAAGCCAAGGCTTCTAGGAATATTGCTAGTGAGGTATGGTCTGCTCTTCTTTGGCATTTCCACAGTTATTTCATCTTCTGTAAAATAAATAGTTAATATTTTGTCCATATTTTTATAAGTGTGTCCAAAAGGATCATACAGAATCCTGGCAATAAAACCATAGCTGTCAGTTTCATTGCTTACAGTTTATTCATCAGGTATTGGCTGTTGGCAGACCTGAACTATATAAAAAGAGGCCACAATGCAGTGTACAAAGTGTTGAAATGTAATTTTAGTAATTGATTATGTGTAGTTTATAAATTGATGTTTTGTTTATGTTTCATCATTAGTACAAGTACAAAGAAGGTTACCGTAAGCAAGTGGGACACCACGTTGGATTCCGGGACATCTATGATGATCCCAAGCTAGTGCTGGCAATTCGTGTAGCCAAACTGCAGAGTGAGAGGGAGTACAAGAAATATTTTGAGAAGTTTAAAACCAAGTTCAATAGCCCAGTGGACATGCTGTCCATCTTGTTGGCTAAGAAATGTCAGAAACTGGTTAGTGACATTGATTATCGCCGCTACCTCCATGAATGGATATGTCTGCCTGATCAAAATGATGTCATCCAAGCCAAGAAAGCCTATGAGTTGCAGAGTGATGTGAGTAGAAAGTTACTACATCTTACATTATAGTTTTTGCCTCTTAGCTTATTTAGTCTCATACTGCATTTGTTGAATTATTATTGTTGCATCTACAATAACTCAAGCCTTGCATCGTTCTTGGCAATGTACAGCCATTATCATCATAAAAGAAAAAAATATCAAATCCCATTTGTGATTGAATGTTAAATAGAACAGAACGGCTATCCATAAACAGAGAATCATTTGCGCAGAATTATATTTTTTTCTTTATTTCTGTCTATTGACCATTTGTTTTAAATTTAACCATATTTTGGTATAAAAAAATAAGTAAAGCTGTGACATATCTGTGCTGGTCTGCATTGAATAGGGTTATCATAAGCAGAGTTACTTTACAAAATGTACAATTTTCTGTAACTGACCCTTGTAAAAACTATGCAGCTTAGAAAGAGGAATTCATTTTTCAAATATCCTCACAAGCTAGTATGAGGAAACTTTTTATGCCTTTTAGGTTTTATTATTGTTTGTAAGCCACCCACGTTATTTTATAATAGATAAATTGGACAACTGTATAAACCTTTGATAAATAAAAACTAAATAAATACATATACGGCACCACATTTATGTCAACTGAATGGCACTGTGTTGAGATAAGAGTAATTATACATTAATTTTGAGTAGAGAAGCCTCAGTGGTATTTTTGGCAAGTGGAAGAATTATCTTAATAGCTTGATGGGTTTCTTTGTAGAATCTTTACAAGTCAGATCTGGAATGGCTCCGTGGGATTGGATGGATGCCGGAAGGCTCTGTGGATGTGGTCAGAGTGAAAAAGGCTCAAGATCTTGTGAATGACAGGTTGTACAAACAACGCCCAGATGCACTGAAATTTACCAGTATACCTGACCCACCGCCAGTCATCTTGGCTAAGATCAATGCTCAGCAGATCAGTGAGGTAAACTGAATATAGTCACTGCCTCTGTGTAATGTGCGAAAGGATAAGGGGATGTGGCTGAGATACAGTGACCTTTGAAAAATTAAAGGGATTTTCACACAGCAATTAAAATTGTCTTTCCTTCCTCCCCTTTCTTAGCGCCTGTATCGTGAAACGTGGGATAATGAGAAGGCACAGATTAATATTCCTCTTGATACCCCTGAAATACTGCTCTCCAAGATGAATGCTGTGAATGTTAGCCATGTAAGATAATTAACTAATTGTAGAAATTGTGTTAAGAATGTCAATATTCCTTTATTACATTGTCCTAAATATATTGCCCTACTGTTAATTGCTCTTAAAAACATAAAGGTATTTGAGTTATAAGTTGCATGTCTATTCTATATTTATATTTTAAGAGCAACAATTAACCTAAGGAACCAAAGAAGCATATATGGAATTTGAAAATTGTCCTATTAATTTATTTGACCAATCATGTAGTATGGTTTTAAAAGAATAGTTTTAAGTAAAATGCAAAGCAGTCATGTAGTGTGATGATTTAAAAATAGTTTTAAATAAAATACAAATTTCTGCAATACCAACAGGATATTTGCATATATACACGCACAGACTCAAAGACGTATACAGTAATTATAGGAGAAAAGAACATCGTAGGAATAAAATATAGCAAAAAAGGAAACAAAATTATTGAAGAAAAAGAGATCCATATTCCAAATTTTCATAGAGAGGATTAGAGAGAAACCACAGAAAGGATTCACACCAAGTATTTATAGCAGCTAAGGTTAAATTGAATCTATTACTTTTGGATCTCTTTGAATATTCCTTGAAATACATTAATCTTATCTATTGGGAATCAAGAAAGAAAAAAGGAAAATTATTGTCTTATTTGTTGAAACAACAAAAACAATGACATTTTATATCTGTAATTCAGGACAGTGATGGTCAATTACAAAATGAATTAGAATCAATGAATTATTAGTTTTATTAGTTTTACACTGAGTTTATATGACTTGGGAAAATTTGTAATTGAACAGTAAATTATTATTATTTTTTGAAGTATAATTAAAATGGGAGAAATCTCTTAGGAAGGCAAAAATAAATTGGCACAACCATTGGTATAAGTTACAGGAAATATTTGATCTATAAATAGAGGAAAGATTCCTTGATCTGATTTAAGCTGAATAGTACAGGACTTTTATGAACTTATTGGCACCTCTACTGGTAGAGGTATATAACCAACCATTTAATATAGGCAGAAATACTGATATATATATATATATATATATATATATATATATATATATATATATATATATATACACACACACATATATACGTGTGTGTATATATATATATATATATATATTTCCTAAATCTTTTATGAGGCTTATACTTCAATCAAATTAAAACCTGAGAAAAATAGTACTAAATGTGCACGTTATACGAAAATATCTCTATTTAATGTACGTGATAAAGTATTAACTGCAATACTTGCCAAGAGGTTATAGAATGTAATAACATGGATCTTACTCCACCCATATCAGTGTGGATTTTTTAAAAAAACAGATAAGCATTTGAAAATATCTGTTTGACAATGGCTGTTTTGGATACCACAACATGCTACATTGCAATTGAAAAAGTTTTTGATGTGGTTCAGATCAAATTTATTAATTGTGTTCTAAGAAGATAAGGATTTCCACCAACTTTTGTCCACTGGCTTAATTCTGATTAGATGTGTATAGGATTTTGAGCAATATCTGTAGTCTGCTGTAATTCATTCAGTATTTTTTTTTACTGTACTGAAAATTGTGCATATATTTTAATTGCAGAAACATTATACTGGAGCCTGGGATGAAGCCAAGGCAAAAGGTTATGACTTTAAAGTGGATGCTCTTTCATTCAAGCATGCAAAATCTTCCAGAGAAATTGCCAGTGAGGTAGGAGCTCTGTTATTTAATGTTGTTTCTAAAATTACCGTTTCCTTTCATATCAAACAGATGGCAGATGAAACATGTATAGATTCAACCAGTTGCTATTGTTCAAGAACATTATATTTTTGCACAATATCCTCCATTTTTTTACATTTACATATTTTGAAATGTGAGATTTTAATATCAGCTTAAATTCAAGCATTTTAATGCATATCTTATCCTAAACTGCCAAAGAGATAACAGGTGAGATCTTTAAGTAAAAGGGAATATTTTATGCCCTACTGTTTTGAATTCAATAAATATTATTTTCTCCTGCCATTTTAAAAAGGAAAAATCACTGTTTTAGCGTACTGTTTTACAATGAGTTAATAAACTATAATATATGGTTGATGCTGAACTTACAAAACAACATTCCTAAATTCTGATGTAATAAAATACTGCTGAATAGTTACTTTTTAATGATGAAATCCACCTGTTCTTTCATTTAAAGTCCCTGAGTCATTAAGATACCAATTTTAACTGTCTGGCATCATCCTAATAATTTCAATGGTTCTTTGTTTTGCTTTTCTCTTCAGTATAAATACAAACAAACTTATGAGAGACAGAAAGGTCATTACATTGGAACCCCATCAGTCAAGGAGGATCCTAAGCTTTCATGGGCTGCTCGAGTAATGAAGATGCAAAATGACCGTCTCTATAAGCAAGCATACCACAATTCAAAAGCCAAGATCACCATCCCTTATGAAATGGTGGCTATCCAAGCAGCCAAGCAAGGGCAGGCTATAGCCAGCGACGTTGATTACCATCGTTATCTGCATGAGTGGTCTTGTCTGCCAGATCAGAACGATGTGATCCAAGCAAAGAAAGCGTATGAACTTCAGAGCGATGTAAGTACACCAGTGGTTTACAAGATATATATGTACATGCATCATGGGCAGACACAGAACAAAAGAGACCTTGAAGTGTGTACTTATAGAATAGATCTATTTTATACTTCTGGCAGGAATAGCCAACATCCTAGATGATAGGCTCAAGATCCAGAAGGATCTCAACAGACTTGAACACTGGGCCCTAAATTACAAAATTAAATTCCATGCTGAGAAACGTAAGGTTTTACACTTAGGCAAAGTGAACAGGTATAGAATTGGCTCAATAGCAGTAACAGTGAGGATGAGCTTGGAGTCCCATTGGACAATCATTTAAATATGAGCAGGCAGTGTGCTGCAGCCACTCAAAAAGTCAACGCAGTGCTAGGCTGCATTAACAGACGGATAGAATCAAGATCACACTAAGTATTAGTGCTGTTTTATAATGCCTTGGTAGGACCACATTTGGAATATTATATCCAGATTTTATTGCCATGTTATAAAAAAAGACATTGAGACTCTAGAAAGAGTGCAGAAAAGAGCAACATATGATTGATGATTAGGGGACTGAAGGCTAAAACCAGATGAAGAACAGTTGCAGGATTTGGATACGTCTAGTCTAATGAATACCTATACCGATACCTGGGGTGACATGAAAGCAGTCTTCCAATATTTGAGGGACACAAAGAAGATGGGTAAACCTATTCTCCAAAGCACCTGAAGGCAAAACAAGAAGCAATGGATGGAAACTAATCAAGAAGAGAAGCAATCTAGAACAAAGAAGAAATTTCCTGACAGTAAAAACAACTAATCAATGGAACTGCTTGCCTTCAGAAGTTGTGGGTGCTAGAGGTTTTTAAGAAGATGTTGGACTGCAATTTGCCTGAAATGGTATAGGGTCTTCTGTTTGAGAAGGGGGTTGGACTAGAAAACCTCAAAGATCCCTTCCAATTATGTTATTCTGTTAAGAACACATAGCTGCATTATGCCAGGCATAGAACAAGAGACCTTAAAGTATATAGCTATAGAACAGATTTATTACACTTCAGTTTCAATTATTCCTGCCAACTGGAAGTTAGGATTCTCCATAGCTGAAGAATGCAAGTATTAGAAGGTGCCTTAAAAATTATTTTACTTCTTCTTTTATTTCTTTGATAACAGCTACCAAAAAGTGCCAACAGACACTGTATCTTCACTGAGGTTTTCATTTAATGAAACTAATTTGGGCAGGCCTTACTAGAACACCATGCCGTGACGATGGAAATATTTTTAAATGTTTATTACAGAGATAGGAATTTTAAATGTGCTTTGGCTTCCCAAAGTACACAAACATATCAGAAGCTTTTGAACAAACAATTGGGCAGAGTCTACTATCCTTTTTAAACTTGCTTGAGTAAGTTGCATTAAATCATCTATTTTGATTTAGAGTGTTGTAGGAGTCTATTTCAATAGAGTCAGAAAGAGTTGTACAAATTGATTGACATACATTCCAAGCCTTAATAACTTTTCTGCCTACTTAATCAAAATGATTAACAGATTTGAATTTTCTAATATCTTTATTCCCTTATTTAGTTTGATTGTCTTTCATTTTTGTTGTTTCATAAATTAAACTATTTAAAATTAATTGAACAATATTAGTCAGGACTTTCTGACATCCTTGATACCATCTACAATATAACCTATCTATTTATCACATAAGAATTAAAAGTATGAACTTAATCATTTTATTCTTCTTTTGTGATCCATTGTCTCATAGAATTTGTATAAATCTGATCTGGAATGGCTCCGTGGGATAGGATGGATGCCGGAAGGCTCCGTGGATGTGGTCAGAGTGAAAAGGGCTCAAGATCTCATAAATGAGAGGTTGTACAAACTACGCCCAGATGCACTGAAATTTACCAGTATACCTGACCCGCCCCCGGTTGTCCTGGCCAAGGTCAATGCACAACAGATCAGTGAGGTAAATTGAAATGTAGTCAGTAGTTCTGTGTAATGTGGCTGAGATACAGTGGCCTTTGAAAATTCAAAGGATTTTCACACAGCAATTGAAAATTGTCTTTCCTTTCTCCCTTTCTTAGCATCTGTATCGTGAGGCATGGGATAAAGAGAAGGCCCAGATTAATATTCCTCTCGATACCCCTGAAATACTGCTTTCCAAGATGAATGCTGTGAATGCTAGCCATGTAAGATAATTTTATTTGTTTATAATCAAATTTAAACAGCTGGTCATCTATCAGATGAAACTCTGAGCAATCAAAAGAAAATATAGACATTAACAATGAAACAAGAATGTCAACACATAGGTTGAGGGTCTCTCATTAAAAATGCCAAACACTGCAACATCCCTCCATAGTGAGAGATTTATTTCTGAGCAAATGTGGATAGGACTTCATGTTTAAGAAGAAATATCTATAGTTTATTTTCTTCCAGCCTTGAAAATTGTGTATATTGTTTAATTGCAGAAACATTATACTGGAGCCTGGGATGAGGCCAAAGCAAAAGGCTATGACTTTAAAGTTGACGCTCTTTCATTCAAGCATGCGAAATCTTCCAGAGAAATTGCCAGTGAGGTATGAGGACTATTGTTTAAGCATAGCTGCCGATATCACCGGGTTTTTTTTCTAATCACCCACTTACCAAAGTGTGCAACTTTATTTAAACTTAAACTTCTATGTAAACTTCATATCATACAAGGCACCCCACAGCAGAGTTTTGATGTTTTTGCACAATTATTTTTCACTTTGATTGCTGTAGACATATTTTTAAAATCAAAATAATTTTTTACTTGGAACTGGTAGTCAGATAATTGTGAAAAATTTAATTTGTATAATGTTTGATTTGAAAGGGAATCTAGTATTCAAAAAGCATTCTCCATTTACTAAATACATAATTTTAAACTATCATTTTAAAGGGGAATAAATTAAATATTTTTTATAATGGTTTATTAACCAATATAATATGATGTTAATGCCTAACCTACAAAACAACTTTCCTAAAGACACATGCATTCAAAATCTACTCAGTGGTACCCTCTTAATAATGAAATCTACCTTTCCTTTATTTAAGGTCCCCCAATTGTTAAAATACCAATTTTCACACACTGCATTATCCTAATCATTTCAATGGTTCTTTGCTTTGCTTTCCTCTTCAGTATAAATACAAACAAACTTATGAGAGTCAAAAAGGTCATTACATTGGAACCCCATCAGTCAAGGAGGATCCTAAACTTTCATGGGCTGCTCGAGTAATGAAGATGCAAAATGACCGTCTCTATAAACAAGCATACCACAGTTCAAAAGCCAGGATCACCATCCCCTACGAAATGGTGGCTATCCAGGCAGCCAAGCAAGGGCAGGCTATAGCCAGCGACATTGATTACCATCATTATCTGCACCAGTGGTCTTGTCTGCCAGATCAGAACGATGTGATCCAAGCAAAGAAAGCGTATGAACTTCAGAGCGATGTAAGTACACCAGTGGTTTACAAGATATATGTACATGCATCATGGGCAGACACAGAACAAAAGAGACCTTGAAGTGTGTAGCTGTAGAACAGATACTTTGCACTTCAGCTTCCATTATCCTGACCGATATAACTTTCTCCCTGCCATGCAAATCCCAATATCTGAAGAATGCAAGTTTTAGAAGGTGCCCTTGAAAATTATTTTAATTCTATTTTTATTTCCTTGATTGCCTATGCAGTATCTGAAGGACACCAGAGACATTGTTCCTTCACTGAAGTCTTCATTGAATGTAGCTAACCTTTGCATGGCATGTTAGAACACCATGCTGTAATGATGGAAATATTTTTAAATGTTGATCACAGAAATAGGAATTTTAAATGGGCTTTGGCTTCCCAAAGTGTAGATAATTCTAAATAGCCTTTGAACAATCAATCTGCACATTCTAATAGCCTTTTCAAATTTGCTGGCATAAGTTGAACTAAATAAATTTATTTTGAATTTAGGGCATTATATGCATGTACTTAAAATGATTCAGAAAGAGTTGTTTAGAATGTTTGGTGTACATGCTAGGCCTTAAAAGTTTTTCTGCCTACTTAATCAGAATAATTAACACATTTGAATTTTTGGTATCTTTGTTCTCTTATCTAGTTTGATTGTTTTGTTTCATAAGGAGGATTAATCCATTTAAAAATAATTGAACCATATTAGTCAGGACTTTTTGATATCCTATTAACTCTAGAAAATTAAATAATTGCTAAAATATGAACTTAATCGTTTTATTCTTCTTTTGTGATCCATTGTCTCATAGAATTTGTATAAATCTGATCTGGAATGGCTCCGTGGGATAGGATGGATGCCGGAAGGCTCCGTGGATGTGGTCAGAGTGAAAAGGGCTCAAGATCTCGTAAATGAGAGGCTGTACAAACTACGCCCAGATGCACTGAAATTTACCAGTATACCTGACCCGCCCCCGGTTGTCCTGGCCAAGGTCAATGCACAACAGATCAGTGAGGTAAATTGAAATTTGTGTAATGTGGCTGAAATACAGTGGCCTTTAAAAAATTAGAAGGATTTTCACAAAGCAATTGAAAATTGTCTTTCTTTTCTCCCTTTCTTAGAACCTGTATCGTGAGGCATGGGATAAAGAGAAGGCCCAGATTAATATTCCTCTCGATACCCCTGAAATACTGCTGTCCAAGATGAATGCTGTGAATGCTAGCCATGTAAGATAATTTTATTTGTTTATAATCAAATTTAAACAGCTGGTCGTCTATCAGATGAAACTCTGAGCAGCCAAAATACAATATAGATATTAACAGTAAAACAAGAATGGCAAAACATAGGTTGAGGCTCTCTCATTAAAAATGCAAAATGCCTACAACATGCATCCATACCATAGTAACCTCCTATAGTAACCTCCCATAGTAACCTCCCATAGTGTCCCATAGTAATCTCCTCGCCCCAGTGCCTGGGAGAAGTGCCAAGTCCCTGTGGCCTTCTGAAAGGCAAGTAAGGTTGGAATTGAATGTATCTTTGGGGAGAAGCTGTTCATGACAGGGAAGTCTTGCTTCCTGGGTTCTTCCTAGGCCCTATCATATATTGCCTCACCAAAAGGCCCAGATCTGGTAGGATAGGTAGAAACCACCAGAAAGAGTACACAAGTAACCTTGTCCTTAGCAAAATAAGGAGTTAATGGCAACAATAACTTCTGGCAACCAGTGCAGTTAACGTAGCTGTGGTGTTATATAAGTGTACTTATGCGAGTCTCCCAACGCTGTATGTGCCATCATATCCAGGAGCAGTTGAACCTTCAGATTTCTTTTCAAAAGCAGAGCACATTTTTATACTGGGAGATGAGTAAGTCATGAATATCCAGTCTAAAAATGGGTGCAATTGGCACACAAGTTATACTTGTGCAAAGGCCCTCCGGGCCATAGCAGCCACCTGCTCTTTGAGCAGAATTGGTGTATCTTGAAGGATGCCAACATTGTGCATCTACTCTGTCTTGGGGATTATTCTTCCATTTAGATTTAACAATGGAAAATTATGAGATGGGTATGGGTGGCCATAAAATCTACAATTACTCAAGTGGGTTATGATTTAGTCAAGCCAGTTCTTCCCCTTCCAGTCTGCAAATCACCAGGCACTGCATCATTGACTGACTGAGATGTACAATTGAGTGTCTTCATCCCATTGATAAAACTTCAACTTATGCCAATGGGTAATCATCCAATTTCTGATGTAGAAGTTAATTAGAAGTGTGAAAAAATACAGAACACTGTGCAACCCAAAGAGCAGAGGTTTTGGGCTAGACTCCCCCCCTGCCAAAATCAGCCATGAAAAAATGTGACCCACTAAAGAACAGCATCTTTCTTCTCCCAAACCTGTCTGTCAACCTGGAAGAATATAATCTATATAAATAAAAATGTAAATGTTCATTTGTTCAAAATCTTAAATCTCTGAAAGTTCTTCACTAATTGGTTTGAAATTTTGACACAACGTTGCACTCAAATACGCACGTGTTTTTATGTTTTTATATATCTACTATTATATAGATGTCATACCTGTGACAGGTAAAAACATGCTTTTTTGAAAAACAGCGCCATCTGTTGGACGTAAAAGCAACACATGCTACGATTTCAGACAATCTCTATATCTGCACAGACAATGGAACAACACAAAATATTGTATACCCACAAGCATTGTGAAATTAAACATATTACAAACGTGCGCTTTCTCTTTTCTTTCTTTTCCATTTAACCAGACTGAGCCACAGCAACGCGTGGCTAGGTACAGCTAGTGATCAATAGTTTCTGAACACATTGAGAGGATTTTGAGATGGTGCAAGGGAGATTTTTTTTTTAAGCTTTGGGTGAGAGGTCTATTAAAAAGAACCACAAACTTACAAGATGTTCTTAGTGTACCAAAAACCATTGTGTTTTGGAACAGAGTTTTGTTATTTTAAGTGTTACATTTCCCCTTCTTGCATAGTTATATTATTGTCAATTCATAATAAATTCCATTTTGGTCTATTAATATCAATTCATAGTATAGATATTAAACAAGTAAAATTTATTATAAGTTATTTAACATGTGTGTATCCATAAATATGCATGCAAATGTATACTGAATTTATGCATGCCATCCTATTATTTATTTTGAAAATTCAATTTTTTCATATATTGCACTGCATTTGTCTACAGATGTCTTCTGAAGAACAGTCAATTAAACATAATGAGATTTATTTCTGAGTAAATGTGCATAGGACTTCATGTTTAATTGAGGAGTGTTTGTAGTATATTTTGTTGCAGCACTGAAAATTGTGCATATGTTTTCATTGCAGAAACATTATACTGGAGCCTGGGATGAGGCCAAAGCAAAAGGCTATGACTTTAAAGTTGACGCTCTTTCATTCAAGCATGCAAAATCTTCCAGAGAAATTGCTAGTGAGGTATGAAGCATATTGTTTAAATGTACCACTGAATCTTTTCACATGAGCCATCTGGCAATAATGTGGAATTTTATTTAAACTTTATATTGATTCAACCACATACAAGGTATCCTACTGTTTTGATGTTTTTTACACCATTATTTTTCTTATCGCTTGCTGTAGAAATAATATTTAAAAACAAATGAAAACAATTTTTTTTACTTGGAACTACCAGTCAGATAACTATGAAACGTTTAATTTATATAGTGTCTGATTTGAAAGGGAATCTTTTATTCACAGAGCACTTTCCATGTATTAAATGTGTCATTTTAAGCCATTCCTTTAAAGGAGAAGTGACAATTTTTAAATATTGTTTTATAATGCTTTAATAAACTATATAATATGTTGATGCCTACCCCTAATCATGGCTCTTTTCTATGCTTTTGTCTTCAGTATAAATACAAACAAACTTATGAGAGTCAAAAAGGTCATTACATTGGAACTCCGTCAGTCAAGGAGGATCCTAAACTTTCATGGGCTGCTCGAGTAATGAAGATGCAAAATGACCGTCTCTATAAACAAGCATACCACAGTTCAAAAGCCAAGATCACCATTCCCTACGAAATGGTGGCTATCCAGGCAGCCAAGCAAGGGCAGGCTATAGCAAGTGACATTGATTACCATCATTATCTGCACCAGTGGTCTTGTCTACCTGATCAGAACGATGTAATCCAAGCAAAGAAAGCGTATGAACTTCAGAGTGATGTAAGTACACCAGTGGTTTATAAGATATATGTACATGCATCATGGGCAGGCACAGAACAAAAGAGACCTTGAAGTGTGTAGTTATAGAACAGATGTATTGCTATTCAACTTACATTATCCCGACCGATATAACTTTCTCCCTGCCACGCCAATCCCCATTTCTGAAGAACGCATGTATTAGAAGGTGCCCTTAAAAAAGTATCTTAATTCTACTTTTACTTCCTTGATTACATATGCCAGAAAGTTACCAGAGACATTGTTCCTTCACAGAGGTCTTCACTGAGTGTAGCTAGCCTTTGCAGCCTTACCAGAACACCATGATGATAAATGAAATATTTTAAAATGTTTATCACAGAGATAAGAATTTCAAATGTAGTTTGATTTTCTGAAGTGATCATACACAGAAAAAATTTATGACAAATCAATTGGGCAGAGCCTAAGATCCTTTTAAAATTTCCTTGCTTATGTTGCACTGAACTCTTGAATTTGGCGAGTTTTATGAATTTATTTATATTAATTGATTCAAGAATAATTATTAGGAATCATTGGTGTATCATGCCATGACTTAATTATGTTTTCTGCTTACTTAACCATGATTATTAACACATTTTAATTTTGGGGTATCTTTTTTCCAATATCTAATTTGACTTATTTTGCATTTTTGTTGTTTTATAAGAAGGATTAATCCATTTAAAAATAAATGAATCATATTAGTCAGGACTTTTTGATATCCTATTAATTCTAGAAAATTAAATTGTTGCTAAAATATGACCTTAATCATTTTATTCTTCTTTTGTGGTCCATTGTCTCATAGAATTTATATAAATCTGATCTGGAATGGCTCCGTGGGATAGGATGGATGCCGGAAGGCTCCGTGGATGTGGTCAGAGTGAAAAGGGCTCAAGATCTCATAAATGAGAGGCTGTACAAACTACGCCCAGATGCACTGAAATTTACCAGTATACCTGACCCGCCCCCAGTTGTCCTGGCCAAGGTCAATGCACAACAGATCAGTGAGGTAAATTGAAATGTAATCACTACCTCTGTGTAATGTGGCTGAAATACAGTGGCCTTTAAAAAACAAAAGGGATTTCTCATCGAGCTATTGAAAATTGTCTTTCCTTCCTTCCTTCCTTTCTTAGAACCTGTATCGTGAAGCGTGGGATAAAGAGAAGGCCCAGATTAATATTCCTCTTGGTACCCCATCAATGCTGCTGTCCAAGATGAATGCTGTGAATGTTAGCAATGTAAGATAAGTTACTAGCTGTATGCATTCTTTTGTTAAGCATATTACTATTCCTTTATTTATTATGTTGTCTTAGTTTAAATTGCTTTAAAATCTGTCAGAGTAGATTGCGTGCCTGTGCTTGTATACAAACATACAATGAAAAACAATTACATGTAGATGTAAGTGATGATGATGATAAAAATGATGATGACTGTTTCAGCAGACACTATATCCCCACCATCCCTGTTGGAAGTACAAGGTTTTGCACAAAAACTTTATGCTTCTTGACCAATATTGATTTTTTCTTTTTTTTTGTTTGTTAAGTATGCATCCCAAGTTCATTGGCTAAATCAATATAAACTCAAAACATTGTAGAGTGGACATATTACTATAACAGTCATAAATAAGCAAATTATTTAGGACAAACAAGCTCCAAATGTATTTGCCTAGCTTGAATTTCATCATTTCCAGCAGGTGCAAAATCTATAAGCCAATTCCATTTGCAGTATTGCCTTAATATCTGTGGAGACGTCTTCCAATTCCTGTTTTTTGAAATGCTTGTCCTGTTAATACTGCAGTGTTCCTTGCTCGCTTCCAAGTTATATAAACAGAGCCTATTTTATCTACCCTTTGGTTTTGAAATAGAACAGGAAGAGTGTAAGAACAAGGGAAAAACCAGGCAACAATAACTTGATTTTGCTCCCTCTGAAACCGAGTAATGTGTGAAAAGCTGGTGTCGTATAGGATGTATGACACTGTTATGAAATGCCTCTGTTATTTTAATATGCTATATGCTTTCTTTAGGCATTGAAAATAAACCTGGGCATTATGCAGAATGACAAGATCTATTTAGGCTAAGTATGAAAAGAGTCATGAAAAAGGTTAGGGTTAGAGTAACCCTAACCCTTTTTTTGAAAATATTTATATGAAAATGAAAGAAGAAATGGAAAACGAAGTACAAAACTTTCTTACTGAAAAAACAAGAGAAAAAGGCCAGTATTGACCTACAAGAAAGGCTCAGAATGACATTTAGCTGGACTATTTTGTACTTTGTCCATTTGCTTTTTGGCTTTGCATACTGTAGAATGCCTAGGAAATGTGTGGAATATTAAGCATTTCATACTTTGATATCCCATTTTTGGCATCCTATAGATTTTGTAAGCATTTTATAAGATGCCTACCATATATGCCGGCGTATTAGGCGACCCGGCGTATAAGACGACCCCCGTCTTTATCGCTGAGCCGCATTCCTAGAATGTCATCTTATACGCCGGAAACTACCAGTATTTCCGGTGTATAAGATGACTTGGTGTATAAGACGACCCCAGTCTTTGGCGCCGAGTTTAGTGCTTCCGGAAGTCATCTTATACGCCGGCATATATGGTAATTTCACATATTGACGGTAACATATGTATTACTCAAACTGTGATAAATGCAAAGTTGAGTGGCAGGAAGTTGAGCGGCCAGAAGGAGACTGTTGTAATTTTTGGTAAAAGGTTTATTCAAACAGATTCAAACTTTCAAGATGTTTCTAGTGTCCTCAAACACCTTGTTATTTAGCATCAAACACCTTGTTATTTCTTTAAGTGTTACTTTTTCCTCCTTATGTACAGGTAATCCTCGAATTACAACCACAAATGAGCCCAAAATTTCCATTGCTAAGTGAGATAGTCGTTAAATGAGTTTTGCCCCATTTTACAACATATCTTGCTACAGTTGTTAAGTGAATCACTGCAGTTGTTAAATTAGTAACATGGTTGTTAAGTGAATTTGGCTTTGCTTGTCAGAAGGTCGCAAAAGGTGATCACATGACCCTGGGACACAGCAACCGTCATAAATATGAGTTTGGATCACATAACCATGGGGATGGCTGCTGCAATGGTCATAAGTGTGAAAAACAGTCATAAGTGACTTTTCTTAGTGCTGCTGTAACTTTTGAATCGTCCCTAAATGAACTGTTGTAAGTCGAAAACTAACCGTAGTTTTATTATTGTCAATTTGAAGTAAATTTATTTTTTGTTCTATTGAAACCAGTTAATTGCATTCATTAAACTATCAAACAAATACTGAAATCAGTTATTTAATAGGTGTGCGTGCCCATATTCATTTATGCATGTTTATACTGTATTTATGCCATGCTTATCCAATTGCTCATTTTGAAAATTTATATTTTTAACACTTTATTCTTCAGTAGTGCTGCACTTCAGTTGTCCCTGGGAGTAAAGTCACTTAATCATAGTGGTACTTATATCTAATATAGATCCATAAGATTGTATGTTTAATTGATAGTTTATGTTCATCTGCATTTTTTGATTATATTGAAAGTTGTGCATATATTTTCATTGCAGAAACATTATACTGGAGCCTGGGATGAGGCCAAAGCAAAAGGCTATGACTTTAAAGTGGATGCTCTTTCATTCAAGCATGCAAAATCTTCCAGAGAAATTGCCAGTGAGGTATGAGTTCTATTTAAATGAACAAACAAAACAACTGTATCTTTTCATATCACACAGATGGCAGCGTATGCATCCAGTTACCAATGGAACACATTGATTCAACAATATACCAGTTGGTATTGTTCAAGGATATGTCATTTTTGCAGTTATCTCCACTCTTTTACATTTATGTGCTTAGAAATTTGAGATTTAATTTTTTTATTAAAGTCAAGAATTTTCATGCATGTTTTATTCTGAACTGCCAAAAAAGCAACCATCGAGGTATTTCATTAGAAGGGTGTTTTATACACTAATGATTTTGGATTCAATAATTGTTGCTTTCTATTGCCATTTTTCAATGGCAAGGTTACTGTTTTAAAACATTTAGAATAGTTTAATAAATTATATTACTTTGAGACATAAATTATAAAATATACTACTGAATGGTTTAGAATTATAAATTCTACTTTTCCTTTACTCAGGGTCTCCCAGTCATTAAAATACCAACTTTCACACTAACTGGAATGATTGCTATCCTTTTAACAGCTCTTTGCTTTGCTTTCCTCTTCAGTATAAATACAAACAAACTTATGAGAGACAGAAAGGTCATTACATTGGAACCCCGTCAGTCAAGGAGGATCCTAAGCTTTCATGGGCTGCTCGAGTAATGAAGATGCAAAATGACCGTCTCTATAAACAAGCATACCACAGTTCAAAAGCCAAGATCACCATCCCCTACGAAATGGTGGCTATCCAGGCAGCCAAGCAAGGACAGGCTATAGCCAGCGACATTGATTACCATCGCTATCTGCACCAGTGGTCTTGTCTGCCAGATCAGAACGATGTGATCCAAGCAAAGAAAGCGTATGAACTTCAGAGCGATGTAAGTACACCAATGGTGTATAAGATATATGTAGATGTATCATAGTCAGGCACAGAACAAAAGAGATCTTGAAGTGTTTAGTTGTAGAACAGATGTATTGCTATTCAACTTACATTATCCTTGCCAGTGGGAATGTATGAGAATTCAAATCCCTATATCTGAAGAATGCAGGTTGGAGCAGGTGTTTTTGAGGATTACCTTAATTCTACTTTTGTTTCCTTGGTCACATCTACTAAAAACTATGACCAGAGACATTGTTCCTTCATTGAAGTCTTCACTGAATGAAGTTAACCTTGGCAGGCCCTATGGCAGGGGTGTCAAACTGCCAGCCCATGGGCCGGATGCATCATGGCGAAACTGCACCCACCCCATTGCTGGCAATGGCAAAAAAGTCGTGATACGTCACGACACCTCACGTGATGTTGCGAGTTTGACACCCCTGCCCTATGGAAACATCATATTGTGATGATGAAAATATTTTTAAGTGATTTATTACATAGATAAGAATTTTCTAAAATGTCACATGGAGCAAATTTATCAATAACCTAGTCCTAGTGGATGCAGTTCAGCATCATTTTTAAATCCGCTTTCTCAATTCATTTAACTTTAATTCAGTGTAGTTTATAAGTTTGTTCAATCATACAGAAAGACTTGTGCAGCCTGTTTTGGATATTATGCCAAGATTTGGGGTGTTTTCTATTCACTTAATCCAGGTAATTAATGCAAATGAAAAGTGCTGCTAATGTCAGAAGATGTATGGCTATTTCTAACTTCATTGGTCCAGTTTATCCTTTTGCCTTAGAACAAAGAAAGGAAGGAGCACAAAAGCTTTGTTCAAATAATTAATTATGAATTGGTTGGAATTGATGTCCCATTAATTGTTATCACTTAAGAATGTTCATTTCACAAAATATTTAACTACTTTCCCCCCCCACACTTTCTGATCTCATAGGCTGTGTATAAGTCAGATCTAGAATGGCTCCGTGGGATTGGATGGATACCAAGTGGGTCTCCAATAGTGAATAGAGTTAAATTTGCCCAGGAAATCCTGAGTGACAATGTATACCGCACTCCTGCTGACCGTCTGAAGTTCACCAACATTGTTGATACACCGGACATTCTCCTTGCTAAAACCAACGCGGAGCAAATCAGTATTGTATGTTATTTTTTTTTCAGTAGCTTAACATACATTCAGGACATTAACTTAAGTTTATATGAAATCCATTTTTCCCTTCGAAAGTTAAAATGTGATTAGATAAGAATAACACCAAACAAACAACTAACCACTGCTTTATTTTGTATAGCCTAAATACCGAGAAGTTTGGGATAAAGATAAAGTTATGATCCATGTGATGCCTGACACCCCTGAAATAATGCTTTCCAAGGCCAATGCCATCAACGTAAGCAATGTAAGTATATTTCTACCATACTGCATAAAACTGCATTTTCCCACCTTATAATACTTTAGCTTTCTACTTTCTAAGGCAGAGGTGCCCAACTTTTTGGACACGATGGACTGTTCCATGGAGAGAGGTTTTTCCATGGACCAGAGGTCTGTGGTTTTGTGTACTACCTGCATCCCATGGATGGGGCTTTGCTTCTTTGTGCGGACTGGTTGCTGGCATGGCGTAGCCCGGTACTGGTCCACGAACTGGGGGTTGGGGACCCCTGTCTAAGGCTTCTGCTTTCATTGGTTTTTTAAACAAAATGGACACTTTAGGCAAAATACTGTATGAGGAATACCTGTTGAATAATCATGTCTGGACCTCTTAGTAATGTTTTTTTTTTTTGCTTTACCGGCCAGCTGTTAAATATTATTGTGGATCAATTTATTATGACAATAGTGCTGTTTTTTATACTTTGCAAACTGTTAGTTGCCTTGTGCAATATTTTCAACGCTTTGACTCAAACTTTATTTGGATACAGTGTCATATATAAGGTGACCAACCGTCCTCCTTTAGGGAGGACAGTCCTCCTTTTGTAAGTTCTGTCTCCCTCAAAAAGTGTCCTCCTTCATGTCCTCCTTTTCGATATTTGAAGACTAATCTGCAGGGCTTTTTTGTCCCCCATAGAACGCTCAGAACGGCGTTCTGGCACCTTTTTTTGATGTTTTGTTTTTCAGCTTTTGCATGAGCTGTGCTGCTCCCACTATTGGCTTTAAAAAGCTAAGCCAATAGGAATTACTGCTGAGCGTGCCAAAACACCTGGCTGGCAAGCTTTGCACATGCAAGTTGTCTGTATTCTTGTTGCAATGAATAAAATGTTTCAATTTATTTGTGTCCTCCTTTTCATTGTAAAAAAGTTGGTCACCTTAGTCATATATAATCTATATTATACCAGAATTCATGGCCTTAGTCATATATAATCTATATTATACCAGAATTCATGGCCTAACCTGGAGGCTGATCTATATTCCTTAATTCATTAAAAAGTAATTTTAAAAAAAATCATGAAATTTTCATTCATTAACTGAATAACTGAAGAAATGCAAACTAAAAAAAATATTTTCCAAACCAAGCATATACTGCAAAAGCATATTGAAAATATTGTTGGGTTTTAATGATTTTTTTTTTTTTTTGCAGAAACTCTACAGGGACTCTTGGGATGATGTAAAGAAATACATTGATTACAGGTCAGATGCAATTCCAATCAAAAGAGCCAAAGCCTCAAGAGAAATTGCCAGTGATGTAAGTACTATAGTCAAATACATGTTCTTATCTTCTGTGTGGGAACTCTAAACCTTTGCCAGTGGAATGGCAAATGGTGGAATTATATAAGAGAAAATCAAATATTTATATATTATTATATATCTCAGTTCACTGCAAAATAGGAGATTGTAGACATAATTCAACTATTGTGAATAAACTCCGCAAATAACAGGCCCTGACACATGAAGTTATATACATTTGCTGAATATTTAGATTAGCATTGTAGTCCACAGTATGTTTATTCTGATAAAAGTCCCATCACTCAATATGCCTGAAAGATACTTAAAGCTTTATAAGTTCATTTTCATTTTGGGTGACTACATGGAGACCTAAATTGCTATCAGCATTTGCATATGATAGAAAGAAAACCAACTATAAATCACTTGGCGGCATATACGTTTGAGCAATCAATCAATTAATCAATCAATCAATTCTAGGCAATATTACAGAAGTCATTTGCCAGTGTTTTCTTCCCAGATGCTTTTTGACATTCCAGTCTAGCTACTACCTAGAACTTCCTTGGTACAAGGTTGGCAAAATGTTTTAGCATGCTGATACTAAATAGGATTTATAACTAAAGGTTCCCAGGCTTACAGTAAAAGATTGCAGTTGGTTAGAAATGCAGCTTTATGGAATTACCATGAAAACCAATAGAAATTTCTTCCAATAGGATTATCCTACCAGACATTTAAATTTTGAAATGTAATTCTGAAAATGGAGAAAAAACTAGAACAGTAACATTGTGCTATGAGTGGCTATTTTTTCAAAGTGTGATTTCTCGATTTTAAATTGTCTGGTCATGGACATGAATTTGATTAAAAGAAAATGACTCTATCACTCACAGTGAGAACACAGAATTTCACTGATTCCCTATCCTCTGCTAGAAAGTTAAGGGAATCTTTGGACTGGAATACTGGGATTTGCTAGACTGCAAATATCCAGAGGCATTCCCCTGCTCTTTCTAGTCACTCATGTTTCCTGCATGAGTGGAAAGATACCAAGTGAATATTAGCTATAGAGGGGTATTTTTCTAGATGGCAGATACTGCAACAAGGCTTTCTCCTATAATTCCTTTACAATTTATGATATTACAGATGGAAATTTTATTTGTATCTTTCTTTGAAATTAGTACAAGTACAAAGAAGGTTACCGTAAGCAAGTGGGACACCACATTGGATTCCGGAACATCTATGATGATCCCAAGCTAGTGCTGGCAATTCGTGTAGCCAAATTGCAGAGTGAGAGGGAATACAAGAAACATTTTGAGAAGTTTAAAACCAAGTTTAATAGCCCAGTGGACATGTTGTCCATCTTGTTGGCCAAGAAATGTCAGAAACTGGTTAGTGACATTGATTATCGCCGCTACCTCCATGAATGGATATGTCTGCCTGATCAAAATGATGTCATCCAAGCCAAGAAAGCCTATGAGTTACAGAGTGATGTGAGTAGAAAGTTCATAGTATGTACTATTACATTTTGACTATTGTTTTTAATTTTTCCCTTGCTTTAGGCTGATTATTACTATTTGCTGTACAAAACTGAAGAACCTGTGTTCCTTCTATCATTATAAGCCAATTTTGTATGAATCAATCAACTTCTATAAATATGATGTTTTTTATAGGTACCATATCATGTAGATAGCTATTTTAATGAAAATTACATTTTCCAATCAGAATCCCACAGTTGCATCCATGTAAATGAACACTATTGATTTAAAATAAATATGCATTTTAGTTCTCCAGTAAAATATGATACCAGATATAAATGTAAATGTGAAAGAAAATATTTATCAAACTATGGAAAAAATAGAAAGTGATTAAGTTAAAACAGCATAACAATTGTAACAATTCTTTATATGCTGTGCCTAATTCAGTTGCTCTTCTCTGTTGGAAAAGAAGGGCAATTTTTATCTTTCAGTTAAAATGGATGAAAAATTGCCTTCTGGAAAAATTGTAAATAATGTCACTTTTTTTGTCTATGCAGGCTATTTATAAATCTGACCTGGAATGGCTACGAGGAATTGGCTGGATGCCAAGTGATTCTGTCTCTGTCAACCATGTCAAACATGCTCAGGCCCTTATTAATGAGGTAAGAGGTTTTCTCCTACAAAGTTTTCTCTTGTTTCATACAGAAAAACTCATTTATAAAAATATGCCTTTTTCACAATGCAGCCTTTAGTTCACGCAAAACTGTTTCTCCTTCATGCTTGCTTGTTCCTATGGACTGAATATGCACTGAGTGATTTTTATTTATTTATTAGATGTTTATGTCTGCCCATCTTAAGAAACAGAATTCTTGGTAGCACACAACATCAGTAAAAACAAAACAAACAAAAATAAAAAAGAAGAAAAACGCTCTATAAATAATAATCTAAAAACCTATTATTAATAAGTTATGGTTTAATTTTACCATGATTTATTGGATACATTATTGTTGACTGATTTCATACACAGTGTTAAGCCATAGCTAAAAAAAACAGATTTTGATTTAATGTAATATACCAAATCCATGTTGTGCTGCTCAAAAGGGATAGAAAGGTTGGGGTTTAATTTAGTCCACCTTAATATTTATTTGCTTGTTTATTGTTTTATTGATTTTATTTTATTTGCTGCCCTTTTCACCTAGAGCCGACCCTGGGCAGCTTACAACTCAATAAAAGCAACCAGATAAAACATTAAAACAATAAATATTACCATTAGTTAGATATCAATTTATTAATTTAATTATTTAACATTAAATTTTCAGATTAAGGAGCCAAACTGAACAGCAACAGTTATTTCTTAGCATAGTCCAGGAGAAGAGTTATTAAAAACGGGAAAGCAAAAAGAGTAGCCATCATGCAGATGAATATATTTCTCCTCCTGCCTTTCTTTCTTGCATGACTATTTATTGTTATTATTTGCCTTACCTCTGTATTCCTTTCTCTTTTTACAGAGGTTATATCGTACCAAAGCTCATAGCCTGCCATTTACTCCGGTGGATGACAGGGTTGATTATATCACAGCCAAACAAGGTGGAGAAATACTAAGCGATGTAAGTATTGACTTTTTGTTCCAGTCCAGTTACATTCATCTCCTAGGAAAGGGGATAAATCTTGGAAAAGGAAACAATATATGGTGAACAAATCACTATGGATGTTGATAAATCCAGCAGAGTCCACCAGCTTAATGAATCTTGTGAACTGTGGCAGCAGGAAAATGACATTTTCACAACATCTATGTCAATTATTTTTATGTACAGCATTCTTTAAAGTTTAATCCTACTGACTCCTGCCATCAGTAAATCCTTTATAAAGCAAACTAAGGATTCCCTTCTTGGTATTCAAGTGCAAAATACTGATTCTTCTCAGCCATGTTACACTATGGGGCATTAGAATAGGCCCAAACACCTCATGACTGGGCTGACAGGCCTGCTTTGAAAAGATGCTTCCAACCCCTCCCCTCCCCACAGTAACTCCTTTGATTTTATTCATTTATTATCCTGCCTGCATTACTTTATAAATAACTCAAGGCAGAGAACATATCTAATACTCTTTCCTCTTCCTATTTTCTTTACAATAACAGCAACCCTGTGAAGTGAGTGGGGCTGAGAGAGAAAAACTTGGATCAAAGTCAGCCAGCCAGGTTTCATGCCTAAGGCGGAACTAGAACTCACAACCTTATGGTGATTGGCCCAAAGTCACCCTGTTGCCTTTCCCGCCTAAGGGTGGGACTACAGCTCTCAGTCTCCTGCTTTCTAGATTTGTACCTTATCTGCTACCCTGGACTGATTTTTACCGAATAAATAATTAAATTATCAGATCAATAATAAATCAATTGTACAGTGACATAAAAGATTTCATTAAATAAGGAATAAAGTAAAAGAAATGCATAATTTCTGAAGGGCGAGACTAAATCCATGTGCTTCTTTTTCTCTTGTGAAGTGCGTAAAATTAATGGAATTTCAGCATACATTAACTATATTTACGTATCACAGTAAAAATAGCCAGGGATTTGCAGACAAGTGGTGGCAGACCAACCATGATGGTTTCTAAAGAGCACTAGCAGATTAAAAAGGCTGAATTGAATGTACCTTAACTCTGATCTAGCCAATAAGCTTTTCTGTTTCTCCATTATTTTTTGCAGAAAGGCATGCATTATGCAAATAAGTATACATTGTCTGTTTCTGAGTTTGAGGTTATATTCTTGTTCTCTGTATGTCGATTCTTATTTTTTGTATTCACAAAAATAAAGGCAGATCAGTAACCACCAATACATGAATAAAAATCAGAAGCAGAGTCAGTTGGATTTGTTCCAGATATCTGGAGACTACCTTCCTTTGCTATGTTGGATGATGTGAATTGAAAGCCAAAACATTTTGGGAGCATCAGATGGCCTGTTTAAGATGCAATTTATACATCTGTAACTTCGACCTCTAATAACTCTATTCTTATTGGTGTTTTTTTTGTTTCCAGATTAAATATCACCAGGAATGGAATGACATCAAGGCCATTTATACACTAACAGATACACCTCGGTTGCAAGCAGTTAAAAAAGCAGCTAGGATTCTGAATGAGGTATGTACTTTCCTCCCAGGAACAATAGTAAATAGAAAATTTGGAATAATTTTATATCTTTGAATCATGAGTCCTGATGGGATAGTTAGTGAAAAATTACAGTCAAGGAAAATAAGGATATTAATGTACAGGCCTCTTGCTGGGAGTTCTCCCTGTCAGGGCTGATTTCAAGAGAATTCTATTCTATCCTCGTTTTCCAGAGTTTTTCACTCTATTGACCGCGAAAGAAATTTACTTATCACTATTGATCCACTGTGCTTTCATTGGACTATTTTGGTTCTTTCCATTTGTATATCCCCCTCTTTTTTCTCTTTTTTTTTATGAAACTCTTTGTATATTCTCATATATGCTCATACTAACATCTGATTTCTTGGTAATTCAGGCTTCACAGTTCTTTTAACTCAAAAACTACAACACAATATTGCGGTGACTTTGCCACGATGTTCCCTGTTCAGAATCTCATTCCTTTTCTCTCTTTGCAAGTTTCCTATCTTCTTCCCCATTTATTTATTTAGCAGTTTCTTCCCCTTGAGCCTGCTCAGTTTTCACTGGACCCTTAGTGTGTAGAGAAAATTATTGTATTTTTGAAAACTTCATGATTACAGTAACAGAAACTATGCACAGATGTCAGCTCCAGGCCAAATAAGACAATTAATCATTTTAAGTGATTGTTAAGAGCCCTCAAATATAATCAGAGAATCAGAACTATTTTTCCCAAGTTTCTCTTTAACCAGTCCCATTTTAGTGTTATTAACTTTGAGAAAATTATGATTGATAAGAATGGTTTAAATTCAGAGGAGAAATTAAGCTTAAATAAAAATCTTGAAAACAGGATATATAGTGACCCAACAAGATAACTTTTATAAACACAATTGAAATATAAACTGATAAGAAAAGATGCTATATGCTGATGTTAGTTTTATTTGTATAAACACAAGGAAAAGGTTTATATTTAACTTTATATGTATTGAATTTAAGAATAATATTTGCTTAAACTTGACAAAAGGAGAATACTATTGGATGAAGAGAAGATCAAATAAATATATCATTAATTAATATATTGTTTATGGAACTATAGAAATTAATTATTATTGATTGTTTTTTAAACATATGAACCCAGACAACACATTGTTTACTAAGCACTAAAGAAGGTTATTGTAAAAAAAAATTAATAAAATATATTTTAAAAAAATGAACTCCTTGATCCAAACCCAGACCTATAGCATGCTCAGTCTCTCCTAAATAACTTCAGTAAGGAGAAGCACTCTAAATATTGTTTTGAAGGCTGCCATATATAATCAAGCTACATTAGTAGAGAACTTCAAATGGAAAGAGCTACATCTCAGTGACTCAACACAGGTGTGTGTGTGTTTTGTGTGTGTGTGTATATGTAAAAGGTTTTGGATCCAGTCTCTAGAATCTCCAGAGAAAGGCCTCCATTTGAAATCCTGTAGATTCACTATCAATTAATCTTGATTGTGCTGAGATTGACCCCTTGCCTATCTCTGAATATGGCAGTTTTCTATGATTAGTTATATTTGAAATATTGAAATATAGTTTAAATATTTTGAAAAGACAAGACACAGTGAATTTATGAAAAAGACTGTCCAAAGGGCAATGGATATGAAACAATTGCTTAAAAAAGTATTTTTAATCTGAAGTTTAATCTGGATGTATTTTGGGTAGGACTAGAAACAATTGTAGGGTTTCAGAAAATGCTAACTTCTTAACTGTTCTGTTTTGCAGCATCTATACAAGGACAGCTGGGAGAAGCATAAAGCTACTGGCTACAGTTTACCTCCTGACAGCGTGCCACTTCGTCATGCCAAGCATTCTGATAACGTCCAAAGTGAGGTAAAGTCTTTCTACATTTGAAAAATCTCACAGGTTTCAGATATTTGCCATGCTCATACTTCATAATATTGCAAAGCCTATCAAAGCCCGTCTAGTTTCTCATTGGAATGACCCAGTCAGATTTATCATTTCAGGGGCTCATTTTCTTTGTAAGCATGCAATGCTTACAAAACATTGCATGCTTACACCTATATTTTTTCCTAATCTTTGCACCTATATTTTTTCTTAATTTTTCCAAAAAATGAGAATAGTAAAAAATACTTCACAAGTTAGAAGAAGAAAAGATTCAAGACGATACTTATCCTTTTGTGTTTTCTCCCTTTTAGCTGAAATATAAGGCTGATTACGTCAAGCAAAGAGGCCACTATGTTGGAGTCAATAATATGAGAGAGGATCCAAAACTAGTGTGGTTTGAGCATGCTGGCAAGATTCAGAATGACAGATTATACAAAGAATCCTATCACAAAACAAAATCCCACGTTCACATACCTCCAGATATACGCTCGGTCATTGCAGCCAAAGACTGCCAGCACCTTGTCAGTGAAATTCCGTATCGTAATTACCTACATGAATGGACGTGTCACCCTGACCAAAATGACTGCATCCAGGCAAAGAAAGCCTATGACCTTCAAAGTGATGTAAGTAATAATTTTATTTTTTATTATTATTTATTCAGATTTGTCATAGCTACCCCTCTCCAGTGGACTTTTCCCCAAACTAATTTTTTTTACAAAGTAGATATGAAAGCATATCCAAGAGAAAGATTTAGGAAAATAAATCAAGTACGTACACATAGATATAAACTGTACTTATCATAGTTTATTCATGTTTACAGAACCTTTATAAATCTGATCTTGAATGGCTCCGTGGCTGTGGTTGGATTCCGTTAGATTCGGTGGATCATCGGAGAGTAAAGAATGCTCAAGAATTAATAAACAAGGTAAATTATTGTTTTGTACACTCATAGCAGCATTCTAGACTTCCCCAGAAGATAATTATGATTATGTCATGTTTTTTCTACAGAGAATCTACACAAAGGAAGCCATTGATAATTTTGACCATTTCACATCCGTTGAAGATACTCCCGATGTGGTTTTGGCAAAGGCAAACTCGATCATGCAGAGTGATGTAAGCATTCTTTAAAACCGGGTGGTTGCAATAGGTGTCAATGTGTGTGTCCCTTTGTATGATAATATGTATTTTAAGATGCCAAACAATAAGTTTTTCATTGTTTTGCTTGATCATTGTAACTAATGTTAATTATTCACTACATTGAGGGTTAATATACTATTCTATAATGCAATGTTCTTTTTAACAAAACCTTCAATATTAGAGTAGTTATATATAGCATGAATGCTCTACAGTGCTTTTAAAAATATAAACCATGTTTCAGGCCAGAATAACTGTGTGAAATCTGTGTTAATGACAGAATTTCTAGTAATGATTTGGTCTATCGCTTTAGTATCTTTCTTATAGAAAAGAAATACACACACAAAGATGCCATAATACTTTATAAACTTCTAAAAATTAGAATAAATTCTCTATACTGCTCTATTCTAGAAAGTCAGCTTATCAAGTTAGCCTTAAACTCAACCTGATGTCTGAAATTTTCGCCTTGCCTTTCATTTTCCTTAGGTGAAATACAAAGAAACCTTTAACCTTCAGAAAGGCCAATACATTGGTTCTGATGACACACCAGCCTTGAGTCATTCTAGACAGATGATAAAACTGTATAGCGATGTAAGTTTCTGGCTATCTGGTATTTCAAATCATGTAAATTCAAGATCTCTTGTATTACTAGGAAGAAACGTAATTTGGGGAAACATATTTTTTTTAATGCAAATGCCTGTTTGAACTTCACTTTCCCTTGAATCCTGCATCCACACTCTGTCTTAATTCTGAACCCGCAATTATTTGCACAATAATTTAAAGTATTAAAATATTATTCATTGATACTATTTAAATTTAGTTTAGAAAAAATCAATAGGTAATATATTTTTATATTACTTTATATAGGAATACATTTTGTTCATGTTAACTGTGCAAATATATTGCGGTGTGCCTTTTCCTTCTTCAAGTAATTATCAAGCTATGGTCTTTCAAATAGATTATTAACTGTGTTAGATCTAAAGAATCTACAGGCCAAAGATAGAGAAAACAAGCTATACGATAGAGTTGCTGACAGATCAATTAAAGGAAATCAATTTAGCCAAAAATGAAGTCTCCAGCAGACGAATTTCTCTTGAAAAAAATGTTATATTATATGGTACTTCCCCAAAAATTGAAAGAATGGAATTGCCTACAGCAGGCATGTCAAACTCACAATGTCATGTATTGGGACTTTCCCCCCATTGCCAGCAATGGGGTGGGCACGGTTTTGGTGTGACGCATCTGGCCTGCGGGCCGGCAGTTTGACATGCCTGGCCTACAGGCATACAAAGATCTGCCTTTTAAGTAGGAGAGAACACGCTGAGACTCTGGACCCACTGTGGCTCCTGAACTCATTTTTGTACAACTTTTGCATTCTTCTTCAATAATGGTGGAAAATTCCTGCCATTCTAAGGGAAAAGGAATATACAGGTAGTCCTTGTCTTATGACCACAACTGAGCCCCATATTTCTGTTGCTAGACATTTGTTAAGTGAGTTTTGCCCCATTTTACGACCTTTCTTGCTGTAGTTGTTAAGTGAATCACTGCAGTTGTTAAGTCAGTAACCCGGTATTAAGTGAATCTGGCTTCCCCATTGACTTTGCCTGTCAGAAGATTGCAAAAGGGGATCCCATGACCCCAGGACACTGCAACTGTCATAAATATGAGTCAGTTGCCAAGCATCTGAATTTTGATACATGACCATGGGGATGCTGCAATGGTCATAAGTGTGAAAAACGGTCATAAGTCACTTTTTTCATTGCCGTTGTAACTTTGAACAGTCACTAAACAGACTGTTGTAAGTCAAGGACTACCTGTGCATTACTATAAGTTAAGCTGTAGCATAAGCTGTATATGTGTGACTGTGTGTATATCAGAGAGAGAGAAAAGGAGAAGCAGAAAGAGACAGAGAGAAATAATATTCCCAATAAAGGCAGGGATTTTTTTTTTTAAAGTGGGGCACCCACCCATTTTGCTTTATCATCCCTCCTACTGCAGACTGACGTTTTAAATTGGTGAAAAGACCTTGCTCTTGCTTAAAGAGTGCTATCCCCTTTATGACTTTATGAGTCATCTGGCTCAGGAATTCTGGGAGTTGAAGCCCACAAGTCATAAAGGGGACATCTTTCCCTACCCCTGTTTTAAGGGCGCTTGCATTTGGACTCTTTTTAACTTAGTTCAGTGGTGGCGAACATATGGCATGCGTGCCAGAGGTGGCACTCAGAGCCCTCTTTGTGGGCACGCACGCCGTTGCCCCAGTGGAGTTCGCCAGAGTAGTGAGCATGTGGCGTTTGGAAGCGACAGGGCAGGAAGTGGGCGAGCAAGTGGCGTTGGCCCCCTGCGGATGCCCTGGAGATGGTGAGGGACTGGCCCCCGCTGCCCTGGCCCCAGCCATGCTCACCCAGTCTGCCATGACCACTGCAGCTGTGCCCATCCAGTGGGCCACCCCCACCCCCCACCCCTGAGGGCACCACAATGCTGATGCAGCCCTGGCACTTTGCAATAAATAAGTGGGTTTTGGGTTGCAGTTTGGGCACTTGGTCTCTAAAAGGTTCGCCATCACTGACTTAGTTCATTTAATCTAATCTGCCATTGAATATATATTAGTGAGAAGAAGACTATTGAGTGATAAACATTGTTTGTGATAATTATTATTCATTGTTTTTTTAATTACATGAATCCAGACAACATGCTGTTTGCTAAATATTAAGAATGTTATATATATATATATATATATATATATATATATATATATATATATATACACACACACACACACACACACACACACACACACACACACACACACACATAAAAAATCTAATCTGCCATTTTTGTTCCTTCTAGTATGTGTACAAGGATGCCTGGGAATCAAAGAAGGCTTATGGTTACACTTTGCCTCCAGACTACATCCCAATTGTTGGTGCCAAACATGCTGATTATATTAACAGCCTGGTCTGTATGAATTTTCTTTTAATTGTTACCTTTGTTTGTGTGATTTTTTTTTTTTTTTTGGGAAAACAGATCTTAACACTTGCTTTATTTGCCCTTTTCAGCTCAAATATAAAGCATTGTACGAGAAGCTAAAGGGCCATTATCTGGCGGGGAAACATATACAAGACTTCCCAAGTGTGCTCCATTCTCTTGCTTTCCAAAAAATACGGAGTGCGGTAAGGAGTTATTTGTAGCTTTTCTTGGACGGTAATTCTTGCAGGAATTATAGCAAGGAAGCTGAATAGAGGCAGTCCTCGACTTACAGCAATTCATTTAGTGACCATTCGAAGTTGCAACAGCAATGAAATAAGTGACTTATGACCCTTTTTCACACTGAAGACTGTTGTAGCATCCCCATGGTCACATGACTTACATTGGGATGCTTGACAACTGGGTCATATTTATAACGGTTGCCGTGTCCCAGGGTCAGATGATCACCTTTTATGACCTTCTGACAAACAAAGTCAGTGGGGAATTCACTTGACAACTATGTTACCAATTTAACAACTGCACTGATTCACTTAATAAATGTGGCAAGAAAAGGGCTTGGTAATGTGGTCGTAAGTCGAGGACTACCTGTGACATAAAGAGAGGAAAACATGTCTGATGACTGGGGATGAAGATGAGGCCTCGGAAGGCAAGAAATCCGTGCTGACGTCGTGCTATCTGTGCTACTTGTTTTTTCAGAGCAGATCTGAAAGTGACTTTGTTAACAGATTGTTACACATGCTGTCTGCTTTTGATGGAGCAGAGGGCTCAGAGCCCCCTTATTTTCCTAATATTTTCCTATTTTATTTTGCTTTCCAGTTGGCTTACAGGAAGAATTATGAAGACACCAAGGCACACATTCATATTCCAAGTGACATGATCAACCATGTGCTGGCTAAGAAATGTCAGTATATCCTCAGTGACCTTGAGTACCGAACCCACCTGCACCAGTGGAACTGCTCCCCTGAAGAGAATGATGTGGTGCTAGCTAGAAAGGCTCAGGAGATTCTGAGCGATGTAAGTAACGGTTTGTTCTCACGGTCACTGAGAAATGCTTCGTTTATTGCAAATCAGTCGTCAAGCTTTGGGTAATCCAGAGCGTTTGCTTTATATGGCTTGGTGGCGCAATGGTTAGAATGCAGTACTACAGGCTAATTCTGCTGACTGCCAACTGCCAGCAGTTCGGTAGTTCGATTCTCGCTGGCTCAAGGTTGACTCAGCCTTCCATCCTTCCGAGGTCGGTAAAATGAGGAGCCAGATTGTTGGGGGGCAATATGCTGACTCTATAAACTGCTTAGAGAGGGCTGTAAAGCACTGTGAAGCGGTATATAAGCCTAGGTGCTATTGCTATATACTGGCATAGTACAGTATAACCATGAAGAAACCTGCAAGTATCTTCATGGGATTTCATTGGATAATATAGTTGTCCCCAAAGGGAAGACTGCCTCAAACCGAAAGTGATAAACATTCTAAATTGAAATAGCCAGTGGGGAATGCTGCAGACTGTAATTCAGCAATGCTTTGAGAATCACAAGTTCTACATCTCTGCTTTAAATTCTCCGTAATGTAACCTGATATAGTTATTAAAAATGGATTATTTTTTTAAAAAGTAGGGATGATATCAAGAAGAAGCTCAGAAAGACATGCCACGTGCTCTATGTTCAGATTTGCATTAGATAATTCAAATCTAATGTTTTTGATGTTCCTCTTTTTTTTGGTAAAATTTGCCCTGGAATTAAACTGTGAGGTGATCGGAGATATCAAGTATGATATGCAAGGGAAGATAAGAGAAGTTTTATGTTTTCTTTTATTATTTCTCTCCATAGGTGATATACAAAGATGATTTGACATGGCTAAAGGGAATTGGATGTTACGTGTGGGACACTCCTCAAATCCTGCATGCCAAGAAGTCGTATGACCTTCAGAGCCAAGTAAGAAGAAGCATGAACTACATTTGGGGGGCATATTTAATTAATCAGTTCAGGCATACACCAGGGCTCATCCATAGATCCACTGAGGAATATTAGATAGCACCGTTAGGAAACAGCCTTTATGTTTAATGCGGGAAAGGTGTCTTTGGGGATATAGATAAGCTCCCAAGTGGCCGCAATGACCCTCAGAGAGCTAATGCCCAGATGACTGCAAAGAATATAAATCCTTCTATTTCCCACTATTCAGTTAGAACCGAAGAAGCTTCTTGGATGAGAAGCGAAATGTTTTCAAGGAAAAAAAAAACCAAGAAAGTCCAGTTGCCTTTTGGAAAAGCACTTCCTAATTCACTTCCTTTAATATTTTGTACAAATCAGAGCAGAATGATTTGCTGGTCCTTGAGCAGAGCCTAGATAAGGCATCTTTATTTGTAGAATTACTTTCCTTTATGAGAAAAAAAATACATGCATAAATAAATGTGAGGATAGTGTCTCACTTTCGGGGAACGGAGCAAACCTTCCTATTTTACACCAAAAAGGATTTTAGTAGAAATATAGCTCTGCAATATTTTTTTTAAAGCTATCAACTGCTGTATATTACAGAGACTCATAGTACATGGACTTCAAAAATATAATCTCATAGGTTGTGCCCACGGTTACTAAAGAACTAAGCCCTACTGCTTTTTTTTGCCTTGATTTTACAGCTGATATACACAAAACAAGGGAAGGACAATCTACCAAACTATGGTGTGGTTATGGACACTCCAGTTTATGTAACTGCCGTTCAGAGTGGTATCAATGCTAGTGAGGTGAGTCATTCTCCGTCTTTGCTCAGATTTATTCCTTATTATTTTCTTTTTTCTCTAATTTGTACAAAGAGATTGACTGACTGTCACTCACTTTTATTACAGCTGAAATATAAAGAACAATACCATAAAACCAAGGACAAATATACCACAGTATTGAAAACAGCAGATCACGATAGGATCCAGAACCTCAAGCACCTCTTCAGTAATGTGAGTATTTTTCTTTTTAATGCTATTCTGGAGTTATGATAGTGTAGTATAGACCAGTGGTTCTTAACCTGGGCGATATTGCCCCCCTAGGGGGCGATTTTATTTTTCAGGGGGGCGATGGAACGAAAAGGGGCGATGTGGGGGCAAAGGAATGAAAAGGGGGCAATATGGGGGCGATGGAGCGAGAAGTTTGGGGGACACTTTTGAGACTTTTTCGTACAGTGAATGGCTGTATATTTGTCGTACAAAAACATCAGATCGCTCACTATTAGTGGATTGAATTGTGTTTTCAAATGTTGCTCCAGCTAGCTTCAGTACAGAACGCCGTACATATGTGAAGATGCATCGCTTATCTTCATGCGCGTTGTGCAGCAGCCTCTACCCATACAGTGGCGCGCCATTGGCCAGAATATGGGAAATATGGGAAAAAGACTGGAAATAAATTATTTGCATCAATATGTCCTGATGACAATTTTAAAGAAAACAAAAAAAGTGTTTGCATAAATTGAAGAATTATTTCCTGTGTTGTGATTGAGAGGTTATGTTGGGGGAGGAGGGCGATGACAACCTCCTCATTGGCTCAAGGGGGCGATTCGTTCAAAAAGGTTAAGAACCACTGGTATAGACGGTATTTCAAACAGCCTGCATGAATACAAAATGTTTCAAGTTCTGCCAAGTCCAGAAGCCTCTTGGAATTACTTTTTTGCACACACTTAAGGAAAACAAATTTTGGCTCACTGCTGCTCTGGTAGCTTCTTATACCAATATATAACAGCCGAAGTCAGAATGTGAGGATTACTTAGTAATGACTTCTCTTCCTGCTTAGGCTGGCTTTATCTAGGATGGATCATAGATGGGAGTTGAGGTGGTATTCATGTCATTTCCAACCAACTCAAGAAGACTAAGAGGAGATAAAGTTATAATATATGTGAAGGAATATGTAGTTCTGGGTTACATCCTGTTTAAGATTGATATGCAGTTGTATGTTGCTGAAATATGGTTAATCGCTAACAAATTTTGCTATGTGCCATCATGGGCAAGAATGCAAAAGAAGACCCAAACTTTTCTTCTATACAAAAAACAAAAGGTTTTCTATCCTATGCTACCTTTTACAAGTATTCCTTGACTTATGACCACAGTTGAGCCAGTGGGTAAGCGAGACAGTTGTTAAGTGAGTTTTGCCCCATTTTACGACCTTTCATGCCACAGTTGTTAAGCAACTGGGTTGTTAAGTGAACCTGGCTTCCCCTTTGACATTGCTTGTGTGAAGGTCGCAAAAGGTGATCCACAGGAAACCCCCCCTCCCCGAGGACACTGCGACTGTCATAAATACAGGCCAGTTGCCAATTGTTCAATTTGGATCACGCAACCACGGGGGATACTGCAATGGTTGTAAATGTGAAAAATGGTCATGTCGCTTTTTTCAGTGCCATTGTAACTTTAAATGGTCACTAATCCAGTGGTTGTTGTAAGTTGGTTTATTTGTGTCAGAAGCATCACAGTTAAAATAAGGCATACTATACGATATAAAATTTAAAATATAAATATGGTTGTAAGTTGAGGACTACCTGTTCCTCACTGCTGTTTCATAGATTTCGTCTCGAATATCGATGTAACTGTTTCTCCTTTCCTCAGAATGTATACAAGAAAATGTGGGAGAAAATCAAGTCCCTCACTTACAAATTGCCTCCCGATGCTGTGCCTTTTGTTCGTGCTAGGCAGCTGAAATATAATGCTAGTATTGTAAGTATACCTAACAATGCATTTTGGTAAATCTGCTTTAGAAATAAGACATGGTTCCCACGTGGCTTATTTTTCTTTTCTTTGCCACTAGGTGAAATATCGGGAAGAGTATGATAAATTTAAAGCACTCTACACCATTCCTAGAGGTGTTCAGGATGATCCCAACACTGCAAGATGCCTAAGAGTTGGCAAGCTGAACATTGATGTAAGATATTAAAAAAAAACTATATTAAACATTTCCAAGTGGTGAGGAGTCAAGCACAAAATTTACAAGCCTTAATTCCTTTGGATGAGATCATATGAGAGACTTACATTGCCAAGATCTTACTTCAAACAATAGATTAAGACAAATAAAATCATAGGTTCTGCTTCATTCACAAATAGAAAAACTGTATGGATTCCTTTATTAATAATCTTTTGCCAGGAAAATCTTAACTATTTCCACCAATTTCATACTTATCCAGATTTAAGTCTTATATTTATTTCATTTCACTATGTTTCTTTCCCCCATATGAATTTAATTTGCCACTTCTGTCTATCGGAGGGTGGAGTAAAAATCCTTCTCTTCCCACTTTCGGAGGATTTTTGTTTTCTTGGGTATTTTTTCCCCAGGAGATCAATCAGGTAGAAGAGAGAGAATCAATATTCTTACACAGTTCCGGACACGTTGTTTAAGATCAAGCTTAACTTTTTTGGCTTCGGCTGCTTGTAGCTTGGGCTAGACTCTGGAGTGACGCTAGCCTTTCTTCTATTGGTTTCTGGAGGGCTTTCCCCGACCGACTGGATCGACTGCCATCTCTCCACGGTCAGCGGGGCTTCCTTCTTTGCTGCCTCTTTGGGATGACGTTTGGCCAATTTAGGGTCCCCAAACAGAGAAAAATTGGGCCGTAGTGTGCGGAGTCCTGCAATCCCTTGGCTACTTGCGCTACTGCGCCTGTATGGATTACTGTAGAGTAGACAACTTCAAGATCTAGCTATAGGCCAACTCAGAAATTCTCTCTCTCCATTCTAACAATTCAGACAATTAAACTGCATTGTTCCTCTATATGTTTCAGTATAGAACAACCAGGTTAGTTTGTCAGTTCAAAATCAGGAGGAGCTGGATAGCACCTTTTCCAATTAATAAACTTTATTAAAAGGCATAACATTTTATGCACTTCATCAGATGATTGGAGTGGTTAAACTGATCCAGGGTTTCAGTTTAACTTTCTTCTCTAGTAAAGGCAGTGCTTTTTTTGAAAAAAAAAAAAAGGTGCCGGAACTCACACACATCATACCTACCCTACAAGGTTCTATCCAAAAAAGGTGCTGGAACTCCATTCTGGGCGTTCTATGACAAAAAAAGCTCCGAGTAAAGGAAAAAATATATTCTCTATCTTAAAACAAACAAATAATTAGAAAGTATATTGGCTAAGGGGTGCTCTTTAAACCTTCTGGATTCATTTTTCTTTAATAGTGACCATACTACCAATTTGTTTGGGATAGAGCAATATTAATGCTTACTAATGTACCATTATTTTTATTTATTTAAAAAAACTCTTGGTGGCTTCCAATCAGATCTTAGTTAGACCTAATTAGCACTGCTAAGAACTAATGTTACAAGCTGAACTTAACCAGGTTACACCAAGGGGAAACAAGGACTATTTAATTCATTTTGCATTGCGGTTGACACTTGGCTTCTATATGTTGAATTCAGACAGCTATTCATACCTTTTCATTAATAAAATACTTTATTTGGCCAAGTGGGATTAGACACACAAGGAATTTGTCTCTGGTGGAGAAGTTCTCAGTATACATGCAAAGCAACAGAATAATAATAATAAACATCATAATAATACCAATAAGAGGGGGAGTAAAGATAGTAAGAAGGACAAACGATAATGCTACAGCCAAACTACATGGGTAACTATACATAAGCATTAGACAGCACTATGAGAATTAGGTGTTCAGCAGAGCAATGGCATGAGGGAAAAAAACTGTCGTTTGGCATGCAATGCCCTATAGTGTCATCTTGAGGGAAGAAGTTGAAACAATTTATGTCCAGGATGTGGGGAGTCTGTAGACATTTTCTCAGCCTGACCTGCACAATATACAGGTCTTCTATGGAAGGCAGGCTGGTTGCAGTTATTTTTTCTGCAGTCTTAGCAATCCATTGGAGTCTGAACCTGCCCTGTTTGGTTACAAAATATTAACAAATACCAGTAGTACCAAAATATTTTCGGCCAGCTGAGGCTTCTGTGTGTTATATTGCTGTAATTAAATCAGATTTTCAGTGATTCCTAGGCATTTTTAATAACTTTATTTTTGTAAAACTATTTTAGCATAATTACAGCACTATAATGTTCCAAATAAATCAATAAGCATTTGCTCATGTTTATTCTAATCATAGTATTCAACTCCTTAGAAAATTATCACAGATTATATTTAGCTGGGAAGCTTGTTAATGTATTATTAACTAACCTTTCTGTCTGAATTTCCTAGCGTTTATACAGAGATGTCTATGAAAAGAACAAGGCTAAAATCCATATCGTGCCAGACATGGTGGGCATAGTGACAGCTAAGAAAACACAGAAGAAAATCAGTGAAATTGATTATCGTGTCCATCTCCATCAGTGGGCCAGTATTCCAGATCCTCATGCCAATATTCTTGCTCGAAAAGTCAATAATCAACTTAGTGATGTAAGTCAATTATATTTATAACTCCTTTTTAGAAATCTACTAAACAAGCATTGCACAGTGCAGGAGAAAAGATGAGTGGTGGGACGCGCTCCGTTTTATACATTGTAAGCTATACTAATTTTAATGCAATTTAATTCAAACACAAGCTGAAAGTATTATATTGATGTTTAACCACCATACCTTAGTCTAGATTATAAAATAACCATTAAAAATCTATAAACCTAGGCATCAAAAATAAACTCCTTATTATCAGTTTTTGCTTGTAAGTGGCATAGGTATTGTATAGCACATAGCTTCATAGGGACAATGTAATATTTTATATAAAGGGCCATTTTTTTTTGCCAGATTTAAAGACCACCTAATCCCAGAACAACTCTGTGTCACTTTCATTTTACAAAACTAAAAACAATAAAAACAGGAAATTATGTATATCTGGACAAATTGCATATCCCAAAAAGTTACAAACAACATCTTTTTCTGATTTGCAGTGGAACATTTTAGGATCTTACTTTATAGCAAATACTTATCAAAACAAAACTTCCATAAAATTAGCTATTTACCCTAAATTATTAATATAACATTAATGTCCATGCTATTAGAACGCAATTATGATCTCTTTCTCATCGCATCCCCATGCCTGCCTTTTGCTTCATCTCAAAAATGAAGCTATTTGTGTTGCTGCCATTACAGCAGTACCATATCTTGCCTTGAGGGCAGGGCCTGGTAGCTTCCTGGCCATCCTATCTTCTTCTATTAGAATCACCCATCAACTGAAAAACCAAACATCAGCTGCTGTTGGGCATTTTGGAGTGATAACTGAATGACCTTTATAAATATTACTCTCAGAACAAAATAAAAACAGTGGTTAAGGGACAATCAAAGAAGTCAATGAAAAAAAGAAAAGCAAAAATGTGGCAAAACAAGGTGTACTATGGGAGGAAAAGAAATTCATGAGGTAAAAAGAAAAAAACCCAAAGGGGAATAAAATTACAAATGTAGAACCTTATCAGCTATCTCTTCTCTTGTTAATGAAACTGACTACCAACAGAGAACTAAAGGCTTAAAAGCAACAGAGATTTCTTGGATGGAGTTGAATTTAAAAGGCTGATTTAAACTAACCAGTCACATTTTGGGGCTTCCTGTTTCTAATAATTATATTTTCTTCAGATGGCAGAGACTGATAAAAAGAAGGTCCAAATGAATTATAATCTGCTTATCAGACCATGCCTGATAAGCATGGGTAATAGGAAGACATGAAATTAACATTAAGATTAGTCTCATCAATGGTATTTCTTCCAGGCCTGGAATTGAATTAATAAAGATCATTTAACATGGAATGGAGCTAGACCCAAGCTGGGAAGTTAACTTTAGCTGATAGATAAACCATTCCTGAGGTTATATGGAATGAATCCTCATTCTTTCTCTCGGTTTCTCTTTTAATTTTAATACCTCAGTTTGTATACAAAGATGATCTCAACTGGCTCAAAGGAATTGGCTGTTTTGTTTGGGACACTCCTGAAATTCTCCATGCTAAACATGCCTATGATCTTCGCAATCTCGTAAGTATGGTTGGCAATTTCTGATAGCTTCAAATTTCCACCAACCCAAATATTTTCAAATGCAAAAATAAAATATCTTTCTAACTAACCGGAAAGAGGCCAGCATATGAGGCACCAAACATCTTCTTATCCAAGATGATTTTAATCTTGCCAAAGCTATTGCTGCTTGCAATTTTCCACTTCATCCTTTCTTCAAGGCAAATAGACTCCAAACCAGATAAAACTCGACATGCTTTAAAGAGTGCTACTTTCACAAAAACTGTTGAATTATTTTTGAAAAGTAGAGTGACAAGGAAGATGTTATCTATTGTACATATTCTTTCCCTCTCAGCATAAATACAAGGCAGAGGCAGAGAAAATGAAGAGCAAATATTCTGTAGTCACACACACACCTCTCTACGTTCAAAATGTGCTCAGTGGCAAGAATCTGAGTGAAGTGAGTATCTGCATTTCTATTTTCATCAGTTTCTTCCCCTTTTCTTTAATGATCATGGCTTAGCATGGCTTACTAGTCCTACTTCTACCAACCAATCAGCAGCAATTCTTTAAAAAACAGTTCAAACCTGCAGCTGGAAATAGTTAACAGCTATCTATATCATAAGATAAAAGGGTCCTTGTTTTTATTCTATGTTTTAGGTTGCTTACTACATTTATTGCTGTTACTTATGAAGCTCTGGTGTGTTTTTACTTGTTACCAGGGATGTTTTAATTTGTTCTGCTATGTTCTATGTAAGCCACCAAAGGCCTTTTAGATTGGGTAGAAATTTTATAAATAAATAAATCAATAAGAGTGATTTTTTTTTCTTTATTTTTCAGCAAGTGCTTGAAAATTCCAAACCGGTTAACTTTCCAATCAAAGCAAGATTTTGTGATCAATGCTTATGCAATCACCATAACTGCATGTAGCAGTTCTAGTTACAATTTTTAACAAAACTATAGCAAAGCTTTTTGTCACACTACTTTGTAATTCACTATATTTCTGCACCATGTAGAACTGTAGATCAGGTGCAGGAGGGAAGGAAGGAAGGAAGGAAGGAAGGAAGGAAGGAAGGAAGGAAGGAAGGAAGGAAGGAAGGAAGGAAAAGAATTCTTTTTTCAGATCACCTCTCCAGCATTAGGATTTTCCTTTGAAATTCTACTTTTTCTGTCTCTAGATCTGATTGATATCTAACCAGCATTTAAAAACTAAAACAATGAGAAACCTTTTGCTAACATTCAACATAGCTTATTTTGTTTTGTCAATACTCAGGCTGTTTACCGCCATAACTATGTGCATCATATCAAAGGGAAATATACGCCAACAGATAAGACAGTGGATCTGGAGCGGGCAAATCGGGCTTACAAGATACAGAGTGAAGTAAGTACTTGGATTTTGCCTCTGGATGACATTAAAAGAGGGAGGGGAAGGGGTTTGATTTGGGGCCATGAAGCTGCAGAAGAAAAGCCGCAACACACAATAATATAATCAAATATAAAAGAACAAGGAGGAGATGTTCAAGACTGGCAGTGTTATAGTGAGCAATACATTTACCCAGCTGTTTAGAATATTTGGGGGTCTTCTCTTCCCTTCAAAAGCTTTGGTATAAAACTTTGAAGAACTTTAAAGTGTGCTGATATGTCTTGTCATTAGCAATGTGATGTTGGCTACCTTTTTTGGAAGTGAGATTGCTAATAATGCATTCTCTCAACTTCTGGTGATAATTCGTGGAAGTGTTATGTTTCCTTGGCAAAAAAACAGAAGGGGTTTGCTACTTCCTTCTCCCAGAATGCTGTTCTTATTCTAATATGCAGACCTGGAATTTTCTGGGAGATCTTCCAACCTAATACTAACCAGATCTATCCCTAGTCCCTTGATTTCTGAAGACCAGCCAAGGCCAGTAGGGCCCAGAGTTCAGCACACTTGCCTTTTCTGACCCTAACCCTAAACTTACTTAGTGGACTGTGGAATCATAGAGCTGAAAGGGGGTTAATTAGAAAATCCAAATTCAACTGTATCTCTATCAGATTGTCTTGCCTCTGCTTGAACATATCCTATCAAGAGGAGATCACAACTTCCCTCGTTGAGGTTTTATTACCATTGAGTACTCCAGTTAAAAGTGGCTAGGATTGTATTTCTTGAAGTACTTTTCCAATTTGCCAAACTCAAAGTGTGAAGAAGTGCTAAAAAAAAGTCTGGTATGACTTCTGCTTGTACAGTGCTAGAGCATACCCAAAGTTTCCCAACAATTGCCTTAAAGGGCTTTACTATATTATTATAAATCTCGATTTTTATTCATTTATTCATTTGTTTTTGGCAGCCTCTCTACCGGAATGCTGGCTTGCGTGCCCTTCCCACTGGATACAAACTTCCACCAGATACCCCTGGTTTCAAGCATGCTAAACATGCCCACTATATTGGCAGTGATGTAAGTAACTGTTTAATTAATTTTTATTTCCTGACAGAGACAAAAAGAGAGAAACACTGTAGGAGTAATATTAAACAAGACACATATCAGTAGCACCCAAAATAATTCCATAATGCCATCCTTATGCTTATTCATGCTTAAGTGTATAGAAATAATTTTTAGACATGAGATAGCATGAGACAGCATGCAAAACAATTATTTCAAAAATCTGTAATATAATTTTCTTTCTGCTTTATATCTACATATATTTCCAAAACATAATTCCAAGGAACTTTCTTTTATTGACAACTTCTTTCAGTTGAGTCAGATAATTGTTAAAGAACAAAAAAAACAAACAAAAATAATAAAAGCTTTCATTAAAATATTCAAATGGATTAAGGGAAATATTGAGATAGATGGCTGCCTAATTGCAATATGGGGTCTTTTAACTAAATGTCTACATGTAATATTGGTTTTGTTATATTGGTTTTTTTATTCTACTGTAACTGTTTTTATTTATTAAAGCACCTAAATCTGAAGTCTATGTATATATTTGCTTTTCAGATAAAATATAAAGAAATTTATGAACATGTCAAGGGCACTGGTTACAATTTTGGACCCAAAGCTGTTCCCTTTGTACAAACAAGGAAAGTCAATAAAATCCTTAATGAGGTAAGTAATTAATTCATTTCATAAAAATTGGCATTTCTGTGATACAGTATTTGATTTTATAAAACTGTTTGTGATCTCTGTTAGAATCTTACATAGGAATCTTACATTAATAAATGATGCACTTTTGTACAATGTTTATGAACCCATTTTAGATAAAGCAGATAAATGTGTCTGCTAGAAATATCAAATTGACTCAGCCTTCCACTCTTCTGAGATTCGTAAAATGAGGACCCAGATTGTTGGGGCAGTAGGCTGACTCTGTAAACCAATTAGAGAGGGCTGTAAAGCACTGTGAAGCTGTATATAAATCTAAGTGCTATTGCTGTTAATATTTTTAAAATGTGTATTCTAATCAGTAACTTTGAAAAGCTCACAGTTATAAACTTTTGCAATTCAAAAGTATATTTGGTCATAAAACCTGTGTGATTACAAAATAGTAAGAAGGTTGATGCTTCGCTTCTTTTCTCCATCAGCATTAATGCATTGATTGAAGTAGTAAATGTTTTAGCATTGTCTGAATGGTTGGGAATGTGTTATAAATTTTGTGGGGAGGAAGGGCACCACAGGGAGTGTGTCCATTCACAAACTGGTTGTATGGAGAGCATGTTGTCCAGTCACAAACTTTTTATCTCCTAGAAAGATAACCTGATGAAAATAACAGTCAAGTAAACATTTTGATAATCTACATACATAACAGAAATGGGATCTGAGCATTAAAATAAGGTGTTTTTTTTTAAAAAATAAAGAAAATAATAAATTACACCTGAAATGGCAGAGGACTCCAGATAAGAAGATACAAAGTAGGAATGATAAACTGCTTTCTCTCAAACTGTTGCTTGCTGTAAAGCAACTGTTTTGAGCATGGAGCTCCATGAATATTCTATTACTTTTAATACAGATAGTCTTCAATTTATGACCACAACTGAGCCCAAAATTTCTGTGTGGAATATTTGTTAAGTGAATTTTGCCCCATTTTACAACCTTTCTTGCCACAGTTGTTTTAAGTGAATCACTGCAGTTGTTAAGTTAGTAGTGTGAATCTGGCTTCCCCATTGACTTAGCTTGTAAGAAGATTGCCAAAAGTGATTACATGACTTTGGAACACAACAACCGTCATAAGTATGAGTCAGTTGCCAAGCATCACATGACCATGGAGATGCTGCAACAGTTGTAAGGGTGAAAAACATTCATTAGTCACTTTTCTCAGTGCTGTTGTAACTTTGAGCGGTCACTAAATGAACTGTTGTAAGTTGAGGACTACCTGTATTAATTTAAGTGGTATAGCTAACTCATGTGTTTATTATTTAGCATTCGTGGATTGGTCCTATCTATTCAAATGACTGGAATAAGTGCCTTTTAAGGAAATACTGTGCAAAATAGATTAAGATTTAATTTTAATTTTTTAAAAATCTCTTTCCTTTTGTTACAGAGAATGTATCGGGAGGTGTATCACAAAAATAAAGATAAGATTCATACTACACCTGATACGCCACACAATCGCCAAGTGAAAATAAACCAAGAAGCTTTCAGTGATGTAGGCATATTTTATTTATATTAGATGCACAATTTGTGTTGTGTTTGATTTTACTGGGAGGGGAGAATCTTATTCGTCTTCTCTCTTTATTTTAGCTTATTTACAAGACTGATTTCTTCAAGATGCAAGGACACTTGATTTCCTTACCATTTACCCCACAAACTATACACAACCGTTATGTTGGAGAAATTACAAGTGATGTAAGAAGATTTCTTTTAAAAATTTAGAATAAGTTGCTATAAATACCTATAGATGGGTTGCAACAAATATTAGGGTCTATGATAATATAAAAATATTTTTTGCAGTAATGGTTTCTCTCCCTAAAAATAATTTATTAAAATGAATTACACCCAGTAAACAGAACATATATCTGCTTCTGGATGCAATTCAAGGTACTAGTTGTCACTTTTAAAGCCCTATATGCTTGGAACCAGGTTATCTAAAGGACCCTCTTTTCCCGGTAA